ATTGTCTTTGCATCAATGCTTTTACCCCTTGTAGTTTATATAAGAATGAATTCCTTTTTTAACAATTGTTTTGTTTTTTTTTTGAAATAACCAACCATATCTTTTATCATCACCTATTAAACCATTTTTTTCATGAATTAAATAAAAAAAATGTATATTACAGAACTTTAATTGCTTTCCTACAAACAGAAAAAACATAACATCAATATAAAATAATCAATCCTGACATGGCTATTAAAAATGGAAATAAATTTGTTAACTTTCCAATAAAAATATCTAAAAAAATGGGAGTGAAACGTCCATACAATTGACAAATTGGGAGTGAAACGTCTAGGTGTGAACCGTTTTGGGAATGAAATGTCTCATTAATGAAATGGCTTGGGACATTCCACTCGGGATATCTTCTCCATTATCGATAAGTGTGAAAGAGCCAAGAAGTTGCGAAAAGTAATTATGTAAACAGCTAATATTCCCGCAAAATAAAATTGTTACCACTGATTCGCTCTTTCATAGCAATTCCGTAAAGTTTTCACAATTTGTTTCGTTCACAGGTTTGTCAATAAATTATGTTATTCAAATGAAATTGCCTGCCTACAGCTCACGGGTCTCACAGAGAATCGAACGTTTCCGTCACTGGAATTTTCGACCCCATCATGGTGATCACACTGACAGATGATAATTTTGCCAAGTGTATCCATGTATCCATATACATAATGTTTTAGCTTTAGTTAATGACTGATGAAGTCCATCTGACGCTTTTTGCTAAAAGAAGTAGCTTTCCCTCTAGAATACAGGAACCGGTGATGTCAAAAGTCTAGTATCAATATTGCGACTGCAAGACCGACCGATTTTATAATCTGATTTTCCATAGATGTCTGTCTTACAGAAGGGCGACCATCATCTATGCAATAAAAAAGCCTTAAAGCGCACAATTTGTTTGGCTAGTCATAAGTCATGCCCTTAAAGTATCTTGACACTCGCCTGAGGTACAAAGACCTCCATTATTTATATATAACATTATTACAGTAATTTATTATTAAAAGTTTGTTAATTTTGTATATTAAACCTGTCTCTCATAAACTTTTCCTAGTATATAGCCTAATATGAAATTAGGCAAAGCCTATGAACTGAGAAGTCGTTAAAAATTCCTTTCATTTTTCGTTCGGTATTTCATCCACTGCTTCCGTTTTTTTTCTTGGAACATTTCTAAAACGCTTAATTATTAATCAGAAAAAGTTGGAGATTTTTTCTGTTATTGGAATACCCCCGCTGATGGATGCCGCCTATTATCCTTGAGTTTTACATTGTAAATTGGCGGCGCCTAAAACTAAGAACTGACACTGAAAATTAATTTGAATAGGTATAAGAATTTCTATATATTTTTTATTTCTTTTTTTTATTTGAATTTCTTTTAAATAAACACTTGTAGTCTATAGCTGGGCAAGCCAAAGCCCCGCCTGCCAAGTGGGCCAGTTGTATAAATACATTATAGGTCATGTTTTGTGAAATTTTATAATATACCGACAAAAAATGAATTTTGATTTGATTTGAGCCTATAAATGTGATGTTACATGGTGTTATTTCGATCTATCATTCTGGAAATAAGTATCACCTGGTCATTAATTTTTTGCAATATCAAATATTAAATTCCTCAGGGGCAAGTAATCTATATAGACTTCAGAAAATGTAATATGCTAGTTCTCTCCCCTGGCTGCAATCAATGATAAATGACTCTCTGAGTAATAATATATAATGATTATATCATTATAGTATATCAGTATGCCATTGTGCTGAAAAATATCATTAAAATGTTGAATGCTGGTTCAGCATTATTGAAAAATAACTATTGTCTTTCAGGGTAATAGTGCATATCAGCTACCCATGACCTGAAATAACACGGTTACACCTGAGTTATTATGAACTATTACCGTGAGAGTTATTTTTATAATACATGTATGGACAGCTTGGTGCGAAAGGGTTGTAACTCTTTTATGTTATATGAGTTACAACCCTTTCGCACCAAGCCCTCGGTATGTATCTAAAAAGTTGCCCTTCAATATAAGAACCCCAATAAATTCCCTGTGTCTGATTGGATTATTTTTATCTTTTTATACAAACTTTAAATATTTCTTATTATTGATGAATTTTTGAAATTTATGCTTTCAAAAAACAAATCAAATTTTCTTTTTAAAAGAATTTATCAAAGAAAATTTTTTAATCAATATAAAAAAATTTCCCTTTGATGGAAAATTTTTGTATTAAAAATATTTAAAAGTAAAAAAAATTTTAAAAAATATTTGTATAATAAAACAATAATTAACAGATTTCCCTTTAAAGTACATGTTTTAATCAAATTAAAAAAAAGGGATGTACATTGGAATTTTTGGGAAAACTTTTTGGAAATTTTGTGGGACTAAAAAGGCATTTTGGGGGTCATTCCCAAAACAAATTTTAATTTATACTTACAAACACCGCAAACCAAAAGAAAAATGGGTTTTTTTTTGGGTTTGAAAAAATCTCACAGAACTCAGAATATTAAAAACCCCCGTGTTCAAAAAATAGGGAAGAAAAAGGGTTTTTCCATTTAGTTAAATAAGAGCTTTTTTTTATAACCCAAAAAAATGAAAGAAAATTTTATTTTTAAAATTTTAAACAATAAATTTTGAATTTCTTTAAAATTGGGGATCAGTAAAATTATATTGGGTATTTTGAATATCATTGATAAAATTTTGGGAATCGCAAAAAATTCAATGACCCGCTTTTAATTTCATTAAACCCGTTTTAATTTTTATTTAAAAACAGAAATCAATTTTGGGCTTTAAAGGGGACCCAAATTGACCCCATTCAAAATTTAGCCTGACTAAAAGCTCGGGAATTGGTTAGGCCCCGAAGGTGAAATAGGGGACCAAGGGGGAAATTTAAAACCCAAAAACATTTTTAAAATTAAAAAATTGAAATAGTGGTCTATAACATTGGGGTTTTTCACAATTTTTGTCTTTAACAATTTTTTAAGAAAAAAACAACAACATGAACTTTTGTGACAAACATACAATTGGTTTTTTAATTCTTCTCTTTTTCATTCACAAATTTCCAGAAACTAAAAATAATGCCAAAAGGAAGAAAAAAGAAATCAAAAACCATGAAAAAATCAGCAAATGATACTGTAGCGGAATCAGAACAGAAAAAAGGAAATCAAGAGTGGCAAAGAGAAATGTCAAGAACACTGTTGATCCAGACAATACCAGTACATCATCTGATACATCTAAACCTGGTAGAGGAAAACCTGGGTCAAATATTAAGAGGAAAGATAGAAATGGTGGTAAAATTGTCAGTTCAGTTGAACAGAACAATAATTTGGAGGAAGGAGTGTCAGAATATTTTTCCTCTTCATCAAGATGTGACCCATCATTAAAAGATAAGAAAGTGAAACAAGAAGGAAGAAAGTCATCATATGCCCTCTAAAACCCAAAAAACCCCGAAAAACTGAGCATTATTTTGTCTGATGGGTTGGGGAGTGATTTACGAGTTTTTAAGCTTCAACAATAATATAAAAACTTCCCGGTAAAAAAGGAAAGCCATTCCTCAAAAAAAAATAAAAAAATTAAAACAAGGGGAAAAACCAAGAAAGCTTAAAAATGTAAAAGTTATAAAAGCAAAAATACCCGAAATTTAACCCCACCCGTATTAAATCAAGGGAATTTAAGACAAAATAAAAAAGGCATAGGGGGAAATAAAGAAAACCCCTCCAAACAAAATAAATGAAAAAAGTAAACAAAAAGGGGAAAAATGAAAATCTGGGGAAAAAAAAAATAAAAAAAGATACTAAAGAAAATGACCTTTAAAAAAATAAAGAAACCTTAAAGGGGGTTTAAAAAGGGTACTAAGCCCCAAAAAAATTGCATTAAAAGGGGGGAAAAAGGTGGGAAAACTGAAAAAAGAAGGGGGGAATAAAAAAAAAGACGCAAGAAAAGGGGAAAAAATTAAAAAAACCAAGAATTAAAAATACAGATCGGAAAATTTGAAATTTAAAAGGGATGTTGAAGGGGCAACAACAAAAGAAAGAAGAAAATTTTTTTAGATACCGGCAAAGGGAAAAAAGTGAAAAGCAAATGATGAAAGAAAATGAAAGGAGGTTTGAGGAAGGAAAGGGTAAAAATTTGATGGAATTTTTTGTCAAAAACCTTCCCCCAACCAAAAATCAGGGAGAAACCCTTCTGATTTCCCTGGCAGTCCCCAATGCACATGGAAGGTCCAAAACAAAAACTTTCCTTGCTGAGAAAACCCTTTTTCCCCTAAAAAAAGTTTATGGGGTTTTTAAGGTGAACAAATTTTTGTCAGAGAGGAATTGCGAAGATGAAGTAGAATAAATCCTGCCTGGGAAGAATTGAGGATCCGTTGAAAGGTTTAATTTGCGAAAATTCCTGAGTTTTTTAATAGCAAATTAAGTTTCACCTGCCAATGACATGATAGCAGCTGTGTATGTCGTATAAATGTTAAAGTCGCACACCTCCAGATGAGCCAAAATATTTTTAGAAAATAAAACTTGAGAAAAATGTAATAAGAGTTTAAGACAATTAAATGATTTAAGATAAAAGTAATAATTTACATCTTTATAAGAAATAATGTGAGCAAGGAAAAGTTAACTCTAAAATTAATAGCATTTTTTATTCCGGTTATTGTATTGGGTAAACTCTGTATAAATGTAGGGCCCGTAGTTTTTGGCTTCAATCGGTTTTTCAAGTTAGTTAGACTTTTTTTCCAGTTGATTAATATTTTAGAGATGAAAATTTAATTGTATCGCCATACATGTCCTTTGCCCAAGTTTTTTTATATAGAAAAATTTTAGAGAGCATTAAGTTAAGTAGTATTCACTGTAATACATCCTTTAAAGGATAGATACATGTACTTTTATAATCTCTTTATTTATCTGATGTATTGCTGTCGGTTCCCGGCAGAGTAAAAGTTAGTATTGCTTTTGTTTCAGATCATCATGGAAACAGTCCAAAAAAATCTCAGTTACCAAGTGGACCAGTAGAAATAACCTTGGATGCCCCTGTTATCTACAGGAAAAAGTATTGTGATTTAATATACAGTTTTAAGTAAAAAAAAAGAAGTAAAATTAAAAAAATGTATATTTTGAATATTGAAATTTTAAGGTTAGCCATTTAGATAATATTGATAGCGGGGTAGCTGTATGCAATGAACAGAGATGAGAGATTTTTGAAAAGACTGGTAGCAAAACAGTAATATAATTATACATCTATGTGCATGTCTGCAGGTAGAGATTAACTTAGTACTGTCATATAAAGTGGGCTTGAAATGGCGAGAAAATTATCACAGCACAAAACATACTGGTACAGTAAGGCTTGTAGACTGATAAAAAAATCCATTAAGAAGTCTGTTGTAATGTGCTGGGCTTAGTTTGCTATCAACCTCATAACAAAATCAGTTATTATGCAAAATTGATATTATCAATTATTTATTGTAGCAGCTGCATGATGAATTTTATTTAATAGAAATTAATTGTTTTTAAATTTTGTAATATACAATTTTCAAACTTTAATACTTTAAAAGTGAATTGTTCCATGATGGAAGGTCTTTAGTATAATTATTATACAGTAGATAATTACATGTATGTTGAATCAAATATTTGAAAAGCACTAAAGGAACAGGATTTGTCAAGTCAGTGTTTTTACTTTCATTTGTCCAGTCACAGACAAAATAATCCTTGTTGTCAGTCATCAGTGTTGAGCTTTACCTGAATCTTGTCAATTTTTTTTTTTACTTTCTTCATATTTTAGAAAAAAGAAAGGGGAGTTTGACCTACAAGCTTACTTCAGGCGTCAGATAAATAAATTTAAACGAGAAGTTGCTATGGATATTCACAAGGTTTGTATGTTTATAATTATAGTTTTATTAATATAAAGTTTCAGGTCATTGACTTCAAACCACTTGCCCCTCACCGCTGGGTTCGAATCCTGACAGGGACTTTGGATTCTTTCATGTGAGGAAGCTATCCAGCTAGCTTACGGAACGTCCGTGGTTCTACTCAGGAACCCCCGTTCGTGCCTGAAATAATGCACGGAAGGGCACCTGAGGTCTTCCTCCACCAGTAAAGCTGGAACGTTGCGATATGACCTATACTGTGTTGATGTGACGTAAAACCCAAAACAAACAAATATAAAGTTTTGATTGAGCTTTTGAGAGGAACAACAAGAGGAACAACTTTAAATTTAACACAGCATTAAAGGCATAATTACATAGATTGTACTACAACAATCTCATTAAAATCAGATCATCATTTTCACTCTGTTACTTCACCTAGTGAAGCATTGTGGAGCGACAAGATATGGTTTTAATGAGATTTGTTCCATAAAAAACTAAATTTGAGTCACCAGTATACAATGTAATAGGTTGGTCAAATTTTGAAGATAACAGTATGTCCTAACTCTGTACTTGTGGCTTATTCCTGCATTTAAAAATTAAGAGTGTTGAATATTTATTAATAAGTGTTGAAGCCATTTATTATCAAGAATTATTTTGAATATTATTTGTGATTTAGTAAGTGGACCATGAAGGGTTTGTCAAGGTCAACAACAGGCAATCTTGCACACAATATTTAATTTTTTCTTGCCTCTGCGTAATACAAATTTGTAACAAATTTTCTATGATTGCATGAAATTGTTTTGGTTTTATCCTTCTTGGGAGAAGTACATGTACTAGAAGGTTTTATTTTCTTCAAGGTGCATTTATTATTTTTATTGGCAAGGTGCCAATATTTGAACAATCTGTGCATGGAGGAGACTGTACAAGCACAAGTGTTTTCTATCACCTTGGTAACAAAAGAATTGAAATTACCCCCCACAAAGTCATGTACAGAGAGTCATGTTACACGGGTATTATCCTGGATCCAAGAAAAGCAGCATTATTTGGTAAGTTTATAGTATTTTATATCAAAATTTAATTTAAATAAGCAAGTTGTGGAGTCATTACAAAACATCAGTGGTACTGCTCGAGTGTCCATTTGTGCCTGAAATGATACACAGAGGTTCACCTGAGGTCTCCCTCAACCAGTAAAGCTGGAAAGTCACTTTATGACCTACTGTGTTGGTGCAATGTAAAAGCCAATAATTGCATAACCCCAATTGAATTAACTAAAAGTCGGGGGGTTTCAATGTGCCAAGGATATCTCTCTAACCAGTATTATGACATTACATTATTAAAATGATAAAAAAAAGGAATTGTTAAGCTAAGTTGTGACATTTTTTGTCACACACTTGACATGTCTTGCACTTACTTTTTGTTGTGTTGCCTTGAAAAGGCGACATATTGGGGTTACTTTTGTCGGCGGCGTCATTGTCGGTGTCTGCGTCGTTGTCGGCGTCCCCTAAAGCTTGTCCGGAGCATAACTCAGTCACTATAAATCTGATTGACTTCAAACTTGGTATGCATGCTTCTTTCAATAACCCGTAGTGCATTGCACAAGAACTGGTACTCTGCACTTCCTAATTTTTCAGTTATTGCCCTTTGTTAATTTTCATACTTTATTTTTGTCCAGGCCATTTCTCCTAATGTATAAAAACCATGGACTTGAAACTTCATAGGATGATAGATCTCATTAAGAAGAAGTGCATTGCACAAGAACCGGTACTCTGCATTTTCTTATTTTTTGAGTTATTGCCCTTTGTTAATTTTCATACTTTATTTTTGTCAAGGCCATTTCTCATAAATGATAAAAGCTAGCAATGGACTTGAAACTTCATAGGATGATATACCTTATTGATAAGAAGTGCAGTGCAAAGAAACTGCTGCTCTGCACTTCTTATTTTTTTAGTTTTTGCCCTTTGTTAATTTTCTTGTCCTGGCCATTTCTCCTAAACTATATTGTTCACAAGGCGACACATCCGACTCGCGGAGTTCTAGTTGAATAAATTTATTAGGATTTTCTCATATACCGTACAATTAGTGACTTTAAATGCACGATAGTAAATAATTGTAGATCTAGTACATGTAATTTAATGATCCCCAGTGCATGGGTTTATACTCGGTCAGGGGCCAATCATTATTTCCTTGAGCATGAAACTACACTCATTGCACAGTACTTGTTGGTTCCACGAATGGATTCGAGAGTGTTTCATTAAGCTTATAGCTTTCAGCACAATTCAATGAACTGAAATTAATTCTGTATAAAACAACGGTTGTAGATAAAGACCACATATATTCATATTGTACACTCATTAAACATGAGAATGACTGATGACAAGAATATGTATACAAAACTTATTAGTTTAGTTATGTTTTTATTCTCTTTCAGAGTGATATAATGGCAGAAAGTTTTAGTAAAGTTTCTACACAGTTGAAGATTACGCTGGTAACAATTTGATTATAATCAAAGACACGTTGTTATATGTACTTAGAGTAGAAATGCTGTAAAGAAGGAGTAGATTTACCTAAATAGGTCCTTCTAAATAAAAAATATAAATATATCAAAATTTTTAGATAAAAAAAATCTGGGCTTGTTATAACTTATTTATAAATTTTAGCTTTATGTATGTAATAATTAAAGTTTTGTAAGTACAAGAAAATAGCATTGCTTAAATTGCTAACACATAGATGAAGATATCTTTACACGTGTAATATTGTAAAAGATTTAGATTGGCTGTTAAGTTTCACTATCTTAATTATAGAGATAGAGCTTCCTAAGAGATAAATCTTGTCTTCTTTTTCTATATTATGAATATGTTAGATTTGTGTGGCTTTACTGCGTCAAGTTGGTTTTCTGACAAGATTTGTGACATCACTTCAGCCTGTACCGTTTAAAGAATCAGGAAGTAAGGTAATTATATGTTTCATTAGTTAATATTACCATAAATAACTAGTTAGTATTAGTTGTATATACATGTTGTTTCTAGCTGTCAAAATTGATTGATGTGTTGTAAACACTAAAAAAAGTTGTTATAATAAAGATCTATAAAATTAAAACAGTCATTGTGGCATCTGCCATAATAAATAGAGATATTTGCTGCGTAAACTTGTGTATTTACTTTATTTTTTGCATTGAATTAGTATTATATAGAGGATATTTGTTTGTTTTGCATGTAAGATTGAAATATAATTTCACTGAGTGAACACCAGATGCAATATTTTCACGAGTGGCGTAGCCACGAGTGAAAATATAATAGCTGGTGTTCACGAATGAAATATATTTCAATCTTATATGTAAAACAAATAAATTTTCTTTTTATTTCATGCTTTTTAAGTGATTATAAGTATTTTTCACTAATTTTGCCGCGTAATGTCGCGCATTCTCCTTTGTGACGTCATCACATCATGACGTCACATCATCAATTTTGAAATATAGTTCTGTTAAATTTCTCTAATTATGATACATTTTTAACATGATGTATGGTAACATCGACTTTCTTTCCCTAAAGAATCACAATTTACGTATGACGGCATTTATTTTTGCCTGTTATTCCATTTAGTTTTGATTGTCTTTTCATCCGCATTCGGATATAGTCCGGCTACAGTGAAAATTATATTTTATAAATTTCACTAGTGGTTTATCAGAATATAATCATCTGATATATTACAATAAAACACTGGTAAGCATGAAATAAAATATTCATACAGTGATATTAAATTATTTTCTTACAAAGAAATTATTGTTCTATTACACTTTAATTCAAAAATTGCCAAAAACATACAGATCGTTACTACATGCCAGAGCTGTTTACAGAAAGTACTGGAAAACGATGTTTAGCTAGGTTTTTGAATTTTGAATTATAATATAAGAACATATAGGCTGGCCTTCCTCTTCTCTTATGCTATTTATATGTTCTTGCTATGATAGCCTAGTTTATATTATTCAATGGAAATAAATTACTTGTTAGTAAACTGTATTGGTTTAAAGTTGCTTAATTTCTGTAAAAAAAACAACATAGCACATGGATGAGAAACATTGTTGTTTCAAAAAGCCAATTTATGCAATGAAACAAAACTATGAGAATTTTGTATTATTTCTGAAATTTTAGTCAAGTTCTTCAAAGAAAGGAAAATCGCCAAAATCTTCGAAAGGGAAGGAAAAAGGTACAACTGAAAGTAAAAGATCTACCTCAAAATCTGTGAACAGTAAATCAGGGAAGAAAAACATCTCAATTAAATCTGAACAATCTGTCAAAACTGAACAAATCAAAACAGAGAAAATGGAAATAGATGAAGATGTAAGTAATAATAGAAAAGGACCTAAAGGAGGAAAACTAGTAAAAAGGAGAAGTTCTGACAGAAAATGTTCCAAGGTCTCAAAAAATGCTTATAAAGAAGATGCCAGCTGTGATGATGAAAAGTTAAGTGATGATAATGATGATGATTATGTTCCAAATGATGTCAACACTGATGATGATCAGGAAATGAAGCATAAAAGAAAAAGAAGTAAAATTAAGAAAGAAACAAAAATATCTTCAGATGAGAATGATTCAGTAAAAGAGGAAAACTTGTAAGATTTTTCTACTTTATACAAATAACAACCTTTAATCTTTACACGCATCTGGTTGTTAACTTTTGTTATTGATTCATATTGAATCTTTTTACAAGATGTATAAAGTAACTTAATGGTTAAAGAAATATTGTTCAACATAGTTTTATTCAGACACCAATTTGTTGTAAATGATGCACTCATAAATTACTTAGAGCAGGGTCTTTCAAATCTTATAATTTGATTTTTGAATGATGATGTACTATGACAGAACATGTGACTCAGCCGAGATATCTTTTTTCGTACAATTGGTCCAACTCCAGATCATTCTATTTGAAAGACCCTACTTAGAGCCATTGATTCTATAATCCAGTAAGATTTATCTTTAATTTTGTTTATTAACAGTAGTTGGTAGAGAGAATCCGACACTAGTGAACTATTCCTCAAATACAGTCAAACTTGCATTCAGCGACCAAGCTAGGGAAACACCAAAAAAAAATTCGCTTAATACAACAGTCTCAGGGGACAAAGCATGAGAAAAAGTCAAAAAAAATTATTTTTGATATCTTCCCATTGCGATTTGGGAGTTATTCAACTTCATTTATATACATGTTTAATAGTTACAAGTCTCTTATAATCTAAATAGATGATAAATGAAAAAATACTTGCTGGTATTTACTTAATCCGTATGTACATGTTTGAAAAAATTCCAGAATTTATAAGATCCTTCAAATCTTTTCATGTCCCAGACAATAGACATTTTATAAGTGCTGAATTGATGCTTTCTGTTGTGCATTTTTCATCTGAAATAAACAACCTACGTCTTATTACAACAAGTAATTCAATAAACTGTGGATAACATTCACCGTCAATTGAATAGTTTAAATATGAATAGAGTAGGGTATACACCATCACAGTAGGGACAGAGCGTTGCTTTGTTTTATCAATTTTATTGGATAATACACACCACACATACACATCTACTTAACTTGGGAATTTAAGTGGAAATTTAAGCTTTTCAAAATTGCATTGGGTTTTGATTTTTGACGCTTGTGATGGCATGTGGCGGTGTTCTATAAAAACACAAAAATTTGACATGTAGAAGTGGTTGCTCCATGAAAAGATATATCACAATAAACTGGCTAATTAGGGGTCACTAGTTGTGTTTGCAAAAGTTGCTTAATACGTTAAAGATATAAAGAGAAAATAATCAGGGGGATGTAAAGTCAATACAGGCATAAGTTGCTTAATTAATGCATGCGGTGGCATGGGAAAGTTAGACTGTACATTGACATCTTCCTGTTAGTAACTAAATGGTTTTTTTTAAATATTTAAATTCATAATGCATATTTTAGGTCAGATGATGATTTTGAAGAGGACAGTATTTTGATTAGAACCCAGCAGTTGAAGAAAGAGACATCAAAATCCAAAAATAGGAAGGCATTATCTAGTGATTCGGACCCAGACAACATTGGTAAGTCATTTTAAACTTAAGAAAAAGTTTTGATTATGAAACAATATGTAAGTAAATACAATTACTCATTAATATCAGAATTAATGCATGAAGCACAAGAAGTCTTCTCCTGCCATTAATAAAACAAAGTCACATTATGTTCAACCTTCATTGCCAAGGGTTGCTGCCTGCTAAGGACATTGGATTATTTCATGTGAGGAAGCTAACCAGCCAGCTTACAGACACGGTTGGTGCTACTACTGCATGTAATAACAGTACATTGTATATATCAGTCTTCTTCCACTAGTAAATCTAAAAAGTTGTCAAATAACCTTCATATTATCACTTGACTTAAAACTCAACAAACCAGTCATATTATGAGAATGGTTTATAACAGTCATTTTCCAACAGGAAAGTTTTCTTGCCTACAGAAAAAAGTGCCATAAATAGGGTTGTGTAAGAGGAAGCCAACATGTGTAGTTGTCATAGTTACTGCAATTTTGAAAATAATTATATACATGTATTTCATTTATATTTTTCTAGTTATTTTCTATATATTGTCTAGGTGTTGATAATTGGACAGAAGTTTATATTGAGAGAGAAAAGAAATGGTTATGTAAGTTAAAATATAATGTTAATGTCTTTAAGTTCTTTATACTTTTAAGGATTTTCAGAATTAATTTTTATATTAGATCTATGTTAGAATTAATTTTATCTAATAAAGAAACTAAAGCATTAACTTATTTTATTGCTTTTGTTTATGTTTTAAATCAAGTTTATTTACATGGTAAATTTACATGTTTAGATTATATTTTGTTATATCTATATTTAAAATATGGATGTATTTAATCTGCTGTTTTGAAAGGTAATTTTACCTGAAGACAAAATATTTGAAAAATATGGTTTCATTTTGACCTTGATTATTATATATATTCTGATTATGTTATAGGTGTAGACTGTGTCAAGTTACAAGTTATGAAACCATATGAAATAGAAAATAAAGCTACACAACCAGTCAGCTATGTGGTAGGAATCACACAAGGTAATTGTTTATACAAGAGTTTCCTCCCCTTATGTTTGATATAATGTTTGTAGAGAACTTATTGGAGGAGGGTTATTTTGATAAGTACAAGAGTTTCTTCCCCTTAATTTGATATAATGTTTATAGAGAACTTATTGGAGAAGGGAAATCTTGATAAGTACAAAAGTTTTTAGAATCATAACAGTAATTGTGTGAATAAGATAAAAGTATGATAAATATTTCTAGACTTCGTTCTCTATTATAGCCTCTGCAGTGGCATTATTATAAGAATTTCTAGAAATGGTTCTTTAACATGAATTCTTTGAAAATGACAGGTCACTGTAAAATTAGTGCATCATTATTTTATCTTTAATCCTCTTCGCTGCATGATTTTTACTTTATCCAATGAAATCTTTTTCCTGTTTTGTTTATTGACTTATAATATTAATACAATGTACCTTTTTAGCTCACCTGTTACAAAGTGACAGGGTGTGCTTTTGTGATCCCTTTTCGTCCGGCGTCCGTCTGTCGTCCGTCCGTCCGTCCGTAAACTTTTACTTTAAATGACATCTCCTCATAAACCTCTAAGCCAATTTCATCCAAACTTCACAGGAATGTTCCTTTGGTGGTCACCTTCAAAAATTGTTCAAAGAATTTAATTCCATGCAGAACTCTGGTTGCCATGGCAACCGAAAGAAAAAACTTTAAATATCTTCTTTTAAAAAACCCTAAGAGCTAGAGCTTAGATATTTTGCATGGATCATCTTCTAGTGAGTGTCTACCAAGTTTGTTAAAAGAAAATCCCTGGGGTCAAAATTGGCCCCGCCCCAGGGGGTCATTGATTTTCCCTATATGCATATAGTAAAAGCTTAAAAATTCTTCTTTTAAAGAACCCAAAGAGCTAGAGCTAAGATATTCAGCATGAAACATCTTCTAATGAGTGTGTACCAAGTTTGTTCAAATAAAACCCTGGGGTCAAAATTGGCCCTGCCCCAGGTGGTCATTGATTTTCCCTATATGCATATAGTAAAAACTTAAAAATTCTTCTTTTAAAGAACCGAAAGAGCTAGAGCTAAGATATTCAGCATGAAACATCTTCTAATGATGTGTACCAAGTTTGTTCAAATAAAAGCCCTGGGGTCAAAATTGGCCCTGCCCCAGGGGGTCATTGATTTTCCCTATATGCATATAGTAAAAACTTACAAAATCTTCTTTGAAAGAACTCAAAGAGCTAGAGCTAAGATATTCAGCAGGAAACATCTTCTTATGTGTGTCTACTTAGTTTGTTCAAATAAAAGCCCTGGGGTCAAAATTGGCCCTGCCCAGGGGGTCATTGATTTTCCTTATATGTGTATAGCAAAAACTTAAATAATCTTCTTTGAAAAAACCCAAATAGCTAAAGTTTAGATATTAAGCATGAAACATCTTCTAGTGAGTGTCTACAAAGTTTGTTCAAATAATAGTCCTGTGGTCAAAATTGGCCCCGCCCCGGGGGTTCTTGATTTTCCCTATATATGCATATAGTAACAAACTTAAAAAGTCTTCTTTGAAAAAACCAAAATAGCTAGAGTGAGATATTAAGCTTGAAACATCTTCTAATAAGTGTCTACAAAGTTTGTTCAAATAAAAGCCCCGGGGTCAAAACTGGCCCTGCCCCAGGGGTGTCACTGTTTTAAACTATATGTGTGTAGTAAAAACTTACAAAATCTTCTTTTAAAAAACCCAATGAACTAGAGCTTACAGGGGGATGAGATCATTGTTTTTCATTACATATGTGTACTAAAAGCTTAACATTGTGAAACATCTTCTAATGAGTGTCTTCCAAGTTTGTTCAAATAAAAGCCCTGGGGTTTAAACTGGCCCTGCTCCGGGGCCTATATACAGGTGAGCGACCTCAGGGCCATCATGGCCCTCTTGTTTCAATATTTCATAACACAAGGTTGTTTATCTGGAAACTCTATCCCATGATGTTATTAGAGGGTTATTTATAGAGTATTTTATTTTATGATATTATTAGAGGGTTATATACGAGATGTAACAGCAAGGTATGCTAGCCAGTGGTTAACAGAGACAAGGAAACATCGTGTAGACAACGAGTGGTGGGACGAGACATTACAGCCGTATAAATGTCCCGACAAGACAAGAGACCAGCAGGAGGATCACGAACTGAGCTCTCAACTTCAGCAGCGCCCTCTACCTACATCTATCGGAGCATTTAAAAGTCATCCATTGTAAATATTCTTCCACTTTAATTTGCACATAGCTTTGAGGTACTTATTGTAGTAACACTTTGAGAATGTTTCGTTTTAAGTAAAAAGACTACCTACACATATATCCACAAACTCCGCACAGTGATAACCTCCCTTGGTAGAATTGTAATCACTGCCTTCACAGACGTCACATGATGATGAAAGTCACATGAAGTAACATCGAAATTCAAATGTAAATATCAACCGTTACATAGAAAATCTAAAGTCATTTTTGTCTTTCTGTTTTATTTTTAACTTTTCGTACCTACGTTCATTATAGTTTATCCAAAAAAATATCAAAAGTATACAAAATAATGAAAAATGAATTCAAAAGCTAAGAAATATAAAATATTAAAATAGTGATAAAAAAATTTTGTGATGGCAGAGATTTCTGTACTGATAAGGGGAGATCACTGCATAGGAGATTGATATATCCAGTATATTACAGTAATAAATTGTGTTAATTTGATAGTTTATTAGTCCCCTACCGGTTTACCGGAGGGGACTTTAGGTTTACCCTCCGTCCGTCTGTCCGTCCGTCTGTCCGTCCGTCCGTCTGTCTGTCAGTCCGTCAGTCCGTCTGTCCACAAAACTGGATCCCGCGATAACTTGAAAAGTACTGAAAATATTTTTATGAAACTTGATATATGGATAGATGGCAGTATGGAGATTATGCACGTCTTTTTCTTTTCTTCCTATGTTGAAAATTCTGGTTGCTATGGCAACAGATAGGCTGAAAATATGGCAAATTTTACACATAAACTGGATCCAGTGTTAACGCAAAAAGTACTGGAAATATTTTTATGAAACTTGATATATGGATAGATGGCAGTATGGAGATTATCGTGTCTTTTTCTTTTCTTCCTATGTTGAAAATTCTGGTTGCTATGGCAACAAATAGACTGAAAATATGGCAATTTTTACAAATAAACTGGATCCAGTGTTAACGCAAAAAGTAATAGAAATATTTTTATGAAACTTGTAATATGTGTAGATGGCAGTCTGGAGATTATACACGTCTTTTTCTTTTCTTCCTATGTTGAAAATTCTGGTTGCTATGGCAACACATAGACTGAAAATATGGCAAATTTTACACATAAACTGAATCCAGTGATAACTCAAAAAGTACTGGAAATATTTTTATGAAACTTGACATATGGATAGATGGCAGTCTTGAGATAATGCATGTCTTATCTGTTTTTCCTATTTTGAAAAAATATTGGTTGCCTTGGCAACAAATAGGCTTAAAACATGGCAAATATAACAATATTTGTGATTAGTCAAAAAGAGCTGAAACTTTTTATGAAATTGCATCTTTAATTCCAGAGTTATCTCCTCTTTAAGAATTTTGCTTTTTAAAATGTTATATTTTGGTAACAGGGATGTTTCAAATATTAACTTTAGAGTGTCCTTCAGTCCGTCTGTCTGTCTGTTCATAAAAACTTTTTCCTGTGATCACTTTTAAAGAACATTTCCAACAAATTTACTTAAAATAGAGAAAAATTTACACATTAGTCAATGGCCAATGGCCCTTCAGAATGCTGATGGGGTTCTATCCGGTAGGGGACTTCTGGATTGCTTGCAATACTATGATAATTGCTTGTTTAAATTCGGCATCATGATTTAAGACAAAATTGTATGATCTGAATTTTTTTTCCACTATTTCTAGATATGTTTTGAAGAGACATCTTTTAAAGTTTGAAGCTTTGTACCCGGACACTGCGATACCTGTAGGATATATACGAGGCGAACCAGTTTATGCTAGAGAATGTGTTCATACTGTACGTACATGTTATGATCTTCTAACATTGTTTCCATCGTCAAGTGGTTGAAGTTGCTGCTTTTAAACTACATGTATTCCCCCCTTCCCAGATGTTTGTACAAATCCTGCCAGGGATGATGAATTTCTTTATGTGAGGAAATTGTCTGACTATTACGAGGAAGGTGAGTGGTTCTACTCGTGCGCATCCTGCTTGCAGCCAAAATGATGCAAAGATCTCTAAACCTGCTACATGACCTTTACAGTTATGTTTTAATAAGAAACTTCATGATGTAAATACAGGTTACCTGGGGAAGACATCAAAAATTCAGATTACACTGAAATGTATTATACTGACCTCTGTACTAGTAATGCTGACTTCTATACTAGCAACATGAACAAATTATAATAAACCTCTAGCTACCATTATTTTATATGATTTTACAGTCAGATTATGTAAAGGAGCTTGATTTTGATTTTAATAAAATTTTGAGTTTTAAAATCAGAACATTCAATATTTGATATTCATTGTTAATATGATTTACTGTGTGGAAACATAAAATGTTGCAGGTTGTTTGATTGCAACCATAATATGTAACTGTATTAAAAAAATTGACTCAAATTTGTAATGGTTCTACAAACTTTAATCAAAAATGTTTTCAAGTTTTTTTTGTTTTTTTTAAATCAATCAGCTCAATGTAAAAGGTATTTTAAGTATAGACCTTTGTTTCCAGCTTCATTCCAGAGAAAATTGGTTAAAGGAAGGCAGGGCAGTTAGGGTAAGAAAATAAATTACTATAGATTTTCTATACTCATTTAATTGGCTGAGTCTTAAGTATAAGTTTATCTTCCATATGTACCAAAGCTCTGTGCTTGAACCAAGGTATGTACGTTCACAAGTCTTCCTCCGCTAGCTGTGCTGGAATGTTCTGTTCTTGTCATCCCATGTGTTACTGTGACTTAAATCTCCAATCATTATGATATAAATGTTAACATACACAACTTAAAACCACACAATCACATACCCGTGTCGATTTTGCGACTCCATAAAAAGGGTATTGCACAGCCGTGCATATATTTTGATGTGACATCATTTACTGTATACAAACATAGTGCTAAATGTTAGTGCTCCACTTAAAGGGCATTGTGAAAAATAATTATTTTTTCACTCTAAACACTCTTTATTTTGGATATGTGATAAATAGAATATTATATTCGTGCAAGTTCAATACTGACTTTAATGAACGAGTTGAATAAAGATATATTATACTAGCCTCTGGCAAGCATAATATTATTTTATTCAAGGAGTTCAATAAACTTAGTTATTCAATATCCTTTATATATATATTTTTGAATTCTTACATTATAAACTTAAATATGTTTTGAAGGTTTTGTCAATGAAAGAAAAGAAGTTATCTCCCCTTCTTTGAGATATAGAAATATGATATAGAAATATGTATAACACAATTTCAGGTTGGAGAAGAACCGTACAAGTTTGTGAAATCAAGACCAAAATGGGTAAGTTATCTGCAATATACAGATGTGTGTTTTGAAATCACTTTTTAATAAGTGTTATACATGTATCATGAAATTGCCTTTCATAGATTAAAACTTAGTACAGTGAAATTTGAGAAAACCGGACGCTGAGAAAATCGGAACTCTTTAAATACCTGACGAATGATTCAGTCCCAAATTTTCCATTCTTTAAACTATTGTATTAAACATTGACAATACCGGAATCTGTAAAAAACCTAATATCGGACGGTTGATAGGGGACTACAAAGTCAATAATATAGACAATTACCCTGACAATAACGGACGATGAAGGTGTGAATAACTTTGTGTACTTATCAATTGGTTGTGTCTAATACGTTAATTGAGCGGTAACGGAACAATGATTGTCTGATTTGTTAATTATGTCTCATTTCACAGTTTGATTTATTTTAAGGTATATATGTTACCGTTTTATATAAATGCCAAAATGCACGAGGAATTGATGAGTAAAAATCAGTTGACGAGAGCTGTCTATAAGTGACAAATTTAAAATAATTAAAAACAGTGAAACTTTGCCAAGACCTACTTTAAAAATCTTTATCTGACAAATATGGTATAGGCAATATTTACAATTGGGGAATTATTATAAACAAACAAAGTAATCTACATGTATGTTCGTTAAATCATTATTCATTACCCAAATGTAAACATATGCGGGTGTAATCGGACTTTATCGTTATGATGTAATTGTTGATTGTTTGAATCCAAACTTTTATTGTATTCATATGCAATCTGGGACATGAGTAATCTTATGTCCCACTAGCAATAATGGGACAAAAACAATTAAAAAATATTTTATAGATTTTTTATCATTCCTTTATTTAGCAATATACTTACTCATAATGATGAAAATGCAAAACATATGTTCAGCATCCTTTGTAAGTTATTGCTCGGTTTATATGATCCTGAACAGCTGAATGGGACATTGAGAATACCGGACCACTGAGAAAATCGGACAAAACCCTCGCTCCGAAAGCCATCCGGTTTTCTCAACTTTCACTGTATTACAGTTATTTGTATTTCCACTAATAAATAAAAACCAACAGTGCTTTCTCAAATCACACTGCAAGATATAAAGAAACATCAACAAAAGTGAAAACAAGTTTGTAACTTTATTTAAAAAAAAAAAAATATATAATTGATAATATTTAGGAAATAGATATAGGAAATAGATATCAATTTATAGTGCACTGATGTAGAATAATGCATGGTTTGAGTTCAAATGCACAGGAATAATTATATAATCACAAAAGGCCAATTAGTCTGAGTGAATAATTGCAAAGCATTTGGGCGATAAACCATGCATTATTACAATGCAAGAAAATTTAAAATCTATTTCCATTTTAACATGCTAATAAAAAAGAGAATTGATGAAAATATACTGAAATACATTGAGCATAGATGTAATTTTCCTGACATCATTTGGTTTATTAACGTTATATTTGACATCATATGGAGTTTAAGCATTCATTTATGGTAGAATAATGCACTTGACAGCCCTTTCTCTTTGATTGAATAGTGTGGAGCGTGTAAGAATGTACATGTATGTATATTTCAGAATCGGCCGAAAGAAGATCCTGAGGCAAAAGATTTAGAGTTGTTTGGCCTGTGGCAGACAGAGCTGTATATACCACCACCTGCTATTGATGTTAGTATATTATACATAACAGTAGCATATTGTCTTATCTTCCTTGTAAATTTATACTTAAACATATATTTGTTGGTTTGTCCGGCTTTTTAAACTTCCATTACACCATTTGTTTCTGATAGCACCTCCTGTATGAACTCATTCCTTAAAGAATTTGTGTCTTAGAACCTCTACTCTTGGTTGAATGGTTCAATTTCACTGAAATTCCAAAAGATTTTCCTCAAAAGTAAGGAACAATGTTGATTCTACTGGGGATGCCTACTTATGATTGAAAATATGTACAGAGGGGCACTTGAGACTTCAGCTGGAAAGTTGTTATATGCAATTATATACCTGAAAGTCAGTAACATTTACTTGTTGGAAAGACAACTTTGACTCAAAATCACAGATTATCTTTATTGTCTTTGTGTATACTTGTATTTACAATTTTGACCAACCAAAACAAACTTCACTATAAAAGTCAGTCTCTATAATTTACTTTTGACATTTTGTATATTTTATGTAATTTTTGTTGATACTTTAACTGTTAATAAAAACAAAACATTCCAGTCTGAGGCCTGTGTTGAAGACAAGTTGAACTTGCTTCTGATACAGTGGAAAAAAATGTTTTGTGGCAGTTTTTGCAAACAAAAAAGTTGAGGTCAACATCAACAAAAAAAGTTTATCAAATTTACCAACAAAAAATATCACCATCTGTCTTGCTCTTATGTAACTATGTTATCATATGCATGTTGTTTTAGGGAAATGTATAAACAATTAAATTGAACAAGTGTGAGAGTTATCTCTCTTACAAGTCTTTGGTTTGAATGGAACTACTGTAACCTAGTGACATGCAGACATTATTATGCTATATAAATGATTTAATTTTATACATAAATTGACAGGGTAAAGTACCAAGAAATGCTCATGGTAATGTAGAAATGTTTCTACCTTCAATGTTACCTGCAGGGACGGTCCATTTAAAAGGTAAGTTAAACTATGGTTACTTATACTTGTTTATCTGAAAGTCACCGTGTCCACATAAATCATTTCAAACAGTGATTAATTACATTAATCATAATGATAATGTCATCAACAAACTTTCACAGACATGTATGTACAGCAAACAATACTAATAGATGACAAAGTTGGAATTAATGTTCACATTTAGGGAGTATAGGATTGTTATTGCATGTGATATGCACAGGGAGACTTTTTATAACCTCTAGTATTTAAGTTTTAGTCAGTTTTTCATTACAGAAAAATGTTAAAACACTGATTATGTTTATTTTCTTGCCTGTATTTATGAAGTAATAAGTTACATATATGCTGATGTGCTTGCTGTTATGTTATTATATATATATGGTCATTTTACTTCTACCTTATTGTACATAATTTACTTTATAACATACAGTTAAAATGTTCGCTAATATATAAGTGGTATTAGATATAATAATAATGCAAATGAATTCACTCAAGTTTTAATTGGTTTATACACTTTTTGTATGATGCCATAAATTATATGCTGTGAAAAACAGAAGCATGTTAAAATAACAATTTATTGTCTATACTTTTAATTTTATTGTTGAGTTTGTTCTATATGGCATATTTCTTTATTCAAATGTTATTTCTGAAAAAAAAAACAGTCAAAAGATACAAAGCTATGATGACTTAATATTTTAAATAACTTAAATGCATAGCTGTTGAACATCTGACGCCATCTTAATTTTGTGTGCCTTTTTTCCATCCTTCTTTGAAAACAGTTAAAAGTTGATGTGTTTTGTTATGAACTTGTTGTCAATACAGTTTGTATTATTATTAAATCGCTATGCAAGTTGTTGATGGAATTATAATAATAGAGGAGAATATGGCCTTCTGATATAAATGTAATCCTCAGCTAGCACCTTTAGGTCATATATCACATTTAGGCTATATTTTCCCATATATCCCTTCATCAACTTGTATAATTAACATTATATAAATGCCAAAACTTGTTTATTTTCAGTTCCAGCTTTAAACAAGGTGGCTAAGAAGTTAGATATAGACTGTGCACCAGCTATGGTCGGCTGGGATCATCATTGTGGTTTCTCACATCCACTGTAAGTTTATTACTCTGTACTGTCTAATTTGTTAAAGTATTTGGTTTAGCAGTGGAAATTATTTACTGTATGATAATAAATGAAAATAACACATGTCAATTGCAGTCATTGAATTTAAGATTTTGAATTTACTGGCCCGAATTCCAGTTTTGAATTTATTCTACTATATATTTAACTAAATTTTCTTAAAATTTACACTGACCCGGGCCAATGGGCCAGTGCTATATTCGATGACTGCAATTGGTACACAACAGTTACTATGTTTATTCTAACAATTTTAATTCAAACAATTTTCCTATGAGAATGGAAAAGGCAAACACAGAAAATAATTTTATGAAATGTGAATTTTGACTATAAGCATCTCTTTGACACAGATCTGTGATTGCCCCAAAGTCTATTTTCAGATGTATGTAAGTGTTTGTGACCCAGTTGCCTTTTCCCTATGGTTAATTCAAAACAAAAGTCGAGGGTTGCTGGTTTGTGTATAATTTGTAGTAGACACTAATATATCATATACAGTCCATCAGATCAACATTTCAACACATACATAGCACACATATATCATAGTACTAGCGTAGCATAGCAACAAGCCCTGAAAATATACATATTAAACATTCCTTACATCATGAAATATATGATACAACATATATATATTATCTTTAAATACATGTGTAACAAATCCATTATATCAACAGATCAGTCCATAGGAATATTCTAAAAATTTTACCTTTTCGAAATAAGATCATTCATACACAAAATACATATCTGATCCTACTGAACTTGCATCTAGTGACCACTTAACCAGTTATTTCTAAAAACAATATTAAATGTATCATTACCTTAAAAATATACATGTAGTTACAAAATATATAATAATTACATATAAACATAACATACCTACATCACACCTGTCTGTCTCACTGTGCTGTGAATTATGCTGTATAACTGTAATTTACAAACATCAGTGTAATACAAATATAAACAGTGATTTCTATGAATTACTGTAAGACAAGAAAGTATGTTGCCATCTGGAATTCTAACACTCAAGAATATTACTAATTTATCAAAATAACTTCTATCAAATCCACAACTGTATTAATTGAAATAAGTCTTCATTTAGTTGACATTAGAATATTTAAGAACAAATAAATAAAACATGCCAATACCAAATTCCTCAAACCTTAATATTTAAATGATAATTTCTAAGTCAGAAAACACATATACATGTCACAATGACCATCAACTTCTGATAACACAAAGAATGACCTCAGATGACCCTAACTTTAGGATGGAAATGTTAAGGATGAGCAGATAGCATATTAAAATTTTGGTCAAAGGGACATAATCACACAAAGCTAAGATTAAAATCAAACAAGGTGGACAGATTTGTCTTTCTTGGAAAATAAGAATAGACCTTAAAAATAGCACTTGGGATATGTATTTTGGAAATTATGTTCTGGGGTTTAAGACAAATATGTGATAGAACTGGCAAATAATGCACAAATTTAAACAATCAGTGTTATGTGAGATATAATCATATACAACTATATTTCCATATTGTAGGGAATTCAATACGAACAACTTTTCATTACTACAACAAATCTTGCTTTGTTCCTAACTGTCATGTTTATATGTAGACTTGTTATGTATAATACATATTTATTAATGTTTATATTTAAACTTATTATATATAATACATATTTAGTAATGTTTATATTTAAAGCTGCATGCCTCCAGATGAGTCAAAATATTTCAATAAAATCAAACTTGAGAAATATGTACTAAGATTTTAGGAAAAGTAAAATGATTAAGATTCAAGTAATATTTTACATGTTATGTGCGGTTAATGACTGATTTTTCGGTAATTACAAGTATATTTCTACTGCTTTACTAAGGCAGTAAGGGCTATTTATGCATATTTTGACCATTTTTTGGTAATTTACGTGGTTATAAGTGCCATTGATAATGTGTAAATTGCTTCCTTTTGGTTATTTCACAATATTATTCATTCAAATACATTTTCAAAATTTTCATGAAAATTAGAATGAATCTGGAGGCGTGCTGCTTTAAACTTATTATGTATAATACATATTAAGTTATGTTTATAATTATTTAAACTTGTTATGTATAAAACATATTTATTAATGTTTATATTTAAACTTGTTAAGTATAATACATATTTTTCATGTATAGAATGGATGGTTGGATAGTATGTGAGGAATATAAAGACATTCTATTAGCTGCCTGGGATGAAGAACAAGAAATTATTAGAGAAAAAGAACAACAAGTAAGTATATTACCAAGTTAGTGATCATAACAAGTAATTTTTATACCAGAAGTGGTAAGTAAGTAACATTCTTACTTGAGTAAGTGGTAACAACAAATCAATATTACACAAGCTAAAAACTGGACAGTTACAAACAGGTTATGAAATTAATTAAGTAAATAGATAGAAAATAAAATACCCTTGGTAAATATATAAATCTATGTTTTATGGTAAAACGATCTGTTAACCACATACAGACATGATATATAAACAATACTTCATGGAAAGGTATTAATATAAGTGTTATGCTTGTTTTCCAATCCATATATATTGTGATGTAAAAATGTAACATGCTTGTAAAATTGATAAATAAAATATGTTTAAAGTAATACTTCATTAGACATGTTGTTATAATTTTGTTTGTTTAGAAACGAGAGAAGAGAGTTTATGACAACTGGAGGAAACTAATCAGGGGAATGATGATAAAAGAAAGGTTAAAGAAACGATTTGATCTGGAGGCAAGTTAAATACGTGTAATTCTTCATCTTAAGCTCGACATGTAATATAGTCTGGAAATCCTACTAACCTTGGCATAGGCATAACATTTAATGACTTGTAACTAAGTTAATCACTTCACTTATGTACTTGGAAACGTATCTGTAGGTCACTTTCATAAGATTATAGATGGTGATTATCATTTCTTTATAACCCACTTATCTATTTTGAACCACAGTGTTATCTATGTCTTATTTTCAGAAATTCTGCAGTATGTCAAAAATATGTATGCCAGTTCAGATTGACAGCTTCATAACATTTAATGACTCTTAAAAAAAAAAGTAATTCAGTTAAAACATGCACTTGGAATCATATATGTAGGTTAATTTCATAAGATTATACATGTCAGTACATGTACTTTCAAATTCACTGTATGTTATGTTCATGTATATATATATACACACCATACATAGAGGGGAGTATAATTTCTTTATAACACACTTACCTATTTTGAAGTACAGTGTTATCTACGACTCATTTTCAGAAATTCTGCAGTACGTCGAACCTTTTGAATGTTTTTCCTTTGGCAATTTCATAACAAACATGGATTTGTTTATAGTGTACCTCTGTTCAAATTTAAAAAGTTTTCTGTCTACAATTTTTATTAAAATTTACGTTTTTATTGTATGAAAAGGTTTTTATCAATTCCTGCACTGCTATGATAAAAATTATAATGTTTATTATTGTTTTCATAATGGCCCTGTTATTGGGCTGAAGACTGACATCCAAAGATAATGGCCTTGTTATTGGGCTGAAGACTGTCATCCAAAGGCTAATATGACAGTCTAAAAGCCCAATAACAAGGCCATTATGAAAACACTTGGATTATTGACAATTTTGTTCATTAACTATACATAATATAAAAAAGTTAAGTACTTAGTGAACAAAAAATAACTAATGAGAAATTCCAATGTTGTGAGATAATCAAAGTTGTCCAATCTCATAATAGCCGAGTTTTCTTATAAAGGCCGTACTTTTTGTATATTGGCCTTGTTTTATGGTCATAATGTTGTGGTGAACTTCATATTAGCCTTACATTTGAAGTGAAAACGTTCCTAAAATTGAAAAGTTGATTAATAATGGATCATATTCAATAAAATATGTATGCCAATTCAGATTGACAGCTTCATTTGAGATGCATGTGTCACTTTACAGTCTTTATTGAAATATTCTGTTACTACTTGTTATACAGGAGAAACCAGTAGAGGATGGTAATAAACCTGATGATATAGTAAAACCTGACAATAAACAACAACCAGCAGGTACAACAAATAAAGTTGTAGAGAAAGCAACAGACAAGAAACATGCCTGGCCTCAAAATAGAATGGTGAACAAACAACAACATGTATGTGCTGTAGAGGAACTCTGATCACCATGACTGTGCCAGTTACAATCATAAATAGTCACTATTTTTCTTTGTGACACAGGAAGATTACTTTCATTTGCATGAAAAAATTTACATAAATATCAACTTTTTTTATACAAAACAACTAAATTTCCAGTTCAGGAATTTTATTAAAGTCTTCCTTAATTAATGATTGTTAAGTTAGTGTAATGTGTAAATGTCAACCATGTAAGTTTTACTTTGATGTTTTCATAGAGAAACATAAAGTCACTGTTATAAACATTTGTACATGTATTATAACAGTTACTTGTAAATAAAATATTGAAGCTATATAAAGATAGGCACCCATACATTTAGGTGCAAAAGTAATAAACAATTCTAACACGACTTGCATTTTTTCCTATTGGGCATAAAATTGAAAGTGTGTTATTATGCAAGAAAATCTCTGTTGGCGTTCTATATTAAGATATGTGAAGTAATCATTTTATGTTCGATGTAACCACTAAAAATGCGACCCCCTGAAAATAAGTACGGAAACAAATCAGGCGCAATTTAACGTAGCAGTTGTGTAAGAATCAAAATAATATATCCAAATAGGTGATTTTATTGCTTGATAAAATCAATGTTTGTTGAGATGTGCATCATTATATCACTCGGGCTACGCCCTCATGATATAATTCCTCGCATCCAAATAAAGTTGTTTTTTTTTAGTGAAAATCACTGATTTGGATATATCATTTCTTAAATATAAGCAGGGCATAGTCTAGTATAATCTATTTCTCAAATACAGTGTAATTAAAATGACTGGCCAAGTTAATTTTATAGAGAAATATTTTTTGTTATGGGTAATAATCTCAAATATTGTTCACTATACATCCTTTGTAATTTTCATATGTTGAATCTCTCAATCAGACGCATCGTGGAATATAGGAATATATTAGATATAGTGTTTTATGAATGTTGAAATATTCGGTTGTTATTCTATTGACTATGTGATGGTATTTACCAGAATACATGTATATATAGCAGTGTTACATATAACCTGTCTTAACTAACCAATTATAGTACCACATTTTGTGTTCACTTGATATTTGATACAATTTTTATGCATTTATGTTGATTATTCAATAAAAGTATAAGTACCATTGGTATCTCTTTCTTATATATCCATATATAACATACCCCTTACAATGTTAAAGGTTTGACGTTTTGGTGTCTGTTAAGCATCCATTTATCAAACTTGCCCTTCACCTCTGAGTTTGAATCTGCTAATGACTTGGGATTCTTATATGTGAAGAAGTTCTCCAGCCAGCTTACAGAACATCGGTGGTTTTACTCTGATGCCCTTTTATGCCTGAAATAATCCATGGAGATGCACTCAAGGCCTTCCTCCACCAGTAAAGCTGGGAAGTTGCTGTTTTACCTCTACTGTATTGGTGCAATGTATAAACCAAAAGAAAAGAGAATGAAAAATTGTTTGAAGATCAAAAATGTTTAGATAAGGTAATAGACCCATTTACGAAACTACATGTACTTCATTATTCTTGAAAAACTAAATCACTCCCCGGGGTGGGAACATTTCATATGTGCACAAGTCTTAAATTTCTCCTTTTTTTTATATAGAGGTCTTGAAGGCAATATCTCATTCCAAATATATTAGCTTGAAGCATTATAGTCTTCAAAGCAATGTTATATGCTAAATATATAAGCATTATACATTTTGTAGTTTTCCACTCATAAGTTTACATTAGTGTATGACCCACTGGGCGGCGGAAAGTGTAACGTTTAGACGACTTCAATTTGATGCTACATGCTAAATATTTAAGCTGTGCTTGGCAGTTGAGAAACAAAATATTTCCAAAATCTGTACATTATAAAAATCTACATAAACTTAGGGACCTCCAGGGTGTGACCAATTTTTATGTCAGAGTGATGATTTATGTAACTTTTGTAGAGGTTTACTTAACAAATTCTACATGCCAAATATCTAAGCTTTGTGCATCATTGTTTCACAGTATAAAACATAAATGTATTTTCCTATACAAGTCTTTTGTTAATTAAGTAACCCCAGAGTCGGTCCAATATTGACCCTACCTGAAATCCCCACAAAGAATTAAGGTCCTTGTAGGTTACAACACACTAAATATTTAAGATAGCAACAAATAAAAGATGCCATCAGAAAAGATAAGTTTAAAGTTTTGTCAATTGCAGAAAGTATGGCATACCAGCAACTATTATATATTCCACTGACATGTTTGGGAAGCATACATATTTGCCTAGAGTGAATAACACATGCACAAAGTGTAAGCAAAATCTTTCTGTTCAAATTACAATTTTAACCAAGATCTTTAGAACATATAATTTTCTCGTCTAGTGGATAGGAACATGGATAAAAGATGACACTTGCCGATATGATTTGTTAAATTATTCAAAGGCTAACTAGGACTTACATCTTCAAACAATATTTTGTTCATATTTTACAAGTAATGTCTTCGTGAAAAATGACTATTGGAGGGGCCCTAAAACACAGATTTTTAACTCTAGTAAAGTCAGGATAGCAGACACTCTGATAAATCCTTTATTTACACATTTATGTGCAACAAATAATCAATAGACAGTTCAACAGAGAAGTTAATTAAATAATGGGCTGTTGAAATTTAAACCAATACTTTTGTATATCACAAATAGGGCAGTCATATTTACATATTCTAAGAAAGCTGTTCTGAGTGATGATAAAATAGACAGCTATTGAAGTTAATTTGCACAAAATATTTACCATACATAATGGATTATTGATAAAATAACAACTTAACAAACTTTCATATAATCATAATCAACATTAATTTTTTAATTTGAATTTAGCATTATTAACATTAAATAACACCAAAATTATTTAAAAGATACTTTATAATCAAATATTTTTATTTCTTATTTCATGATAAGGTTTATTGTTTCAGAAATCGTATAATTATTATCCCTTACAACGTTATAAACATTAACAAATAATGTCATTAAATCCTTAAAAATGTCAATTCCAATTTGTACAAAATAGTATAAATCAGACAGTTTTAATTGACATTAAATCTTCTACAGATATATAATACTAGGATGTTTCAGTGTGAAATGTTTTAGTTTCCTCCTGGCTCAGCGGAATATTTCCAGGAGGTGCGACGAAATAATCTTCATCACGTTTCACTGCATTTTGAAGAATAGATTTTTTACATCCACCTTCTGTCACAATATCATCACGAAGCAGGAGTTCACGATCCTCTAACACTGAATACATAGGTTCTACATCGTCTGTATTAACCATATATAACTGATTTGCATATTCTATAGCACTCCGCAACCTGTCTACACCTGCTTTATTATTCACCTCCACTAATGACAGTCGTTCAAGATGATTAATCATTTCATCTGTAAGGTCTGGGACAGGAGGAAGATTCTTTGGGTTTATTTCCTTCCACTGGGGTTCATTTGGTATCTTGGAGTTTAAACAACAAACTCTCTGACCAAAGTTAACACTGCATAATCTATTTAGTCTCAACACTTTGAAAGCTATATTAAGAGCCATTGTTTCAATAAACAAATTAAACTGCACACCAAAAAAGATTAAGATAGCAAAGTACACAGTATCAATGTTTTCTTTTTTAAATGTGACCTTAACCTTCAATTTCTTCTTCTTTGGCTTGCATTGCTCTGATCTCTGCTTTACGTATTTCTACTTTTTCCTGAAATCCCTGAAATAAAATAAAAGAGGAAACATGTAATAACCAGTATGATTCAGGATAAGACACAGCAGCATTTGTTGTTGTTTTATCCTGCTACTGTCTATATCATCAGCTGGATAAAGCCTTGCCCGATAAACTTATCTATCTCCGGTCATTTAGTCACATGATGACGTCACATGTTAAGCAGCAAAAAGAAACTGCAAATAGATGCTATTTTATTAGGGAAAAAGAAGAATGAAACCATTTAATTATTCTAAAAACATGATAAAAAGCAGGATTAATCAAATACATGGTTGATGTCGGGATGGAGAAAGTTTATCCGGTTCACGGCGCCAGTGAATCTTGGCTCGCTAAAGCTCGACAAAATACACTTTCTCGCTCACCGGATAAATCTTCTCCATCCCTACATTTTTTCTATATATTTTGTTGGTTGGGTTTTACGACACACAAATACAGTATAGGTCATGTGGTAACTTTCCAGAGAAGATCTCAGGTGCCATTCTGTGCATTATTCCAGGCACAAACGGGCACCTGAGTAAAACCGACCACATTCTGAAAGTTAGAGCAGTAATTGTAGAACCAGACTAAATGCCCAACAAGGTATTCCATAATGGTTCTGATTAAATATATAAGAAATTCCTTGATAATAAAAACAACAAAAAATAAGTTCATTGTTTAAATTTTTGAAAACTAACCTAACAGTTTATTTAGTTTGATTTGAATATGGTTTAAACATATTTATTTAAACTCGATTGCGAAACAAGTTCTTTCAACTTATATTAATCACTTTCGAGTCCGCTTCCTGGAACCAACCAGTACTGGTGTCATATGAAGAAACATGGCCATGACCGGATAAGAGCTCAAACCAATGATCCATGGGTTGAGAGGCAGACACCTAACCCACTGCTCTCCTTTAGTTTGAATATCAGCTACAAATAAAATGTGTATATTGTAATAATATTATAATATATAATAATATTGTAACACATGAACCGACATTTGTATTTATAAAAATATACAGTTACACATGAATTACACATGTTAAAAACAGTCAGTTTAGTTCAACAGGTAGATTGTTCAATAAGTTGGAATATGAATCAGGGGACCAGGGTTCTATACCCAGAATGTGCATATAAATATCATTTTCTTTGTGATATTTCAAGAAATCTTATCCATGGTCAATTGTACTGTCCCTCTGCTCTGGCAGAAGTTACCAGTTCCTTGCAAAAGTGAAAGTACTAATACTGGTTAACTGCCTGACAGTATACCTAGGAACAATGCAGTGGCTCTGATGAATTCAAAGTGGCTTACAACTGAACTACCAACACCACCAACACATATTTTAAAGAAATACTGTTTTTACATCTGAATTAACTTACTGACATGTTAAAGTTTTATAAATATATCTTACAGCAAGTGGTTTATATATACTGTGTGTAAACTGAGATCCCAGTAACATTGAAAACACTGCAGCTGCTGTTACTGTTAAATATCTTTTCCATGAAACTCCAGCAGGCATACTTCAATCAAACTGTAATATAAAATTAATTAATCATTATTTATCCATAAGATGTATATGTATCTAATGAACTATCTCTGAGATGAATATGTATCTAATGAACTATCTCTGAGATGTAAATGTATATTATGAACTATCTCTAAGACGTATATGCATCTAATGAACTATCTCTGAGATATATATGTATCTAATGAACTATCTCTGAGATGTATATATATCTAATGAACTATCTCTGATATTTATCTAATGAACTATCTCTGAAATATATATGAATCTAATGAACTATCTCTGATATGTATCTAATGAACTATCTCTAAAATATATTTGTATCTAATGAACTATCTCTGAGATGTATATGTATCAAATGAACTATCTCTGAGATGTACATGTATCTAATGAACTATCTCTGATATGTATCTAATGAACTATCTCTGAAATATATATGTATCTAATGAACTATCTCTGAGATGTATATGTATCAAATGAACTATCTCTTAGATGTATATGTATCTAATGAACTATCTCCGAGATGTATCTAATGAACTTTCTCTGAGATGTATCTAATGAACTATCTTCGAGATGTATAAAAATGAACTATTTCTTCGATGTATATGTATCTAATGAACTATCTTTTAGATGTATATGTATCTAATGAACTATCTCTGAGATGTATCTGATGAACTTTCTCTGAGATGTATCTAATGAACTATCTTTGAGATGTATCTAATGAACTATCTCTGAGATGTACATGTATCTAATGAACTATCTCTGATATGTATCTAATGAACTATCTCTGAAATATATATGTATCTAATGAACTATCTCTGAGATGTATATGTACCAAATGAACTATCTCTTAGATGTATATGTATCTAATGAACTATCTCTGAGATGTATCAAATGAACTTTCTCCGAGATGTATCTAATGAACTATCTTCGAGATGTATAAAATGAACTATTTCTTAGATGTATATGTATCTAATGAACTATCTTTTAGATGTATATGTATCTAATGAACTATCTCTGAGATGTATCTAATGAACTTTCTCTGAGATGTATCTAATGAACTATCTTTGAGATGTATCTAATGAACTATCTCTGAGATGTATATGTATCTTATGAACTATCTGTGAGATGCAGTTGTAAGACCAACACATAAATGATAGTCAATCATCTAAATTTTGTGAAACTTCTTGCTACATGAGATTGTTTGTTTCAGTTCCTGTTGATATGTAACATCATACCATATTAAACATTCTACACAAATCGAAACATTAACATTGATGATATTACATGACTGTACTGTATCATTTGTCTGTATCATTTGATTTGACTGTATAAAGTTGTATTCCCATGAGTGTTTATAATGGTTGTATACTTTACACAACACAAGTGATACTATTCCGCAGAACGGCACACTTCTGTACTTTATACATTTTGTGCATATCACATCATATTTACCAGCCAAAAAGTCTATATCCTTTATATAACATGTATATTTATATTCATCATTCATAAAATAAAAACAGTTAATATACCCTGAAATTGATTTGTAATTCTTACTTTTTAACCAATCACAGAAAAGTAACTATTTCAAAGATATTTATAGATAATATAATAATATACAATATGGACATACCTAGTGGACAGTTTATTTTTGAAATTTTAGCTGTGCAAATACTTTTTCTCTTAGTTTTTCTCGTTCTATCTGTTTCCAAGCCTCTTCTTCTACCTGTTTCCTTGTGTATGTTTTATCTGCAAAAATAAACATCATTGTCAAGCCCCTATTACTGTAACCCTCGTTCTGCTTGAACCTACTGTGATTAACTTTTGTCATCAGTATCGAGCCAGGCCAGCCTGCACCTCCGTGTAGTCTTACAAGGTTCTAGTCTGTTAGCCAACTTCAAATTTTCATTCTAATATTACCAAAAATAGATAGGCAGTTCCAAAAATGGAAGCTGGCAAAGCCCAGGAAATTCAGCAAGCCAAAAGAGGTATTAAGGAAGTTAGATTTTTATATCTTTTTATATTTCAAATAAAATGTTTAAATATCAATATTCGTAAATATAAGAAAACACAGGTAGACATAAGTCTTATGATTTCCTTTCATTTATATTGTTTTTTTCATAATTAAATATTTAGAATCATATCAATTTTCATCCTTACGCTTCTACATATCTATATTTATACTGCCATACATTATAATAGATATTTCATAACACTTACAAGATAAAGTTGCTTTTTCCCTTGTTTTTGTTTCTCATTTATACAATTAAGGAACTATGACAAACATAAATGAAATTATAAAGCATTACTTCACTATTTAAGTAAAGGTATCTTGTGACAACTTCATCACAAAATTAATTAACTGATGCTTATTGATTTGTTTCAAGTGACTAGTCACACCACCAACAATATACAATGTACAGTAATTTATAAGGTCGATGTCATATGATGACTTAGATTAAAGACAACCTCTTTGTGCATTGTCTGACATCACTAACCTTCCATAAGATAGCTGGATAGCTTCCTCACATGAAAGAGTCAATATCTGATGGGAATTCAACCCATAGCAGTTTGGGGCAAGTGTTTTAAGTCAGCCATCTTAAGCAATTAGCTACATACCAGTAGGTCACACTTATCTTAATATTTCAATACTTACAAAAGTTGTGACCATTCACAGTCCACTTGATCATAGCCAATTCTAAAAGAGCTCCATAAACAAAGAAGAATGGCATAAACCTGTAAACTCCTAGCCTTCTCTTGCCTGGTACTTTATTTAAGATGTTTTGTATGAAATGCATTATCTCATTTTTCCATCCTGAAAAAAGAGACATTAAATAAAATATAATTAATGATTAAATTGTCAAATTAAGTAATCAGTGTATCAAACAACGATTGGAACATGTGACAAAAAGTTGCCCAAACCAAGGCCCAACATCACCTTGCCCTAACCTGACTGTAGTGACATCATCTTGCCCAAACCTTGGTCTGACATCACCTTACCTGAACCTTGGCCTGATATCACCTTGCCCGAAATTACCTTGCCCTAACCTTGGTCTAACATCATCTTGCCCTAACCTTGGTCTGACATCATCTTGCCCTAACCTTGGTCTGACATCACCTTGCCCTAACCTAGGTCTGACATCACCTTGCCCTAAACTTGGTCTGACATCACCTTGCCCTAACCTTGGTCTGACATCACCTTGCCCTAACCTTGGTCTGACATCACCTTGCCCTAACCTTAGCCCATGTCACCTTGCCCTAACCTTGGTCTGACATCACCTTGCCCAAACCTAGGTCTGACATCACCTTGCCCACACCTAAGTCTAACACCACTTTGCCCTAACCGTACGGGCTAGCTAATATACGTACCTGCCGTGAATGATGTCATACGAGGTCTCGCGTGGCACCTAAATGTCATGGCCCACTGTGGTCGGCGTTATTGATGTTTTACAGTTAAAAAGGCAATTTTAATGACGGTATTAATATTTCGATACTTTAATTGGTATAGAACAATGTTAAAAGAATTGTTTTATTGTAAAATGCACAAGAATTGATTTGGTCAAGTGTATTTGCAAGTGAAAAATAAGGTTAAATCAACTTATGTTATTCCGTTTAGGTTTCGTAACGGGTCTAAACTTTAATGCTGCATCAGATGACAAACAAAAATGTTAAATAGCGGCTTATAAAGTTTTAGAAGCCAGAACTACTTAGCCCCACGATAATAAGAGACAACAGGATACACCAGTCTAGGATAATATTATATATCATTAAATATAAAAAAATATGGTTTTATAATGTCTTTTCTCATGATTAGCAATGTCACACGCCGAAATTTTGTGACATGTCACAATTACATGATCATTTTTTTCTTCCAAAAGTAATGTGGGCGAATCGGGTGTTGGGCGAATCAAGAGTGGGGCGAATCATTTCAAAACAAACAAATTTTACTGATTCACATCGTTAGTAGCTATTTTATTCTATAAAGCTGGTTAAAGATAAGCATTTAAGTAGATAAAAAAACTTAAATTTAAATTATAATGAAAACTTATTGAAGTTATAGATCTAGATCTATTTCACGGTTATGTAAATACATGCCTTCTTCGACCTTCGCAGCGATTACCTCCCTTAGCAGGCAATTTTCCGGCTTTTTTCCGTCAGTCTTCCGACGATGGTCCGATTGATCCGAAGACTGCCGGAAAGGACCGAAAAGTTGCGATGCAGCCAATAGGTCAGACTCTCGTATTGGTTTTTCCAAGATAGAATAGAATAGAATAGAATAACTTTTATTTCCAATCAAGGGTCATGTTAAATGACATGTGAATCACAATAATAATAATGAGATCAAAGATCAAATAAAGACGTTAAAGAAACTAAAACTTGATTCGTATTATAGTAACAACAATAAACTTAAAGAAAAAACAAAAACAAAACAAACACAGCAAATGACAGGGTTTCGCGAACTATAATTAAACATCATAACTACATATATATATATGAATTGAAAATTACATTTTGTTTTTATTCTTCGAATAACATTTAATTTACACAAACAGATAGCGTATACCTGTTTTGTAACAAAACTGTACAATACACATGTCTCTCTCAATTTTAAAAAAATATATATATATATATATTCTCTCATTAATTTCTATATATATATATATATATATATATATATATATATATATATATATATATATATATATATATATATATATATATATATATATATATATATATATATATATATATATATATATAGTTATACAAGTTAAATTAATTTATGTTTTCTCATTACCATTTCTGAGTTTAAAACAAGTAAAAATAAAATCTACAAATTGTTTTATGATTTTTTCATCTTCGTTGCTCATTAACCAAATGAATTTGCTTATTTCAGACATTTTTTCAAAGTTTAAATTCTTATCTTTTATTTCACTATATAAAATGCTGCGTTGACTAGTAAAAGCATTGCAAGCAGTAACAAAATGTAGCTCGTCTTCAACTTCATTTGAGTTGCAAACTTCGCAAACTCTTTTATCAGACTTGATTTTTTTTATATCTCCCAATCTCTATTTGTAATTTGTGAGAACTTATCCTTAACTTTGTAAAACAAGCTCTAATATTTTTATCTTTGATTACTGCTAAATAAGGTTCCCTACAAAAATTTGTTTTAAACAGTGCATAAGTACGTAGTTTACAAGGTATGACTAATTACCGTTCACGTATTTGAAGAGAATACCGAATATGAATATTTTTTTCATAAAATTTTGACGTAGGGTCAAATATTGCACTTTATTTAACATATTCACGTACCTTAGTGAATATTTGTTTTTCCATAGACATTATGAGAAAATTATGGTCTAAAATTGAGTGTTTTTTTTCACCCAATCGCTGGCCAATTTGAAAGTCTGAGCTGAATACATAATAAAACACAGACAATGCATGCATACACTCCCAACTTTCCCTAATTGCGTGTATTTCGCTGAGAAGGCACAGGGCACTGCCCGGCATCGGCAAAAGGTTTGCGGCTTGGCGGATAATAAACTTAAAAATCACTCTGTCCGTTATCAGCACTTGTATACTTCGTCAACAATTTGGGACCAGCAGCCGATGTCCTGATTTAAGCCAATGGGAGTGGCCCTACGATGTATGCAGAGAGGATGGTACGTGTGCTAGGGAGCGTGAGCCCCTAGCACAGATGGACGGCTTGTAAGGCAGCGCCTTTGCTAAGCACCAACAGCACTTTTAAGGCCGCTACGTACCTCCTTTCATAATTGTCACAAACAAACAATTTAAACAGATCTTAATTATTCTCCTTGACTTCAGCTAAGCAATTTATAAAGTAAATCACCGTAAATTACTTCTTGCCTTTGAACAAGACAACGGTGTCCCAACAAAACTTCTCATGCATTTGGACACGCTCTTCCTAATAGGTAGGAGCACGGATCATATTTACAATAGTAATATAAATCCGTGGTCGGAGTCAATTGGTTGTACTGGATGATGAACACTCTACAGAAGTCCCAGTAAAACTGTTGTCCCCCAACGCTCTGTCCTTGGCGCGCTCTGCTTTCTCATTTATATAAATGAACTTCCATCTACTGTCTTCAAGTCTCAAATTCGCCTCTTTGCAGATGACACCGTGGTCTACATCAATATAAACTCTTCCCCAGACTCGCAATCCTTACAGGAGGCTCTCAGTAAGATGCAAATCTGGGAAAGGGAGTGGGACATGGAATTCAACCCCTTTAAAATGCAAGTCCTTCAGATCATAAAAAGTATTTCATGGCCAAGTTTTAACATCAAATACATAGGTCTAGTCCGCTCCACATATTTAAACTACAATACACACATTTCAAGAATAACATCAAATGCAAGCAAAACCCTACGATTCATTAAACAAACAAAAAAAAAGGAAAAAGTGAACCAATTTACTAATATATCCCAAGTAAGTGCATCAACTGTTTTGAGCCCTCGCACACAATCGAACACCCAAAAAATAAAGAAGGTCCAAAGACGAGTGATACGCTGGATGAAACGCGACTATTCCCCCATTGTCATCAGTATTAACAGTCATACGGGAAGATCTTGGCTGGCGTTCTCTCAAGCATCGCATATTTTAGACTTTAGACTCATTATGTTTTTCAAATTTACCACAACCTAGTAGCCATGCACTAGCCATTGATATGCCAGCACTATTAAGTGTTGAGAATCGAGTACCGCTCAAGCCGGTGCTATGGGGCGTGGGGGATATTGCACTTATTCATTATCCCTCATTTACAGACTCAACCAAACCGAGTCTGCAATTTTCATGTAATTTTGTTGTGATTTATACTTCCGAGGGATCATTTTGTTTCCAGATTTGTATTACTACCTACATAAAACCCCCATCTAGGCTTACTAGACATATTCACCCCTTTCTCTTAGGAACATACAGATAACACCAGACTACCCTATATAAGATCTTGTTTTCAACCACTGTATCACACTTTGGGACCAGATTTCCAGTAACATTTTGACCCTGCCTGATCTTAATCAATTCAAACAGGTGGTGACTGAGAAGTAGTATTATAGTTGACTTGTTGTGTTTTTATTTCTAATCTTCCTTCACTCTTGCTAATAAAAACATTTTAACAATGACCCGAAGCTTTTAAAGTCACTCATTGTCCTACCTAATAATGTTCATTTTCAAGTTTTTACTTTCTCTCACACCATTTACTAACACATCCGACGTGCACTTTTCCTGCCTATATATATAACACTTGCGAGAGTGTTTAATTCGCTTGTGACTGTCTAACTGGTTGAAATTCACTAGCCTTTCACATTTGCTATAATACAAAACAGAATCTTTGAAATTATATATTTGACATCCAACGGAAAATAAAATCTGTTCCGGTAAAATTATTATTGAACATATACCTGACAATCATAATCAATTATGAAAATGCTCACTGATGTCTAATTATAATCCAATCCGTAACCTCGAAATACACAGAACGGATACGATATTCCGATCTAACCTACTCTAGAAACAATTTTAATGCTAGGAGTTGAAGAATAAATCTATACGAATATATACTTAAGGATTGGACCAAATGGTTTTGCAACATTAATGTTTAAATGCCTTTAAATGCCTAACATCAGTTTCACAAAGTAAAGATATATTATATTAAAGTTAATATGCATTAAGTAATTCTACATTTTTATTTTTAAAGATGAACTAAAAATGAAGAGGAAACAAAATGTTGCTGTACTATCTCGTTTTTCTATCCCGCTAACGACCTTATCATCTTTAAAATTGCCCGAATTTTCTGATAAACGTCTGTGACTGATCAAATACGAGGGATTTCTTTTATTATTTCAAATGTTTCTAAAGAAGGTTTTCTGAACTGTTGACAATCTTTTACGGCGTAAAAAGTTAAAATACTAATAATCGCTAAACTAATTATGCAAATAAAGCAAACATATTTAAATATCACACATTTGGCATTTATCTTATCCACTTGAACTGATTATATTAAACGGGTCATCCTAAATAATCATGTTTTTATTTTTGGGATTTTTCACTCATTTAAGTTAGTCATGGCATGTAAAGTACTGGTTGTACAACTACAGCTTACATCATTTTAATCATTTTTCAAAACAAAAGTGGTAAACACCCAAGGAATAAAAATAGATATATTTTTTACAATAAACTTCCTGGTTCAATCTTATTTCCCCAATATGTATAAATATATCTTAACTGTCTATTACATCCGGTTTCATTTTCAAAACCAAACTACGCATAAACATGGATAAACGGGTAAATATATAGTATAAAATTTAAAATAAATATATAAAAATCAAGTAAACTAACATATTAAGAGTGAGTGTTTAAAATATTCAAAAGGTTTGAACAAATAAACAGTTTCTTTTACAACTCTCTCTTATTTTATATATTTTCATTTTGATAATTGTTTCTGAGATTGTTTTTTAAAAATCATGTAATCAAACTTAAGCGTACCCTGTCATATTTTAGCAGCTACTTTATATGTAGAAACACTTAACATCCAGGCTTTAAGCAAAATAAAAAACTATAAAAAATTCGATAATTATCTTAGAAGCGGCCTTGTTCTTATACACTCAGGAACCTGAGAAGAATGAAGGTAACCCTGAAAAGAATATAAAACACTCTGACCAGAAAGATAAAGTTGTTAAAAGAAAAAACAGAGAAGAAGATAGGAAAAAGCGTTCAAAATTACCAAGTCAAGATAACTTTAATGAAGGGAATGGCAATAAAACACCCCAGCAAGAGTTGAGCAGTGAAGACAACGGGGATGATGATGAGGAGGAACAGTCAAATTTGAGTAACACAGGAATAAGAGATGTATGGCAAAGATCAGAATTAAGTGGCGGCGAAGAGATTAACAATGAAAGGAAATATTTAAAGCTGAGTAACAAAGCAAAATGCACTGAATGGCAATATCCAGAGCTAAGCGATGGGTATAGTGATGTTGAGGTGAAAGGATCAGAGTTCAGTAACAAATCGAATAGAAATGAATGGCCACAACCAGAGTTGAACAATCGAGAAAATGACAATGAAGGGGAAGATTTAAAGTTAAGTAACAAAGGGAATGACATTGAAGGACAAAAGCCGGTTTTGAGCGTTAGTGTCAGTATTGATGAGGGAAAGAAGTCACAGGTAGATGGTGAAGCGAATGGCAATAAGGACAATTGCCATAAGTTATTCGATAAAGACAGTCATCGTGATGAGAACACGTATAAGTTGAGTGGTGAGAGCAGTGATGGTGTGGAACAAAACGTGAGTTATGGCTACGATGGCAATAAACGTCAACGGCCAGAATCGAGGGGTGATGAAGAACAACACAAACAACTAATTGATAAAGGACAAGAACAGCATCCAAACTCGAGTGACGGGGACAATAGTAATGAAAGAAAAAGGCCAGTGTTGAGCTGCAGAGGTGTTGACAATGAGGGAAGACAGACACCACTGAGCTTCAAATCAGATAAACACGAAAAAGAAAATAATGACGGAGAGATTCGTTGTGAAGACGATATTGATAATCATTTAAAATTAAGAAATGAAAACGACAGTGATGAACAACGCAACTCATTTTCAAATGACAAATGTATGTCGGGTAATGGTTTCAGAAAATTAAAAGAAAACAGCGATGATTGTATACTTTACAAGCGTAGTTATGATTCACCATCTTCAAATGAAACCTTTCTGTATACTCGCATTAATAATAATGTAACTTCTAGGGAAAGCATGCCCCAAAATAACGAGTCAGGTAAAGAAAATATTACACCTGAGCCTCGCATTGGATTATTTAAGGTTCATGACAATGACAATATGAATGATTCTGTAACGGGCAAAGAAGAATTGCACATACACATATCTTTTGATAGTGGAACCGATAATCATAGTCGAGAAAGCGAAACAATCCCTAAAGAGAGAATAGATCGAAATAATAATTATAGGGAATCTGGAAGTATAAATGTGCCATTAGAAATATGTTCCGAAAGAAGTGAACATCAGCATCAAATGGAATCATTAAAGGAACCACCCGAGTTTGACAATGACAGTCTTCTTCAATCTTTTAGAAATTACTCAGACGTATCATCATCGAACAGAGATGCCAGCTCTTCAACACAGTTTGATAGCGGGATAGATACAGACAGCCAAGGAAGCGAAACAAATCCTAAAGATATACTTGTAATAGAACGAGTCAACAACAGAATTCATTACCATAGCCAGCATTTACATCAATTGAGTGTTAACCCTGATGAAGATATTGATATCAGCACTAATGAAACAAAACGAATGACAATTAATGAAAGAAACGTTGAAAGATCTGGTAAATCCATACATTTAAACACTCATGAAACAGAACCAAAGACGATTAATGCAGATATCAACGTTAAAACCGACGAATTAATGAAAGTGGACATACATGAAACAACACCAAAGACACTTAATGTAGATGTCAATGTTAAAACTGACGAACTAATGAAAATGGACACACATGAAACAAAACCAAAGACAATTAATGTGAAAAACGATGTAAGACCATGTACAAATTCTAATAAAAGCACTCATGAAAACAATCAAAATTCTAAAGATGTAAATGAAACTGCCCCTCTAGGGACAAATGACGAAAATAATCTTTTGTCTAGAAATACACCAAATTTTGACGACAGACTAATGAATGATAGAACAGAATTATGTGAAAGTCCATTTCACGGCAGTGAAAATGAAAGTGGCCAATCGGATTCTGAAGTTGTAAATGATAATGAGGCTAATGAAATTGTACCAATGTCTCAAATTCAGAACGAAAATATGGAACAAAATTCTAGAAAAGGAACTGATCTGGATCCACACTGAATAAAATGGTGGAAAATCTATTAATAATTAATATTCATTAACAACCAGTCTTGCTCGATCGGATATTTTTTATCTACACATCAAAGGAAAATTATTTAAACCCCAAAAATAATTCTTGTAATAATAATAAGATTTGATTATACAAGATATTTCATTACTATTTAGAACGTTGCATGTTGATATTAGAATATAATCCTTGTTAAATACAGTTAAGATAAAACTCGTATAGAAAGCAGAATGTTGAAATCAAAGCTAACAGAGTCTTACAGATTCTACGGGATCATTGAGTCCAGCCATTTTAAGTGTTGAGAATCGAATATCACTCGGACCGGTGCTAGGGGGAGTGAGGGATGTTGCACTTTTTCATTTTGCCTCATGCACAGACTCAGTCAAACCGAGTTTGCAATTATCATGTACTTAAATTGCTGTTTTTGATGCTTCTGAGGGATCACTTTTTCCAGATATTTATCTTCAGACGAATATTTGTATGTCATTGTCGCATGTGCCTTGATTTAAACTTCACAAACGATAAAAATGACACATGTAATGAGGAACGAAAAGGGCAATCAAATGTACAGTATATAAGAAAAGTATGAAGCATCGGTATGTTTAAAGATGATGCGAACTAAGAATTTCAGTCACATGGTAGAAACTGATTAGTAGACTTAATTTAACGTTTGCCAAAAAGCGATATCGACATTATGGTTTACCACTTAGTCGATAGTTAACATGACATCATGACATATCAACTCCATTGTCAAAAAATATGATAAACAAGATCAACAAGGAAAGGCGACGTTCAATAAACGCAACATCCACACGACATAGCAACAAGAACCAGCGGCAAGGAACCAAGGAGGACCCCCCGCACCCACCCCCAAAAACAAAAAAAAACAGGACAGGGCAAATCGCATCTTCTCGGCCATCTTCGTCATGAATAATCATCGAGGTATTCCGATTGCTCCATTGTTGGTTGTGCGATAATTTGTATCTTCTTTTAGTTGGAGATTAAGGGTTCTGAACCAGAATGAATAATAACAACAGCTACAAGGTTAGTAATTAAAAACAAAAATATCTAAACCCCAGGAAAAAATATTTTATTTCTTTTAATTATTAGATATCAGTCGTAAATGAATTTAATTTAAATCCACTTTCGATTTTGACTTTTTTGTTATAACGTTTTGTCAAATATGACATCAGTGAAAATACAGATTTAAACAAATGCTTTTTTTTAGGATTCTTTAGAATATCAATTTAAAGTCATGTATGTCTGATTAAAAATGATTTTTAAGATTGTTATCAAAATTGCACTTTTTTTGGAAATACATCAGTGGAATCCCATGATTTGACATAATTCCTATCTTTAGCAATATCAAATCGGAAGTTGCCGGCTCTTTTCGTCATTATTTAGATAAGGACTCCGAACCAGTTAAAAATGTTTCCAAAAAAATCACCCCTCTATTTGCGGGATGTCGGTTTAACCTACACATGTAATATATTCGTGTACAAGTTTACATAAATAGAATAAATTCTTAAATATAGAAGTGATTATAATTACACTTACTATATAGTGTCTTTAGAAAACGAAAGTACATGTAGATCTACAAACTTTATAGCTATTGACGACTTTTCAGAGTTGGTTTTAATAAGTTGACAATGGGCATTCTTAAATCGATTTTGACTGACAGACTTATTATATTTTCAATCATTATTTTTTCGAAAATGACATTTTTCCGTTGGATGTCAAATAAATACATTCGTTAAATACTCATTATACAAATATTACACCCTTTGTTTTTGTTTAAATTTCATGATCTGAAATAATGTGGTAGAGTTACTTCTATCCGTATTGACTCTAATATTTTTATGAAAATCCGTCAGTGTGTCAACTGATTTTATTCTGATAATCGGGGAGATGTTCCGAATCAACTGTAACTTATTCGGAAAACCTCACTGATAATAGTCAGAAATTGACTGAAAGTGAAAGGGCTAAGAAATTGTGATTTTGTAATACCGTATAAAGCTACCATAATATCAAAATATTCCAAGTACTACTATGAGTCAGAACGACCGTCTTTCATATAGTCCGGCCATGTATGAGTACATGTATTCAGGTCATTTGTCTGCGCAATATTGATAAAAATAAGCATTGCCAATTAAATAGTCATACCTTTATTCTCAAACTGACTGATTGATATCTAGGACATACATAAAAATAGAAACTGTTGTTATCGAGTACTAACGGGACATGTCACCAGTCATGCCCTCAAGGGTTTAATTTTGAATACAATTAAGTAGAGATAATTTACCTCTATGTAATTTTTAAAAACAAAATATTATCCAAAAGATGAATACCCCAAGCGTTTTCTATATTAACAAGCAATTAAAAATCTGTTGTAACTAATACAGTATAGTATGGTCTTGATTTTTTTTGTTATAATTCATTTTCATTTAATAACATGTTAATTGGGTTTTGATCAATACTTTAGGACAGCCATGAGAATGAAATGAGTGGAATACAAGAATTAGAACGAGACAATCGTCGTACTGTCACCGATCCACATGGATGTCATGGTATGGTGGTAGCTGACTCAGGAAGTCGTAATGCCCTACAATCGTCTTATCATGGTACAACTACCGTTGAAACTAATGATGAATCTAAGCTGAATCTTGAGCGAAAATGTGTGCCACTAAAATTCGAAACATCATCATGGTGTGATGAAAGGAAAAGGGAACTTCAATCTACTGAAGGTAAGTTTCAACTCAATCTCATTACCCCTGCTAATGTACTTAGTCTTTTGATAGTATGTTTTATTAGATTTGTTGCAGTCTCTTTATGACACACAATTGTTTTAAGTAAAAGAACTAATCAAGATTAGAGAGGACCAAATACTTATTAACTTGTTACACAAATTAATTCACTTATAACAAAATCTAATGTCGGTATTAAAATGAACCCATAACAAATAACATGCCACTAAGTACACATTCAACTTTGTTTTCTAGATGAAAGACCTTTACGCGATTTCCTGTGTCGAGCCATTTCAAAGAACGCACGAATGATTGCCGTTGACCTAGATGTGTCCAATTTGTTAGACCATCTTTTATCCAAATACTGCATTACTGAAGATGAATACAACGAGCTCCGTTCTTTGGATAAGTCCAAGAATCTTGCTAGAACCGTATTAGGATTAGTTTTAAGAAGGGATTGTCGTACACTGCTGTCCTTCATTGACATCATTTTCGAGTGTGGTGAGCATATAGCTAGTAGTATCACGGTCGCATATGATAGCATCGTCAACAATGCAGACTCCTCACGTGCTGAAACAGGACGATCATGCTCGCACTGCCTTCTGCTAGAAAGGACGGAGCCTATTTTAATTATCGATTCACTGATAAGCCATGACTATGAAATGTTTTTGCCATTTTACGAACAAGTTGCAAACTGCAGGGATAACGTTCCAGAGAAGAGAAAGGAATGGTGGGATAACTTTATGACGCATGTCATGAAGGTCGAGGCTTCAGCAGAGATGACACAACTAATTATAGAAGCTCTAGAAGAGTGTAGATTCCACTCGGATATTATAAGGAACCTGCGTGAGGACCAAAGCAAAAATGTTAACAGCTTTCTGTGCACACATATCTGCAGTGTGGTTTTGAACTCTAGTCCTCGGGCTGAAGACGAAGAACATGGACCACGGATGCAAGAATTAAAAGTTGATTATGAAAACACCAACTTGAGAATGTTTCAACGAACAACAATATCGTCTAAGGTCAATGTGAAGAAGATGCACCATCTAAAATCATTTGATTTGGAGAATCTGCCTGACGACCAAAGACACGCTGCCAACCGTTTCATGTATAGATACACACACAAGTCCAGTCGAAGTACTGAAGAAAACATAAATGAACCACGGATGGAAGAATTAAAAGAATTTGATTATGAAAATACTAATCTAAAGATGATTCAAAACGCAACGGGGTCGTCTACAGTCACGGCAAATGATATGCAAGAGCTGATACCGTTTGAGTCAGGGTCGGGTGACAGAATGGGGCATCGTTTTGACGACAGCAGGAATAGACAGGGTGGTGAAAACGCAAATACTAGGGAAGGTGATCACAATGAGTTAACGCAGTTAACACTTATTTTTGTATTTTGGTAAAACACTCAAACATCAAAATTGTTAGTAAAGAAAACTGAATGAGTTTACTTCGAAAGACGTATGATTAAACGAAAGGTCTGGGAACATGGGAGTAATAAAGTTGTAATAATGAATAATGTTTTCGAAATAAGGATTTACCAAATGACAATAAATCTTATGTCATCATTCTTCGACGCTGTGGAAAAGTGTTTGTTACTGCCGTGGTTAAAAGGAAACATTGGTACAAAATTCAATAGATGCCAGCCGGTATATAACTGAGATTAATGGTACTAATAATATATCGTATAGAATTCTAGATATTGCAGCGCCGAAGAAGCAAAAAGTTTTTTTTTTATAAACCTGTATTGTTTTTGTATTAAAAAGTTGAAAAAGGACAAAGTTTATTTACTACAAACTATTTTTTAATAATATGTTTACTTATATTATACCGGTATGTACATCCTGTACTTTATTATTACATGTTTATATGCCTGAAAAGGACCATTGTTTTTCTTTTTATTAATTGTATGAATATAAATTCATTTTGAATTTCAATGAATATTGGGCGCATGTCTCTTACAACATACACTTCATATGACGAAAATGTGATTTTTTAAAGTAGAGCAAATGTGAGTTTGATACCAATGATAGGATATGGATAATTTGATTGCTCAGAAAAGGTGGATCATGTAGATATTTTTGTACAATTTGTTTTGTTGTGTTTTAATCAGTAGTGAGATTGTAAGATTTTTTTTGTACCTTTTATATAGATTTATAAGTTTCATATATATTTTATATATTGTCAAACATGTCAGGGTGAAGTTGGGTAAACTATTTTAGATATTTTTTAGTGTGTTGAAATGTATAAATTACAATTTATTTTGCATTTTATATATAAACATTATGATATTGCGTTGTGTTATTTCAAACAAATTAATCAACTTTTTTTCAGATTTAACTGTTTTATAAAGCACTTGTATAATAGTCAAAAGTACAAGATGAATCAGGCACGGGAAAACATTATGAAAATAACACATTTCTCTGTGCATATAAGCAACGTGAAAACTGAAGAAACGCCCGAGACGGTCAGTTCAAGGGTTGCTAATATGCACTTTTACCCCGAACCAACATTTTAATGTATTTTTTCACCGCTGTCGAGAGCTATTCATTTTTAGCTCGACTATTCGCAGAATAATCGAGCTAATGCAGTCACCCATTTGTCGGCGTCGGCGTCCCTGTGGTTAAGTTTTTGTATGTAAGCTGGTATCTCCATAACTACTGAAGGGCATGGATTGAAACTTCACACACTTGTTCTCTGTGAATATCTAAGATGATTGGCACAAGTCCCATAACTCTGATTTGCTTTTTTACATAATTATGCCCCTTTTTCGACTTAGAAATTCTTGGTTAAGTTTTTGCGTGTAAGCTGGTATCTCCATAAGTACTGAAGGGAATGGATTGAAACTTCACACACTTGTTCTCTGTGATTATCTAAGATGATTGGCACAAGTCCCATAACTCTGATTTGCTTTTTTACATAATTATGCCCCTTTTTCGACTTAGAAATTCTTGGTTAAGTTTTTGCGTGTAAGCTGGTATCTCCATAACTACTGAAGGGAATGGATTGAAACTTCACACACTTGTTCTCTGTGATTATCTAAGATGACTGGCACAAGTCCCATAACTCTGATATGCTTTTTTTCATAATTATGCCCCTTTTTCGACTTAGAAATTCTTGGTTAAGTTTTTGTATGTAAGCTGGTATCTCCATAAGTGCTGAAGGGAATGGATTGAAACTTCACACACTTGTTCTCTGTGATTATCTAAGATGATTGGCACAAGTCCCATAACTCTGATTTGCTTTTTTACATAATTATGCCCCTTTTTCGACTTAGAAATTCTTGGTTAAGTTTTTGCGTGTAAGCTGGTATCTCCATAACTACTGAAGGGAATGGATTGAAACTTCAAACTGTTGTTGTCTGTGATTATCTTAGATGATTGGCACAAGTCCCATAACTCTGATTTACTTTTTTGCATAATTATGCCCCCTTTTTCGATTCATAAATTCTTGGTTAAGTTTTTGCGTGTAAGCTGGTATCTCCATAACTACTGAAGGGAATGTATTGAAACTGCACACACTTGTTGTCTGTGATTATCTAAGATGATTGGCATAAGTCCCATAACTCTGATTGCTTTTTTGCATATTTTTTCCCCTTTTTCGACTTAGAAATTCTAGGTTAAATTTTTGCTTGTAAGCTGGTATCTCCATAACTACTGAAGGGTTTGTACCTTTTCGGACAATTTTATGTATTCATATAGGTAAGCATTATTATACTCAATGAAACACCCTTGTGACAAATTTTCAAATAGTCGAGCGTTACTGTCCTCCGACAGTTCTTGTTTTTATTTTCATCAATTTTGCAGGGGAGAGAACAAGAGCACCATATTTTCTTAGGTTTATATAGATTAGTCGCCCCTGGGGAATTATTTTAACAGTGACATAACATAAGGCTATATCGTGAGGTATAATATTATCTATTATGTTGCCCTTTTCTTAAAGTTTCAAAGGTAATTCTTATCAATGATTTAAGTTTATCAGCTTTAAACACTGAAAACCGTTTTATTTTTTTTAAGTAATCATATGTATGTAATATATAAATGCCATTTAGTAATGTAAGTATACACTTACCTATCATAACATTGTACATTTACCTTTACTCAGTATATGTATTATGTATATGTTAGTGTTCATCCGTGCTGTTCTACAGAAATTAAAAACTTCGACGGGAGGACAACGACAGGAGAATGTTTCTAATTTCTGTATAACAGCACGGATGAACACTAACATATTTAGTGTCAAACTTTATTTGGCCTCATTATCATTCACTTTATTACGTCACTATGCGGTTTTATGAAGTACTATGAAAAATAGAAGTCGACTATGGACGTAGTTCGATATAGTATCGACTTTTGTACTTCTATGAAAATTAACGCACATAATTTTTAAGAAATACAGCGTTTTCATTGGATGACAAATAAAGCTGGACACTAAGTAATAGTTGAAAGAGAAACATGGTATTAAATTACGGTCCCTCCCATGCAATACTAAGACACCTTTGGCAAATTTTAATGTGTTATTTGTAATTATTTGTTGGTTTTTTTCGGAGTCATAATAGCTAAATCTGTGATATTGTATAATGAAAACTGTGATATAAGATCTCAAGTACATAAAAATAAAATATGATATATCTTCTTCATGTTGTTCATAAATTCCATTGTTCTTCATCAAAAGGTACACAATTTTAAACTGTAAAAAATCACAAAGAAAACAACATAATGTACAATTATTTTGTCACAACACTCGTGGCATTATATTAAATCTATTAAAATGAAATGATCAATATCTTCGTACACGGCTTATACACATGATTTAATATTTCAAATATGTGTAATGTTTATACATACCTGCATCAACAACTGTTAAATTTCCCGCCACGAGGTTCCGCGGTTGCACTGCTGTCTTGCACGCGCACTTATTCTACTCATCAAACAGATGTCATCACGGAGCTAAAATGAAATAATGTACAAATCTCTGATTTTACATATATTTAAAAATGAAAACTTTGTGGTATATACTTTTCAACAAATAACCTGATTAACTCAGCTCCGAAATAATGCTATCTGAACTTCAGTTTATATTTATATCGCGCACATAAGGACAATTTCATTGATATAGACTCACTGATACTATCTCGTTAAATATTTTGAGCGGTTTAGAATACAGCTTCGGAAAAAATCCGTTTAAATGATTGGTTTTCTTTTGAAAATAAATGGCGGGATTTCGTGTTATACGTACATGTATAAACATTTATCACTTAGGGTCACGCTTGCCAAATAGCAACCTGGTGTGTCTTTTCTTGAGAATGTTACAGGCGTTAAAACTAACCCAGTCGAAGAGAAAGTGCTGCAGTTAGTGACATAGACAGAAATGACTGTAATTTCGAGGCTGACGATAATGACATACAAATTCTGAAAGTGGCTAACATTCTGACAGAAAATCATGATCACTCTTTATTACTTTTTTAAAAATCTTTATAGCATACTTTTATCCACAATTGAGAGCCCATTAAAGTTTCATTATGCCTCGGAAATGCTTTCATTTTTATTTCTCAAAAACGCTTTATTATCTTGATATATTTCCCAAAAAATACTCATTTGTCATAAACATGAACTATATTTTGCTATATTGCTCTGTTTGCAGTTGGTATAATTGTTTTGAGTGGAAGTCAAAATACTGTGTCGACATTTCGCTAACTTTACGACACATATAACTGCACATCAAGTGCTACTTCAGTTGACAAACATATTACATGCTCTTTAACATTATTAAAACACTATTAAACAAATATTTGAAATTTCCTGAATAATTAAAAATATATGGATTTCTGACGCATAATGTGCCTTTAAATTACCAGGCATAATGTGTCTTTAAACTGTCATTTAATTGTAATACTCTTCTCAGGATAGAAAATATTGAAGTAGGTACATCGAAAACGTTTCATATTGACAGACAGTAACAGGAATATAAATAATATACTTACTACGACCAAATTGCAATTTAAATTGATCAATAGTGAACAGGAAGAAATATAATTATCTATGTAAGTAGGTCTCGCTCACTATTGAGTTCAACATATACATAGGGTTGTTCTTTATATTTTCATAAAACATAAAATCACATTGAAAAGATGGACTTTGTTCGATTTTAAGTTTACCGTGTGTCACTTTTCCATCTTGAGAAAATATTACAAACGAAGTTTGAAGTTTTATGCCACAGATATTTTACGACGTAACATTACGAATGTATATTTATAGAAATACCAAATTGAGTAAACTTGATATATATACCTTTAAGCATAATTTATAACCAGTCGCTTATCCAGTTTACTTCAAGAATGTGCCCTATGGCAGAATATCGAGTCTTCCAAATGAAGTCATCACTTACGTATGGACGTAATGTATATCTTATCATGAAGAAAATATGATCTAATGAGGTCATATTAAATGTGAATATTCATAAATCGTTAAAACCATAAATATAATGAAGTTGAAACAGATACATAGTGGACATTAAAACATGACGGAATCTAGGACAAAGTACAGTCGATGGATGTCCGACTTACCACAATGGATAACCTTTGTACCGATCAGTTGTTTAGCAATTCCAGGTTAGTCTGTTTTTATGTCAACATGGTAGCGTTATTGTCCTTTTTTTTCTTGTAAACATCTTTACAATTTTTCAATGTCTCTTTTTAATATCTTTGTAACATGCAGTGTTCTGTGTGCAGTAATATTACGAAATACTTTAATATTATCTTTATTGTTATAAAACTTTTTAAGGGCGGCCTCCATGACCGTGTGATAAAAGTAACATCCCTCGCTGCTGTGGGTTCGAATCCCATCTTAGACTTCGTGTATTGAACCTATCCAGATAATGAACGAACGGTCGACGCCGTTCGTGCCGGAAGTAATGTACAGAGAGACACCTGTTGTCTTTATCCATCCGTAAAGATATTGCCTTTTCATTATAGTGCATTAATTGTCTATGTGGCTTAAACCCCGATCAGGTAATACATTATATACTTAACTAAAGTGTGCACTACTTGCAAGTGTATTATTGAAACGGTGATCGTTCTGTCTCTGTTTGACATTTAGTAAAATGCACTCATGGTTGTTTGAAATATTTTAACAGGGTCCCATAATTCCGGCACAAGTGACCTTGACCTGACCCTTGGAACAGCTGTCGACCAAACTTCCGGCGTTAGAAGGTTAGGAAACACGTGTTGCGGCCAGCGTGTTGTGCACAGATGGTCCAAGACTCAGAATCTCAGCATTATGGAACAATTGCACGCGGGAGTTAGATATTTTGATTTCCGGGTTGCTGTTCATCCAGACACCATGGAGTTTAGATTTGTTCACGGGCTATATGGCGGTCTGGTACCACTAGCTTTACAAGACATTAACACATTCCTAAATCAAAATCCATACGAAGTTGTCATCTTAGATTTTAATCATTTCTATAACATGAACCAAACTGCGCATAATATGCTTCTTACTGAAATACGTAATGTTTTTGGACAAAAGTGCGTGCCTCCACCATTCTCAATCCCGAACTATAAAATGTGGGGTACAAGTCTTGCGGCGCTATGGCAGACACCATACCGGGTTATAGCTATATACCACGATGACAACATCATTCAGTACCCGGAAATCTGGACTGCGAGCACGATAGAAGCCCCGTGGGCAAACACAAGTGATATAGCTGCTCTGATAAGATTTCTAGAATCAAATTACTCCAACAAAATGAGGTATAAGAATGACTGTCTATATTCCTGGCAGGGTTTACTCACTCCAAATTCTAAGAATATAGCGTTTAATCTCGGCTCTAGTTTAGAGGAGAGAATGGCGTCTAAAGCTACCCGCGAGTTTGTAAAATGGCTGAACGGCGGGAAAGTTCCAGGACCTCAGGGTATTAACATATGTAATGCTGACTTTGTAGAGAAACACAACTTTATTCAGACAGTTGTCGGTCTCAATCAATATATATCGGAAGTACCATCTACATTTTAAAACTGTGTGTTAGACATTTATGTAAAGCTTACGCAGGTTGTAAATGGTTCCCAATAAAACCAGGATCAGTGGTTCCAAATAAAACCGGGATAAGTTCAAAATAAAACCAGGATAGATGGTTCAAAATAAAACCAGGATAAAAGCTTCCAAATAAAACCGGGATAATATATCACGTTGTAATCTATATCCCTGTTAATAAAAGCTGAAGATACTTAAGTCATCTCTTTTTTAAAATTTAAATGAAAAAAAAACGAGTATTAGAGGGAGAGTAAAATGTTCAGAATTTCCTTAGAATATGCTAAGGCTGAAGAATGCTGAGAGCGGAGAAATGCGTAATTCTTGGTTTAATTGTTATCCGGGATAGATGGATCAACGCCGAGACATGATCAAAAATATGTTAAAATACGGCGTAAAAAATAGAAGACAAACAAGTAAATATTTCCTTTAACTACGACAGATTTCATATTTAGTAAATAAAGTGGGAATGTTTACATAGCGGTCACTTCCGGTGATCTTTTAACTGGGATCAATTAATAGTGACCAGGTGACAGATATCATCGTTGCTGGTCAATAAATTGACATGTAGATATTAACAGTACAGTAAATGTATCATTTTTGACTAATTGAAAATTAATTGCCCTGTTTAATGAGTCTAGTGCAATTAATTAGTAACCTTTCTAATTCTTATGAATTTGATTTGATGTCATTTTCCTTTTGTATTTCTGTTTTAGAAAACTGACTGTTTAACAATTATATTACTTGACCAGCAAATATAAATGAGTTATTTAAAATATCAACTTATATAAACATAGGATACAAAGACAAAGAAAAATCACTATGTGTGAAACTCTGAAATTAATAAATAAAAGTACTAATAGATGAAAAGAAATAAAACAAAGGAACAAAGGTATAAAACAGGAAAATATTTTATTAAAGCAGGTTATATTATGATGTGGCCCCCAAAACAATTGATAGGAGTAAATTATAAGTTAACTGTTATATATAACAAAGAAAAAGAAACAACTGATAACATTACTACAAGTATAAAGTAAAATAAAATATAATAAAGAGTAACCAAATATTTCCAAGTATTACCAAGTATTACAAAGTTAATCCAAGTATTACGAATTATATCCAAGGATATCCAAGTATTACATGTAATTTCAAGTATGACCAAGTATTACAAAGTAAATCCAAGTATTACTAATTATATCCAAGTATATCCAAGTATTACATGTAATTTCAAGTATTACCAAGTATTTGTACATGAATATACACCAAGAATGAAATAAATACTATTTCCCTTTTTTGTAAGCATTTTCCACTTCAAACATTAGTTCCCAGTTTATATAAATGCCACCATAGTTTTCCTGAGTATGAATGAAATATTTTTATTAAGGACAAAATATCTGTCTGATCTTTTCTACATAGAATCATTTTATTTTACAACAACAATAACAAGAAGTTTAAACTTTAATATGGCACACATAGAAGTAAAACAAATCTCTGTTTCAATCCAATAACTTGATTCTATCAAGCGTAACTGTGTAGGTCCAATAATACATAGGGTAGCTAAAATCTTTAAAAAGCTAAAATAATTTTAAAAAGCAACACCCTAGAAAAATAAAAACTTAAAATATGATTACAGTAACAAAATGTTCAGATCAATTGGATTAATATATGTAATAGAAATAGAATGTTTGTACAAAAGAATAATTAATAGAAAAAAAATTGTCTGCAAATATATATCATAGATAGCATTATTAATACTAGAGTTTATGTTAATTTTAACAGACATTATCCAATTACTATTATACAGGAAATGGTTACCCTACAGGTTTCAGTTTTCAACTAAATAAAACATTATATAAAAATGTATTGGTTAAAATCAAAGAAACAATGTACCACTATCTCAATATTGTAGGAAATTTGAATTATTGATGACTTTAAACAAATCTGAACTGTTCTCTTCATTGTTAAAGACCCATTATGTCACAGATATGCTATTTTAAGAAGCTTTTAATTCTAGTGTCCAGTTGCAATGTCTAAAAAGTTACTCTTTGGCCAATTATATGAACCTTCTTAAGTTTCTGTTGCCTTCTGGCAATTAGTAAAGTTATAGTGATTTATTATTTTGTATGCAAGTAAAAAACTACTTTGTTTACATTTTGCTGCTTTAATGACATATAAGTTCCTATTTCTACAAGTGGTAAGCATTTAAAATGAGCCGTGTCACGTCAAAACCAACGTAATGCGTTTGCGACCAGCATGGATCCAGACCAACTCTATTACAAGTAGAGAAACTAAGCGAACAGCATGGATCCTGATCAGACTGTGCGGATACCCAGGCTGGTCTGGATCCATGCTGGTCGCAAACACACTATGTTGGTTTTGTCATGACTAAAATCATTACTCATATATCATTTCCTAAAGAAGAAAAAAATTATTCTTTTCTGAGGCATAATGTGTCTTTAAATGTCAAAGTTTATATTTGTGGTAAATCAGACTGGACCTTTAAAACTTCAAGCAGAACAAATCCTTATACAGAACAATAAAGCTAACATAAACAGTCATGTATTTTATAACTAACAATCTATCCAAGGTTCAAGTTTCAATAACTAATGCCTATATTACATTTCTCTAACCATGAAACAAGTGTTCAAATAACATAACAAAACACTAAAATTGTAAAAACAAAGTTAAAATGACAAGTAAAACAATTAAATATTCTCCCTGCAAGCAAATAAGCAAATAAAATCTAAAAAAATGCTTTATTTAAACAGCACCTCAACTAAAACTTATGAAAACTACATAGAAATTTTCAGTAAAAAAGGGGCAAAGTTTCATCAATTGGCTCAGTGAAAAAAGGTCTGAAATTTTTTTTTCTCAAAAATTATAAAAAAAATTCTGAAAATTTTCAGTTTGAAATAAAAATACATTCCATTAATTTATTACTGCAAATAATACCTTTTTAAACTTACTAGTTTTCAAAACCATTCTGAACAAGTGGATATCCTTCATAAACAAGGAGGTGAAAATGTAGGTCACAGTTTTATTCAGACTGTTCATCAAAGGTAATAGAAAGTGTATCATTACTCATGCAGCAAGCATTGGAAGCAGTATTACGTCTCTTAAAGGGCAGAAACATAAATAATCATTGATGCTGTAAGTATAACCTGATTGGTATACAATCATTGATATATGACTTATAGTCTAGTTTTCACTCCTTTTTTGTGTCTGGCACCATGAAGGTAACACTCAAGTTTATCAAAACAAGTATGACTCAAGGTGCCACTCCAGGTGCCACTCCAAGCAGTGCCCCACCACATTTTTATTTCATGAGCAAGTGACACCTGTGTAGAACCACTGACCTGCTATAAGCTAATTTAAAACTGTCCTCATATGATCAAATTCAACGTTCATGTACAGATTCAAACCTATAACAGATTGTTGCAGATGATTTAAAGTCGGCAAACATAACCACTGGGCCATGCAGGACCCTTACTTTCAACAGATCAAGATACCTACCATGCATATTAAAATTATTGTTTAAAAATAATAACTAAAATATCTACAAGTAAAACACAATCAACAAATCAACATAAATATTTGAGATCCTATACAGCAGTTATCATTTGATTTATATATAATACAATGTTAAAGCAGCATGCCTCCAGATTTATGCTAATTTCTGTGAAAATGTTTGTATTAAAAAGTAAAATATTGCCAAAAGAACAAAGAAAGTAATTAACACATTGCATACTTTCAATCCATGTAAATAACCAATGGTCAAAATATGCAAAAAATAGCTCTTACTGTATAAGTCATTCAGTAGAAATATGGGGATAAATACTTCAAAGTCAGACATTCATTTCAAATAATATGTGAATCATTACTTGAATTTTGAATGTTTTTACTTTTTTAAATCTTTTTAAAATCTATATACATTTTTGTCAAAGTTGATTTTCTTGAAATTTGTTTGGCTCATCTGGAGACATGAAGCTTTAAAAACTGGCTGCTGCTCACCTCTACAAGCTTTAACAAAAATAGCAAACAAAAAATACAGCTGTACGGCAAACTGTTTTAACAACTCAAAATTCTGTATTCTATACAATCATATACTTCTACCAACACACAGGGGCTCAGAGTTATAAGTAAAATAATAAAAGAAGTCTTTGAAAATTTAAACAGCAGTTAATTTTTTAAAAAAGCTGCTCCACAAATAACTTTAAAAAGAAGTCAGTTTGGAAAATTTAAGGTCCTTTCACTTAATTTCAACAACTTATGGGTCCATTCACCTAATATTCACCGGGAACATACCATGGTCTAACACAAATTAGATAAATCAATTTTATCTTATATAAATTATCATAATGTTATTTAGGAAGAAATGCATAAAATAAAAACCCACTATTTGAGTAAATTTCTCATTTCTGTATAAGAAACCAACAAAGTTATGCAACATATATTTACACAAATTTAACACACAAGATTAAAATCTCCAAATTTGCTCATTCCATTGCTATTACAAACCAGTAATTTACTACATCACCAAATGATAAATATTGCCTTAATATTTACTAGTGTCATATAATTCTGACTACTAAAGACAGTCAAGATGAACATTAACAAGTTTATTATTTTTCCAGTCCTTATTTTCATTTCACAAGACCAAATTTTTATGCAAGCCAGCTTGCTCCATACAACCCATGATCAAAATAAAGTTATATTTTAAAGTTTTCTTTGAACCAAATTAGATGAATGATTTAGAATATTTCAAATATCCTCAATACAATTAGATATTTTACAATGCTGAAACTTTAACTAGTACCATTTTGATGTCCTTTAGATCAACTGAGAAAACTGTCAATTGGAAATGAATTAATGACTGACAGATAGGAAATGATTACTAGAACAAGAGTCAATTAGGAAATGAATCATTGACTGACGTGTGACTGATAGTAAAAGAGGAAATGAATACATGAATGACTGTCAAATAGAAAATGAATCTCTGAATAACAGCCCCAGGAAATGAATTAATGACTGACAGCCCAAAAGAAATGAATATATGACAGACATACAGTCCAAAAGTGTAAAGCAAATTCTTAATTCTAATCTCAAGCTCTCTAGATCTAATTAATGTATCGTAAAGTACACAATTAGAGACAGAGTTCTTTATAAAACATTTGCTTAATCATTTACTGTCATAATACTATATATAACTAAACAGCAGTCAAAGGCATTAAACTTAAAATAAATGTGACATCATTATATCATACATCATATTACATATCAACATAATTATTAAACATCATCAAGAGCCCTGACAATAATGTTACATCATAATTATACAGATCTAATCATACAATTACCATATCAATTAAATAACTACCATTTCTATACTAATTAATTAAAACATCACCATACAACACACAGAAACATAACATCTTATATCTCAGTAATATAAACTTAACAGAAGGTAGTATTAGAATATACACTCTGTTTGCAAACTTTAACTGATCTATTTTATATATAAAACATTATTAGTCATAAAGATTTTTGACAAATTATATGGCAGTCAGTTTAACATTTTAAGGCTGGCTTAAGCCCTTTGGCGAGAGCTTATACAAGTAATCTTATACACAGATATATAACCTGTAAAAAATCTTTATAACAAATTTATAGTACAGTGGGAATATGAAATTAAATACAAAAATTTATAGATGCTGTGTATATAAATTATATAAAAAACAGGACAATCCAATAAAAATGTACATCATATTATTATATTATATACTTTTCTTTGGCTGGCTTTGTACACTTTAAAAAGACATAAGGAAATATTTCAGCTTTACTGATGAAGGAAGACCTCAGGTGTCCATCATACATTATTTCAGGTATAAGAGGACACCAAAATAAAACTACTGACACACTCTGTAACTTAGTTTGCTTCCTAACATAAAAATCCAGACTCCCCGGCAGGATTCAAACCCACAGAAAATGCAACTGGGGTATCAGAGCAAAAAAAACAAAGTGCTGGGTTGCATTTCATAGAAAATTGTAAGTCTCAAACGTAAAACTAAAATTAGGACTGAAATAAGATTACACACAGGAATTTTCTTGAAATGCAGTTTACGACTAAAACCGACCCAAAGTGTTTTTTTTATGAAACGTACAGCTGATTTTTACGATTAATGCTAGTTAGATATACATGAACACACAGGATAAGGTAGAAAGTATATAAAGTTTTAAAAGCTATTCCTGATTATAATATATATACATATACAATAAAGCCCGGATAAAATATATCAGCACCAAATTAACTTAAATATTAGCTCACCCGAACACCTATCCTGGATTAGCTCCCCTGTCTAACAACACTCGACCCTGTAACTTTGACAGAGTATTTAACAATTTAAAACATTATGCAAATGGTGGGACTTATAAATCTCAATTTAAAATCAAATTAAAGTCTAAACCTACATAACAAAACTTCAAAGATTTTCAGATTCAATAGGAGAGAAAACTAACCATTTCATATAAACTTTGGTTCATTTTTTTTTTTAAACAAAAGGTAATTAAAACAAATTGAAATTCTTAAAACCAGGAAAAAACAGCTTTTCAGAAGTTAAAATTAGAAAATAAACTGTTACCCATTGCAACTACAATTGTTTCAATTTATCACTTAAAATATATGTTTAACACAAAAAATACGAAATTTCTTGGGTAATGAAACAACTTTCTTCCTTATAAAACATGTTTCTAACTAATATACATTGCTACATAATTTGACACAACTGAAAGTATAACTTTTACAGCATCTTACTATTTTAAAACTTTTTTCTCTTGTTACCAATTAATTTAAAAAAAAAAAGATACAAGTAGACATGTATGTACAGACCAGTATTGTGTAATTAATGTCATATTTCACATTCTACATGATTATATGAATGACATCTGCCAAATACCGTTACTTCAAATGTATAAAGCTATATATCTGCTGCAAAAGTTGTAAGAACGAAATCATGACTAAACATTTTTCTGTTAACATACAATATTCATTTGTGTAAAGAACAGAGACAACTTTAAAATTACAACTCCTGCGAGAATCGACCATAGTGTTATGGAAGCAATGCTACATTGGTTAGCTGAACTATTGGTTAACATTTCAGAATTGTGCATGTGTGTAAAATTTAACTAAAACTTCAAAATTTAATAAACTGACAACATAAAATATTAATTCAAATGCATTGTAACATCTGTTGTACACCTAATAACCCATAAACATGCTTAAAACCAGATATGATAAACCTTTGCCACCAGTATAGAGCCAGGCCAGTATTACGATGAAGTCTGACCAGGCTCTTTAATGTTAACAGCTAAATTTTAGTATTTTGTTATTAAAATCCCTTAAACTTTAAATGGACTGTTCCAGATTAAAAGTAGGACAAAACAATTATACAAATTCAGGAGGTTAAGTGTTAAATTTTACACTATAATATCATTATCCTTGTACAAATATATACCGTAATTATTATAATTAACAAAAAAACACACAATACCAAACAAGGCCCCTGGTGGTTACAAAATGTGTTTACAACAATTATTTTTAAAAAAAATCCCTGCAATTAAAAGCTAGGTATTTTACATTAAGACAGCTACATGTATAGGTATAATAAAATACCATATTAAATAATTATAAAATGTTTAAAATTATGTCATTATAAAACTAACCAACATGATAAAATCATCAAAATAAAGCAAATTTTATTCATTTTGATAAATCATTTTCTAGTTGAGTAAAATATTCTGACACTGTTAAAGTCATGTGATCATTTTCCAGACCACTGATGCCCCTTCAAACATTATTTTTAACAAATGAGGAGACCCAAGTAAAAAACAACTTCCCTTCCACCAACAATCAAAAATAGCTTCCTCTAACATCACATATTTCAACAGTCATTGATGGATTTCAGCCCATGGTACAGTGTGTCATACAATAAAATTTGAATAAATATGTTACCCTGATTATTAAGCACTGTCTTCTATCGGTGACTTTAAACATTACAAATATGTATTATCTCCTCATATCAGTGTCAAAAATACTACAAATTGTAACATCATATTAGCACTAGCTGTATGTCTTGTTGATTTACTTATAATTCAGACTGTTTTAAAACAACAACAAACTTCATAAATTTACAATCATAACAAAATATCAATATCTTAACAACAATGAATGTTTATTCAAAATGCATAGAAGTTAATCGGTTGATTCCAGCAAAAAATATCTTTGCTATTTGGTTATAAAGTCTTAGTTGACTGGTTAATATTAGTTTACATTGGGTGCCGAGTTCTCACAGGAAGGATAAAATGCGCTAAAATGGTTAATATACTTGTTTTAAAGCAAAATTACAAGACACTGCTTGATTGGTTAGAAGAATCTTGAGGAACATGATTCGTTGGTTGTTGACCAGCTAGTCTGACACTCTGAGCATCTTTAAAATGTGAAAAATATCACACTTTTATCTGAAATATAAATAGATAAACATTAATAAATAGATAAACATTCATAACTATCAAAACAAACTTACATAATCTTATACAATAAAGACACAACTTCTTATAAACAAATTTTCAGCTTTCTTATATAAAATTTTGGCAAGTAATTCAGAGGTGACACCAGACTAGAGGAGTACACACAGTACAGTAAAACTTCTTCAGAGCAACTCCTGGAACTGGCAAAGATTTAGTTGTTATGGAGAGGAGTTGCCCTAGGAGGTAAATTCCGTGTTAAATATTAAAGGGACTCCACTGAGTGAAATCATAAAACTTAAAAACATAAAAATTAAATGTCTCACAAAGCTGAGTGGAGAATATCAAAACATAATGATATGCAAAAAATAATTAAGAAATTTACTCAGAAATAAATTGAAAATCATATTTGTGGTATTATAAGTCTGAATTTATTGAAAAAACGCTTTTCAATTTTTGGTAATTTTTACAGTTATAATAATTTTTCTGGAAAAAAGGGAGAGTGTGAATGGGGAACCTGAAATTTTGAACACAAGCTATTGGTCTAGACACCTACTTCAAATGGAACATAAAAGTCGAAAATTTATTTTAAGTCTTCACTCTTGTTATGTCAAAAACCCTCAGTGGAGTCCCTGATTTCAACTGATTAGGAGTGTCATGTGACCGATTATCAGCTTGCGGCCCGGGGCTATAACTGATAATCATAATCGGCCCGCTGAAGACAAGTACATGCACATACTGAAACAATGATGTCACATTTCACGTCATCAAAACAGCAAGCTTTAATAGCGAAAGTAGGATTGAAGTACAAATTGCTTGATTTTATAGTTAAAACATAAGTGTAATTTCTACAAACACTGCTTTATTTAAATTTAAAGAAAAAAAAAATAGTTACAATTTCATTCCGTGAAAATAAATTGTGCTGCACATACAGGGAAGCAACTCTGTAGAAGTTACTGTATAGTACAGTTGAAATCTACAGAGATAGAAATTTCAACGAAAGAAATATCAATGTAAATTTTAGATCTATCAAGTGTATTAAAGACATTAATACACGCCATAGATGGACCAGAAGGTGATAATCAGCCCTGAAATTAATAATGTCCTCCGGCTAAAGCCCTCAGGGCCATTATTCATTTTTGGGGCCAATTATTACCTTCCTGCCCTGCTCTGCCCTACTCTGCTGTGTATTAATCTCTTACTACATATGTACAAAGTTAACAGTATTCTAGTTTCAAGTAAGAAGTAAGCTGGAATCAATAAAACAAACTAACCTTTAAGATAAGCACACTATTGGTATTTCTTCAAGAAATTGAGATGAAACTCCTTGAATTTTTCCAGCACAGCTTGCATTTCTTCAAGTTTAGGAAGAATAGTGATCCTAAAGTGGTAGGTGCCTGGCTTCTCTCCAAATCCCGAACCTGGAACCGTACAAATCCCTGTTGTTTCAAGAAGGTCCATACAGTAGAAGAAATCTGGAGACTGTTTTTGAGCCTCTGCAGCTTTTACAGCCTTAGGTGGTAAAAATATACGTGGAAATGCATACATTGCCCCCATCACCTCATTGCATTTTATACCTTCAATTGAGTTGAATAACTGTGTGACTATTTCAGCTTTTCTCTTCAAAAGGGACAGAACTTCTGACTTCTCTTTTTCAAAAAGTTCATGAGACGGTTCCCCAGGTTGTGGCGGGTTTACAATAGTGTCCATAACAACTTGTCCCAAGATGGGAGGACAAAGCTTGGCCGAGATTGATTTAAGAAGAATCGCTTTCACGTCAGGAAGTAGATTTACGACCTCTGCATATCCCCCTCGGAACCCGCACTCCCCCATATAACCTTTAGAACATGACATAAAGGAGGCTAGCTCTGTCTTGCTGTATTTACCATTCTCCATCTCTGTCATAACCTTCTTGAAGGAGAAGAAAGCCGAGCCCTTCGCCCAGATGTTATGTTGATAAACCTCATCCGCTAATATCATCAACTTGTGTTCATTGGCAAACCTAATTATGTCCTCTATATTCTTTCTAGTGAGAACCTGCCCTGTCGGATTTCCGGGATTTATCACACATATAGCCCTCGGTACACATTTACCTTTGGCATCTTTAAAGGCTCTCTCTAACTCACTTACATCCAGACTCCACATGTTTTCTTCATTGAGATAGTACGGGATTGGATGGGCATTGTATTCAGTGAGGGTTGCCGTATACAGTGGATACTGGGGTACTGGTATCATTATTCCGGCCTTCTCACATCCGTCCTTACCTGTCATCACGAGATTGAGGATTGTTTTTATACCATCACTAGCACCAGTGCACAGTATTATATCATCAGAACTAGCTTTCTGTCCATCTCTCTTTGTGATGTAGTTAGCAATATCTTGTCGAATAACTTCAACACCAGGTGAAGCACTGAAGTGTAAATATACCAACAAATTTAGCAAGGAAAAAAAATGTCCAATGTTCCTTTGTTAGATTTTATATAGATATTTGTCATTAACTAAAACTATCACTGAATTACATGTATATAAAAACAAGAGCCATCACAAACAGGGGCCACAGTTTACTTTCTCTTAATAACAAAAGCTACAACATTGATGTCCGGGTCATTTTTGAGTAAAGGTCAAATACCTTACAATATGCCTATGTAGACTTTATTTTTATTACATGTATTACATAAAAATTATGTAAAATTTCATTAAAAATTGGTTGAGTGGTTTTGTAGATGCACATACAGACGGCAAGCTTCAATCTTGGCTGGTTGTTGTGTGGGAATGTGGAAAGTATTATAATTGCGCTTATTGTAACAACAAGAGCTGTCAGTAGGACAGCACGCTTGACTATTCTTAGAGCTTGATAGTAAAAGAGCTTTGATAATGTAAAATTTTCTAAGTTCACAATAACCTAAAAGGCAATTTATTTTCAAATCCATGTTAGAGTTATAGGCCTTGGAAAGAGTCCTACTATGCTCTCGAAGAAGTGTATAAAATTTCAACTTGTTTCAAAGTAAGATGTCAAAAAAATATGAAAATGCAAACTTTAACATAAATTCTAAGTCGAAAAAGGGGCTTGATTCTGTCAAAATTCCTTCTCCTGTCTACAGGTTGGAGTCATGGTGGTGAACAAGAGTGTGAACTTTCAAAGCCATATGTAAATGGACTTTGAGAATCTTTGAGGTGGTACGCACACTTAAATGTAAATTGTCAGTCGAAAAAAGGGGCTTAATTCTGTCAAAATGCTTGATAGAGTTACCTCCTCCTGTCTACAGGTTGGGTGCATGATGAAAAACAAGTATGCAACCTTTCAAAGCCCTATGTCAATAGACTTTTAGAATATTTGAGGTGTTACAAAAACTTAAACATAATTGGTTACGCTGACGACTAGGATAGCTCTACTTATTCTTATTGAATAGTCGAGCTAAAAATGGCATAGCCTAAACAATGATAAATCAATTTTATTTGACAATGTTATGAAATATATGGTAAAATCAGTGGACTAATAAACACTTAAGTATCTCACGCAAAGCACATTGAATTATAATAACCAATTCTTCATTACATTCTTTTCAAAACAATTTTTAATAAATTTCTGGCTGTAATAAAATTAAATATTTCTGTTTAAATAATCATTGTGAGAATTGAATCTGCAATCCTGAACCATCCGGGAGGGCAGATCGCTAATGCTGTAAGAACTTGGGCCCAACCATTTTGCTATTTGTTATAAAGAATTTGATTCTCTGTATATTTACATGTATATATTAGCAATAAAATAATGATTAGACTAACCATTTCTTGCAAGTTTGACCATTAATGTAAGTATATTGTATGATATAGTATGTGAAACATCATCATATACAACATAAATACACACCTATATGAGCCAACACTCTTCCCTTTACATCCCTGTAGTATTCTGCGTGCTTTATTTTTTACATCATCGGGAAAGTTACACGAGTCCATCATATCTGGACATACACATGCTGCGACAACTTGACGTATAAATGTGATCGGGTTTTGACCAGTAGCATGACAGTCACCAATATTGGCTTGTAGCTGAAATAGTAAGAGATCTTCAATCTTTATACTGACATGGGGAATAAATTCTTACTACTTATTGCTTGTAGACTTTCATCTGTATAAATGTATATCTAATAAGAATGAAATTAAGTAATCAAAAGCAGCATAAACTTTTCCTAAAAAGATTCTTGAAATAATATGATGTAGAAAAAAGACTTATCTTTTTATACAGTTAAAGATTTAAGGAGTAACTTTTCACTGTACTCTAAAACTTCAATCAATATTTAGCAGCTATTTAAACAATCTTATCCAATTTTAAGTAACAAAATTTGTCTTGGGTACAAAGTTGAATTTGAATGAAATTAAACAAGTGTAGAAGATATCATGTAATTACTCAAAACAAACAAAATTAATATTCTCTTAACATAATATTTTTCTTTTTCAGCTCAATTGAGACAATATAAAAGAAATATTTCAACATTACCACTTTCGAAAATGGTTTCTGAGCACCAGCTTCAAGTTCTTTCATAAGACTGACTGAGCGAGTCACGATGGGTCCTCTTACAGCATATTCCATCTCTACTGCTCGTGGATTTATGGTTTTCATGGTGAGCACACGGCTCTGCTCGTCACAAATATCTCCCATACTTGATGTATATGTTACTGTATTAACTGATAAATAGAAAAATATTTTAACTTGTATGATACAAATGCATAGTCACTTCATTTTGATGTTAAAATTTCATGTTTAAAAACAATTTATAATGATTTGCTAGCAAATTTATTGTCCAAACAAAATCAATCTATGTTAAATACTATGACATAGATCATAAGAATCTTACACAGGCTGCTGGTACAAACTGGAATATCTAGCTTGAGGGTAACGGTTAAATGACGTCATTCTAAGAACGCATTTCATTCATAAAAGGCGCGCCAAGGGTCAAGGGGGATATTTTAATCTACAGGCTGAAAATACAACTGATTTTAACAGCATTTCAACCAATGATATGTATCACCAATCTGTTACTAATGATAACCCTGACTAATTGTTATAGGTCCAGCTAATGTATAAGTATTTAAACTATCTATCTTCACCTTTGTAACACAAAATTAGTCATTTTTTACAAAAAGTACATTTGCAAGATGATGATTCAACACAATCATTTTTATAGACTATTGTAACTTTGTTTTTCAGAAATGAGTAAAATGTTGTTCTATCACACTTAACAATTAACACCTACCATGAGCTGATGAGCAGTGATTAAAACTGATTTGCCTGAAAATTTGTTTCTTTGGTGATTTATGTTAAATGACTAAAGACGTAAAGTTGGTTTATTTTTACCATTATATGTAAACATCTGCCACATGGAATTGTATGTTATTACTGTATGAAATTAGTGATCAGCTGACTTATATACAGTGATGTTAACAGATTTATAAAGAATGTCAATCTGAGAAATGTATTACTAGTTCAACTATTTTATTTTAATGTACACATGACTGTGTTAAATTACCACGAAATAATTTTTGTGTAGCATAATAATAAAATTTACAACTATATTCAAATCTTTTATCAGGTCCAATTTCAATTACTGTCCCATAGTGTGGCACTTCTGTAGTAAAGCCAACACAGACAAACTTGAAAAACTCCAGTACAGGGCCTTACGCATTGTTTTCAATGATTTTACATCATCATATGAAAGTCTCCTTAATAAGGTTAAATTACCCACACTCCATTTAAGCAGGTTAAAAACAATTGCAATCGAGACTTTCAAGTGCTTACACAATATATCACCTAAATATATTCAAAACTTAAGCCAAAATTTAAGACCTTGTTTTACAATTGCAGGTATGGATCATACTCTAGAAGTGCCTACAGTTCGAACCACCAGGTAATGGACAGAACTCCTTTCGTCTTGAGGCTGCCCGGGTGTGGAACCAGCCTCCCCAGTGACATCAGAAGAGTAGAAAACTTTTCAAAGAATTTGGGAGGCTGGTTGGCACCTGGACAGGCCCAAAAATTTAAGTGCTCAATGTGTCGCTTGTAGCCTTTTGTTAAACACATGTGTGTCTAACATGTGTTTGTATGTGATTAACATGTTTTATATGTGCTTTTATGTATAGTCTTAATATGTTGCAAATATTTTTATACGATAAATGTTTAATGTTACTTTTTATTGTGCATTATGTGATAGTCCTTGTAATTTCCTTGTATTTTTTTTTTTTTTTGTTTTTTTTATGTATGTCTTTTTTTTTTTATATATATCTATTATATTTCTTTTACAGGTAGGTACAAAGGTGTATATGTATATTCTTATTTTTGTATTCTTTTTCTTGTAACTTTTGTAGTTTTTAACTTATTTCAAATTTTTATTTTCTTAATTTCATATTCTTAGATGTGCTTATGCTTATTTTTTTTTATACATGTCTGTCTTTAACTAATATATAACTCTTTTACAGGAATGTACATTATTTATATATATCTGTTATTTGTTTTATCTTGTTTGTAATTATTGTAATTTTTAAGCATGCATGGTGCTATAATAACTTTAGATGTGCTTATGCTTATAATTTTTAGTTGCTTTAATCAGAATATCTTACTTCCATGTACTTATGCTTATATTTTCTTTTATAGCTGCTTTACTTTTGTTTAGTTCATATACTATTGTTTGTCGGAAAATAGCTCATGAGCTAATGTTTTCTGTTTATATGTATCCGACGTAAAATAAATTTTCTTGTATCTTGTATAACTATTATCTAACTTCTGTCAAAAGGTCAATTGAGGTCAAGAATTTCACTAATTTTAGCCTAAAATGAAGGTGACGGTCGCTCATGACAGCAGATTGTCACGTACACATAATTTATTAACATAAATGTAGTTAGGCCAGTATGACTTCTTGAAACCACCAATAAAAATAATGAACCAATATGCTTACTAACAATTACCACTCTTCAGTTAAACTTTTTTTCCACCGGCGAGATGTCAATGATGCACTAATTGAATGGTTCCACACTGTCCCTGAACAGTGCAGTATCTCTTAATATAGAGCCAGGAACTAATCAAACGGTGCTGCTGTTTTTTATGCTTATCTGTCAAAATTGCTTTTTAAAAGAGATAAAGTTTGGATTATCCGCTACTCGGACTCTTTTTGTTGATCAAACTGAGTTTCCTTGGTATGTACTTTGTATGACATATTGTGGTACATTTACTTTGTTAAATCTATAATAACAGTATTTGTGAGGCGTGTACATTTGAAGAAGAGGGCGTATCATCCATCTTTAGATTGAAGACCACTAATTGCTTTCCATATACTCAACATCACTAATTCCGCGTCATCACTTATTTCACGGTAATGGGACCAGTATTTACTTATTTCACGGTAATGGGACCAGTATTTAAATTGGTCAAAATTGACATATTTTATTCATACACTTAAACAACAAAGTTTTAGTACAAAATATTTTAAATATCTTAATTTTTACGTAAAACAGAACAACATTTTACAAATTTCTGCAAAAAGCAACAATAGTCCATTAAATGTGTGCGTATTTCGGAAACGAACATCATTTTCTAAATGTTCTTGTTTGTTGAAAAAAAAATTGATACACAAAGTAAAGATAGTATTAATATTTAAAATTAAGCAAAATATCATGTAAACTTTTTAACTGAAACATGAAAAAACTTAAGTGAAACAACATTTACCGTGATTTAAATGATGACAAACTGTTTTCAAAATACTTTTTTAATAGCCGACATATGGTCTACGTCTGGCCCATTAAAATTGATTTTGAGTGAATATATTGTTGTTTCCTTGTGTTATACAGCAGAAAATACCTATTTGTTACAGCTTTTGACAATTTTTGTACCATAAGTTTCATTTGTTGTTTTCTCTCTTGTTTCAAAGCGTTAAGTACCGTGAACTGAGAGGAGCGCAGTATAATTTAGGGTTTTTTTAATAAATTATTTAATTAAATTAATTACCTTTTCTTGATGGTGTAGTAATTTCTAATCAAGTCCCAAAATAACACATTCCAATTGATCACAATGTTTTTTCACGTTTACGGCAATAAAGTACAATGCCCAATTTATTAGTTATTTGCAAATATTTCAGGATATATATTATACAAGGTGGAATAGTGATACAGGGACTCCACTGAGGTTTTTTTGACATGACAGGACTGGAAATAATGTTCCGAGATTAACGTTGTATTTGATGTAGGTATAAACCAATAACTTGTATGCGAAACATCTGACTATTCGCCCCCTTTGTTCTATTTGAAAAACCCTAAATGACCCAATAATGGCAATATTGAAAAGTGTTACAACGCTTTTTCTCAAATCAGGCTATAAAGCATGCGATTTTCAATCTTTTTTTTTTTAATTTTTCTGAATAACTTTTGCATATCTGTCTGTTTTAACTGCCCCAGCTAACCTATGTGAAAAAATCTACTGCAGTATGTTGAAATTAGGCCATTAATTTAACCCAAGTGGAGTTCCTTTTATGCTGGCACGGCAGATCTGACATCATTTATGTTTATATGTAACCGTTAATTATTTGACGGTTATTATTAAACAGCAACCCAAGTTGGGTACACGTAGCGATTAGCAGCATCATTTCTTACTAAAATATACATACAATAAGTCTTTTATTTGCCCATTTTCTTATCCTTGAACAATTTATCAACAATATTGCAACCAAAATGTGTTTGAACAAGATATTTCGTGTATGGAAACTTTATTTGAAAGTTATCTTCAGTACTTCGTATATTCAAGTTAACAAAACAATACTGACAGTTATGGTCTTCCCTTGGAAGACTAAGAGAATGGCCAGTTTCAATAAAAAACTTGTTACTTGAACAAGAATATTTAGCAAATGCTTTTCTTACGTAAAAACGGTAAATTAGTAGACAAATAGCTCTCAGGGTTTATCATATATATATGTAGTTTTGAATTGTTTATATGTTTCACATCACGTGGAATCGTTAATCCGTTTAGACCAGTTTTATGTTTTACTACATACAAGTCTTTGTTTAAGATAATACAAATACATTGATATCACCGATAGTTTGGTTTAACCAATCAAATCCAAAACCGTATCTGTATAACACATTTCTAAGGGATGATGCTCAATTACTCCGAACTAATTAAGATATCTTGCTGTTCCAGTATTATATAATTTCTTGGATATCTATTTGCAGACGTACATAAAAGTTTGCACCAGTACTTAATACAGTTAGTAAGATGATCAATACATAGTGGTTTACCACATTCTCCCAAAGCTACTTTAGCTTATCCTTAGGGAAATCTTTACAATACATGTATTGAAAATGAACTTATTCTAAAATATCCGAGTATTCTATACCGTACATTTCAGACCCATGCGTAAGAATTGGTTTCACTATAGAATCAAATATGTAGTTTTAAATATTTTATTATGATAAAAATAACCAAATATTCTATGAAAAGATTTTTATCACTATAATAGATTTCCAATAAGAATGAAAAACCACCGAATACTGTACTTAACAGAAACAAATTTATTGAAACACTCGACTACTATTTTTTTACTTCAAATTACGCTTGTGTTTGTATTGTTTTATATATTTAGTTAGAGTGGAATTGAAGAAAAGACATCAAACTGTGTAAGAGAAAAAATAATATAAAGAATCGAAAAAGTGTTTCAAATTGCCCCGTCTCCCCTGCAACCCCACGTACCCCTGCAAAATACGGATGTGCGTTATAGGTTTTCACGATGCTAGATTTTTGCAACCATTTCGCTCACTTGAACCAATTGCGTGCTTCGTCAACTTAATCCATATACATGTACATGTCAGTCAAACAGAAAAATGTTGCAAATTACATGGCAAATTTAAGGGGCAGATTGATTTGCCAATATAATTTTATATAAAAATGTTTCAAGTCTCATCAAGACAATATATTAAAGTTTATTGCTTATTGTCTTTCCAGCTATCACGTAAATGTAGGAAGCTAATAAAAAAAATAATACAGTACTGATTCTTTTTTTAATGCAGTTGCTATACAATATACATGTATATGCCAGTTATATAAAAAAATACAAATGTACTGTCATTTTTTTCAAGATGGCTGAAGGTGGACCGGCGTTAGGCTGGCAAGATGATAAGACACTGTCGGAGGCGTGCCGGTACATGCTGACCAGTCGTTTTGCAGCAGATGTTGAGTTCAGTGTCGGCAACCAACAAGAAATTGTCAAGGCTCACAAGTTTATTTTAGTATGTAGGAGTTCTGTATTTCAGGTAAGTTCGGCAGGTCATTAATATTGTAATTAGGATTGACTTGTTTATGATGTCTAAAACGATGTACATAATATAAATTAGAATAAATGTCCTTAACCTTATTTAGTACTTTGGTTTTAAGTCAATAAAGTTCTTCATGGGCAATAGTTTCAATGTTAAACAGAACAAGTTTAATGTTTATTGTTTATTACTCATAAGCAGAAAGAAAGAACGAATGTCGTGTGAATTGAACGTTTGAAACCACAACGTAATATATCGTACTGATCGTCGAGTTTTAAATAAAGTACTGTCTCAGACACGATCGCTATAATAATGTCTTGTTATGATGAGTGGCTACTGAAGGTTTTGTCTGAGGTGTAATCTATGTGAGATCGACGGAAATGTTCTACAAATAATGATATCGGAAAGAATTAATCCTTGCTGCCACTTTTCCTGTTTTAGCGTATAACGTAAAATATAGATGTACATGTTTGCATAACTAAATGCTCAATCATAATAATCTAGACATTTATTTTACATTTTCAGGCAATGTTTACAAATGACTTTGCCGATAACAGAGAAACAATTAAAATACCTGATATAGAACTTGAAATATTTGAAAAACTTCTCACGTAAGTGTGTGCTAAGATTTTCTTTTACATACAATTAAATTTTCTTTTCTTGACCCCAAAAAAAAAACACCGTAAAATGTCAAATCTTTTATATGTTTTGGGACTTTATTTATTTTTCAGCTCTAATTTCTGTGTTTTCATCTTAACGTACCAAGTAACTTCATAGAAGAACAAGACAAAACTCTCTTAAAATTATTAAGATATTTTGTGTGTCATTCTTCAATTCTTTATACATTTAGCTTCAAAGCTTATACTGATTCAGAAACATGTTAATTATTATTTTTTGCTCATTTTCAGATTCCTGTATACAGATGAAACGGAAATTACGGGAGATAATGTACTGCCATTATTGTACGCTGCTAAAAAGTACAGTGTTAATAAATTAGTCCGTAAATGTCTTGAATTTCTGGACAAGGGTCGCTCACCTGAAAATATATGTGATATTCTAGAACAAGCTCATTTCTACAACGAAAACGACTTTCGGGAGAAGTCAGTCCGGTATATTTTAGACAATGCCAAATCTGTTCTTGGGGATTCCACTTTTCTGGAACTTTGCCAGGACTGTGTAAAGATGATAATAACGTACGATGAATTACAAGCAGACGAACGTACAGTGTTAGAGGCTGTCACGTCGTGGGGTGAACATCAATGTCAAAAACAAAATTTAGAGAAAAATCATGTAAACTTGAGAAGTGTTCTAGGCGATATTCTTTATCTTGTACGCTTTCCATTGTTAGGAGAGACATATTTTACTAACGTTGTGTCAGAGACAGCATTGCTAAATGATGCTGAAAAAGTTGAACTATTTAAATATTTCTACAAACCAGGCTACAAAACTGAAACATTTATTAGTAGAAATAGATACGCTACAAATGATACGCCAAAATATACCGCCACGCCAACAAAAAAGACGGAGTACCGCAATATTCAAACATGTCTGCGGTTTAACCGCGTTTGTGAAGACGGTTCCTGGTATTGTGGCGGGGAACCAGATGCTATTACGTTTACGACCAATCAGAATCTCTGGATTCATGGCGTGTTGGTTTATGGCACGTACATTGGCGAAGGCAATTATGACGTCACTTGCTCTATAAATGATTCTTCAGAGACTGAAATGATTCAAGTACGAAAACAAATCAAGACTGTAGAGCACCAGTTAACATACGAAGTTTTATTTGAGGAGGAAATACAAATACAACGAGATAAAAGATATTCTGTGCTAGTGAAACTAACAAACCCTTACGGGATTGACACATATCAAGGTTTAGACGGTAGTGCGTCTGTTACAGTTGGTAATGTTAAATTCAATTTTTCAAAATCCAAGAATAGTCGTAACGGAACTGATGTTAAAATTGGTCAAATTCCTGGACTGTTGTTTTCTACTTTAGAATAAAGCATAACGATCAATAATAAAAATGTCACCTATACCCTATATTCTACGTGTAGCAGCCAACACCGCGACACTGAAAAGTAATGTGTGCTCTCCAACTTACTTGTCAACGGAGGTTGATGGTTCTGCTATGGTGCCCGTCCATGCCAGAAATAATGCTCGATGGAGCACCTGAGGTTTTTTCCAACAGTTAAGATAGAAAGTTACCATATGACCCCTATATGACCTCTATATGTCCTTGCGATATAAACTCTAGCAAAACACACAAACAAACAAATAAAATCCTTCTGAGTTCTGTCTGGTATTTAATCACCCGATCTAGTCCAGTGTTTGTTACAATTTATTTTCATTTGTACATATAATATATAAAAGCTGGGACTATAATATTCCATGTCCAAAATGGGTTGTGCAATCACTCACTGATACCTCATTACCTGATGTAATAGTATGTAAGTAAAGTTCGTGACTCTATGTCTTAGCATTTTTACTAGTATTACAATGATATTAGAAATAACGAATATTGTGCCAAATTTAAAATACCGAATACACAGTGAAACTTTACAACACTAAAGCAATATGTGTTTTACATGTACATTGGTACGTTCAAAATCTTTAATAATTTACATAAATTACAGATGTGGGTTTCTCTTTCACTCCTGACCTAGCTGTGAATTATTCGTTGTTTTGTAACTGGAAGAATTCGGGGGAAAACAAACATTGGTCTAATAGTATAGATGTATATGTTACTGTATACAGCAAGTTTCGTACACTGCTGACAGTTCCTTTTTGCTGAAGTAACACGTTATATTGAAACGTACCTGTATTTATACTTTACTAGCCTGGGTTCCAGTCTTTGTTTCTGCTCGGAAAATCGACGTTACTCGTATATCAATCAGAAATCGTGACGTGCTCGTACGAAATAGCGCGTATGTAATGAATAAGCAAAATATCAACGCCAAAATTTCAGGCCAAGATTTTAAATATAAATATGCTTTTCATCGTAATGTCTCTTTTAAATTGTAATAAGCATTTGCGATGGAACATTGTTGTTGTTGTTGTTTTATATGTATAAGTAAAACTTTAGAACAATTCTCCTGATAAGGTGAACATTATTGCTGCGTAAGCCGTTCTCTTTCTGAAAATGGGATAAAAAGAATATTATATTCGTGTAGATTCAATACTAAATTTATTGAACTCGTTGAAAAAAACAATATTATGCTCGCCGGAGGCTCCCATATGATTTTATTCAACTCGATAGTATTTAACCTACATCCATTCAATATCCTCTATGTATTACATTCCATTTTTTTGCTGCATGCATATACTTAAATGCAATAAATGTTTGAAATAAATTTAATATCAACTTTCACTTGTTGTACTAAGTACTTCAAACTCAGGTTTCACAGTAGCTTCAATAGGATAAGCACCACCTAAATGACCTATGCCAATTCGTTGCAGCAATTTAATTTATTTAACATGTTATTTCAACAAAAATATCTTAACACTTTTGATCATTTAAACAGAATAAATTCATACGAGTAGACATTACAAATTGAAATTTACCTTTCTATGTATTGTTCCAGCTCCGCAATATTTTTCCTAAAATAAAGCCCTTTCCAATATCTATGTTGTTTTCACAAACAAAAGACACTATGTATTGACACAATTTTCTTTTCAAAGTGTTTGCATCTATTTATTTATATAGACGGAGTAAATGTAAACACATTCAAACCATTTATCAATTTTGTTAATGTTTACAGCAAGGTTAATTTCTACGTGCGTAACTTCTAATGATGCTAAATGTATCTTAATTCATCTTGTTTACAAATTTACATGTTTTGTTAGACTTCGTTGTCAGTCTCTATTTTCGAGGGAGCGTAGCCCCCCCCCCCCTCTCATCGCATTGTCGCACTATCGTCATCGCACTGTCGCACTCTCGTCATCGCACTGTCCCATTCTCGTCATCGCATTGTCGCACTCTCGTCATCGAACTGTCGCACTCTCGTCATCGCACTGTCGCACTCTCGTCATCGCACTGTCGCACTCTCGACTATCGCCTTCTGGTGGACGGTTCTAAACTGCTGGTAAGCTGACGGTTTAGAATATGGGATAATTTTACTTTTGTCAATTTAATTTCTATTTGGCCCATAGTGTTCAAACTTAATAGGATGATTGTCCATATTGAGTAGAAGACCCCTATTGATTTTGGGGTCACAAGGTCAAAGTTCAAGGTTGCTATTACCTCAAAACTGAAAACAGTTTCCAGAGTATAACTCTTAAGTTCCATTTGGCCCACACTATTCAAACTTTATAGGAGGATTGCTGTATGAAGGAGGTAATACTTTATTTAATTTATGTAATGTCTTACAAATGCTTCATCCTTACTAAAAAAGCAATTTCGGGCATATAATGGTCCGCCTAGCGGTGCTCTTGTTATATACTGTCTAAATACACGCATGACTGTTAATATTTTTCACAAGTCGACCGGTCAGCGAGTGGATCTGCATCAATTAGTCTGGCTTCGACTTATAATTAGGCTGGCTTCGAATAATAGGTGTGAAATTCTTTCATAATTGTATAATCGGGACCAAAATTTTACTTCGAAAAATAGGAGGTATTCGGATAATGCATTTCGAATAATACGCTCGTATTATATTGATTTATATAGAGATAAAAACGGGACCGCCGATCTACTTCGGATAATGCCGGGTATTCGAATAAAGGGTTGTCGAATAACCGGGGTCGGACTGTATGTTTTACCTTTTACCTCATATAGACGTGTTTTCACGCCTTTTCACCCTCCCTTTTGATGCCTCAAATAGTGAAAACCATGCCCTATTTATCAGATACATCGGGGTGCAAGAGAGGGGGTACCCTCTTCTGTACAGGGGTTTGAAGGTTGACTGCCGCCCCACTCAACTCCAAGAAAAAATGGACTTGTGAGAGGCTCTAAATGGCATCAGGTCGATCTTAAGGTAACGTGTAACCAACGCTGGAAGCCCTTCACTCTATCCCGACCCATCGGGAATTTGCAGCTTTGGTGGAAAAATTAACACAACATAGTGATTTTGAAATGTCCCCTAGTTGTCATGGTCACAGGAAATTAAGATACAATTGCTATGGCTTAGTAAACATTTGTGCCAAGTTTGATCAGTATTAAATTTTAGATAAGGGTTAGGGTTAGGGTTTAAATTATTCTAAATTTTACCAGTTCATGTTTAATGTTGAATTCTGCTTAAGCCGGTGCTAGGGGGCGTGGACGGTAACTTGCATTTTCCAGTACCGTCCATGAACAGGCTCAATCAAACCGAGCCTGCAACATTTTCAATTTTGCCGTGTTGGGCTTTCTTTAGGGATTCTGTATTTATCTATTTTAAAGCATTTTTTTCTAGTTTCATAGTTGATTTAATTGATTGATTGATTGATTGATTGATTGATTGATTGGGTCTTACGTCGCACCGACACAGTATAGGTCATATGGCGACGTTCCAGCTTTACTGATGGATGAAGACCTTCCGTGCATTATTTTAGGCACAAACGGGTACCCGAGTAGAACCACCGACAATATAGTTTCATAGCAAAACAGGGGGGTTTTCAATGAAAACAGTCATTTTTCACAAAATGCTTATGCGGGAATGGGTTAACTGGTCAGCAGATTCTAGTATACATGTGTACCGTACCTAAAGCACCGTATGTTAAGTCTGCTGACCATATAGTATAAGAAGAAAATATGGCATAAACCATTAACCAATTTTTACTAACATTGCAAAATAAATTAAAACTTCACTGTAAATATCATTTTCCTCTGTTCATAAGCAGTTTCTCAAGGTTGAGCTAAAATCACTTTGGCTATATATAAAACAAGTGGGCACAGAAATCTAGTACATTTGTATATCTTTTATATTTCTTTTTTTTTATTTAATCATATTTATTTACTATCTCTAAGAAATATAAAAGCGCTATGTTCACCAAGCACCAAAAATGGATATTGATAAAAATCTAAAGAAGCGTCAATTTGATAGGTAGTAGGTAGTTGGATATTCGAATAACCTACTAGCTGGTAAATGGTTATTCTTAATCCTCCACTACCTACCGGCAGGTACATGTAGTTGGTAATTCGAATTTTGCATGTTTCCCTTAAAAAAAAAAACAACAAAAATAAACAGTAAGAACTTTTCCGGATTAAATATAATGGATAGATGTGTTTTTCAATATTGAAACACATTGACTCACTATGTCCACCAGCGGAGTCAGTTGGCTATAGTACAATATGCTGACCAATTTAACTTATACATTGTAGTAGGATCTGCTGTTAAGTTAATCTTAAAGTGAAAATTGTTGACCTTAAATAATAAAGAAAAAGATATGTGTTGACGTAAATTTCTAATTACATGTATCTTTATTTACAATGTTAGTAATATAATAAATTATACATCTTACAAAACAATAAAACCACTGATGACGATCTATGAATATATTTCGTTTGTCTTTTTTATACAAGTAATAAAAAATGATTTTATACTTTTTTCATCTTTTAAATGTCAACATAAGATCATTTTCATCTGAAATATTTCTATTACATTGTAAATTAAAGTTTCACAAAAAATTTCCGTCTATGTATAACTCTTTCAGTATTTATATACAAAATGATTCTTATTATTAATTTACGATTTCATTTATACATTATTAGTATACAGAAAAAAAACACAACTAAATAATAAAAAGAAAAAGAAAAACCAGAAGAAAAAAAAATATTGACAAAAGTAAAATTATCCCATATTCTATACCGTCAGCTTATTCGCCAGCAGTTTATAACCGTCAACCAGAAGGCGAGAGTCGACAATGCGATAACGCGATGACGACAGTGCGACAGTGCGATGGCGAGAGTGCGACAATGCGATGAAGACAGTACGACAATGCGACAGTGCGATGGCGACAATGCGACAGTGCGATGGCGACAGTGCGATAACACTATCGCCCTGTCGTCATCGTACTATCGCGTTATCGCATTGTCGCCATCGTACTGTCGCATTGTCGTCATCGCACTATCGCACTCTCGCCATCGCATTATCGCATTCGCCATCGCACTGTCGCCATTGCACTCTCGCATTGTCGTCATCGCACTGTCGTATTGTCCTCATCGCATTGTCGCACTCTCGCATTATCGCACTTTGTATTTTAACGTAAATCCACGATGGCCCTAACAGTATTCTGTAGTTCCCTGATACCACAAATTGAAACCCCACAAAAAAGTAACCAATAAACGAGCATCTGAATATGATATTTCCATCGCTATCCCTTTCTCTGTCGTCACAATATGTAAACCCCGGACAAAATGAACCAATCAATAGGCATGCTCTGTAGTGCGGGTAACTAATACATGTACCTTGCACTCCAGTTAACGCACTGTGCATGTATATGTATACGATTAAACTCTGTCACATTTTCAACAGAAAGGTCCCCAAACTATAATACAATTTAAGTTTATAATACCTATACCTCTGCTGAGGCTAACTTCAAACACATAATTCACATTATACTGCGTGTTATGTTTTCCCTGTTTTTCAGACTCTGTCAAGGTGATATCTAGATAATCGCTCTTGTATTTTGATATCTGATTAACCATAAAATCTATCTGCCGTAGGAACATTGAATTTTGACCCTGTTGAAAAATTTACCCCATGGGTAATTTTTGAGTAATTTTTAATAGTTTGTGATTAATTTTCAACAATAGACCAACATATTCATGTTAAACATGTCCATATATGGTCATACACTTGAAACAGTAATATTTCTGTATTCCTTACAGATTTTTAAGTGATAAATATTTATTCATTTTAATCAAGTGGCTCATGAGCTAATAACAATTTGCCATTCCAACAGCAATAACTGATAATGGACAGCTATATGGTACTTAGGAAGTGAGCTTGTAGTGAACTATAATATAACATTGCTACAGAATAATGTATACTTATATTAGGGAGTCGCTTTCTTACGGAGCCCCTAAGGTAACATTTTCCACACTTTTTTCCCGAGATTTAATTCGTTTTTTACGAAATATTAATCCGTTTTTACGAAATGATAATTCGTTTTTACGAAATATTAATTTTTTTAACGAAATATCAATACGTTATTACGAAATATTTTTATAATATTTCGTAATAACGAAATCCAACAGAAACTAAATGCTGAAGCCGCTGTAAAATAAATATGAAGTTATAAATGAAGAAGTGTATATGCTTAATAAATTCAAACTTCACTTTGTTAATTTTTTTGGTGCTATTTTTTATGATAATTAATAAGCAGTCAATGTTGAGATGGTTCAGTAATGTACATGCTTTAAGACTGCTAAATCTTGTCATATTGAACTACATACAATATTATTATATGTCAGTGTTTACACTAGTCATTATTGTCCAATTATTTAGTATGCTTTATAGCACTGTACAAGAGATGTTTAAGTGAAATAAACTCAATAATCTCCGTGTTAGCAGTAAGGGACAAAATAGATAACCCAGATAAGTATAATGATTTCTTAAGTGTAAAATTCCTTGTATTTAATTCTTTGTCACATTTGTTAAATAATATTCTTTAATAAGACTTGATGCTGTGCAATAAAATAAAAAAGTAGTGTCTATTTTCTATCATTTTAAGATAAATCATAAGTGATCTGATATCTTTGCCTGATTGGATTGTAATTTATGTGTATGTATATATATATACATGTAGGTATAGCTGAAATGGTTTACTATATTGTATGCCATACTTGCTATGTTATAATTACTGTTTTACAAACTACATGTACATGTATTGACTATATAATTCGTTTCATTTAAAATATGTCAGCTGTGGTTTTTAGAAATAAAAGTACATAGACTATTTCTTATGACAAAGTTATATTTGGTCCCTTTTTGCAATAAAGTACATGTAAATGTTTGTTTGTGTGTTTTAGAATTGTCAGATCTTAATAATCATGATACAAATTGGACATTCTGACTTATTGTAATGTCACAGAATTATGTTTATGTGCTACAGGGTGAGAAAAAAAATGTGTAGCTTCACCGGACATGAACCCGGGATCCCTGTTATACCATTTCACGGCTCTACCGACTGAGCTATACAGCCGCTTACATATCCTATCCCAAAATAGTGAACCGTTTTCTGTGTGTGTATTGAGTTTATTTATACTCGCCACCTATTGCCTATATGGGCGAGTCCTCATGAAGAGTATAAGTCATTTTAGGCAAGTGTTTAAGCACTCATACACGGGACACGATATCGAGTCTCATCAGTTATATAAGTTGGCCAGCCCGGTTATCGAACCCACAATGTCGAGATTACAAGTCTCGCGCTCTTACCGATTGTGCTTTGCGGGCAATTTTGAACTTTGACAATGTTTTATAGTCAGCCCGACTAGACTAGAAGATCAACAGATACATCATCAGGTTTGAGACCAAGAGGCCGCTGGTTCGAGCGAGGCAAATTTACTCCGTGACAATAGATCCTGGACATGTAGTCTAATGACCATTTGTATTGTTCTGCTGGTTCAGAAAATAGATAAATACAGAATCCCTAAAGAAAGCCCAACACGGCAAAATTGAAAATGTTGCAGGCTCGGTTTGATTGAGCCTGTTCATGGACGGTACTGGAAAGTGCAAGTTACCGTCCACGCCCCCTAGCACCGGCTTAAGCAGAATTCAACATTTAAACATGAAATAGTAAAATTTTGAATTTAGAAACATCCGCAGATGTGTTCATACGGCGGTTATCATTGAACCTTCAATGTGACACAGTAGTGCCATTCCATGAAAAGCGGCGTATGGTCCCCAAGTAATAAAAAGCGTGTGCCCTAAACGAGAAAACAATGGGCGGAACTAAATAAAATGGAATTTTGAAAGGGGATCAGAGGTTATGAAGCCTGCGTATCACAGATTAGACGTCAAAAGACAAATTTAAAAAGCAGGCAACATATCCTAAGGGTGATTCAACATTATTCAAGTAGGAATATTGGAACCACCCAACTAGAAAATGCCGAAAAGTTGAAACTAAAAATACCACAAGCACAACAATAATGTCGTGCTGAACGATCTTCAAGGATCGAAAATATAACATCATTGATTAAATGTACGGGGAGACTTTTTACAGCCGCCACACGGCACAAATAACACGGATGTGATCATAAAATAGATAAATACAGAATCCCTAAAGAAAGCCCAACACGGCAAAATTGAAAATGTTGCAGGCTCGGTTTGATTGAGCCTGTTCATGGACGGTACTGGAAAGTGCAAGTTACCGTCCACGCCCCCTAGCACCGGCTTAAGCAGAATTCAACATTTAAACATGAAATAGTAAAATTTTGAATTTAGAAACATCCGCAGATGTGTTCATACGGCGGTTATCATTGAACCTTCAATCAAATCACATTTGAGTTATAGTCGGTCACCTGCGGAGAAATTGGTAATTATACTGCTTCGTTATCCAGCAAAGCTTGTTAGGGAGAACGACCGCCAAGATATTACCAAAATATTGTTGAAACAGGCTTATAAACCAGATCAACAGCACAGCAGTTTAGAGTCAGTGAGCTCAATAGGTAGAGCGTCGGACTGTGAATCGGGCGACCCTGGTTCGATTCCTGTACGGTGTAGATCACTTTCTTTGTAATTTATCATGAAGATTTGCACTATACCTTTGCTCTGGCATGTAGAGAAGTTATCAGTTCCTTGCGAAAGTGAAGGCAATCAGTACTGGTGAACTGCTTGACAGCCTGTTCAGGAACGATGCGGTGGCTGGTAAATTCAATGTTGCTTACTGCCGTGATCAGAAGTGAAAATTATCAACTCAACCACAAGCAATTTGGAACGTCGACGGTTATACCAAGGGACTTGCTTGTGACCCGTTCAGATTGGAATTGTGTGTAATTGGCTCTTTGCAGGACTAACTTTGAATTTCATGAAACTAATAATATGTATAGTTGTTTTGTGTACAACTATATTTTAGAGACATGTTAACTATACAGAAAATGATAATTATTCAAAGCATATTTCCAGCAAACTTGGAAATCACGTCGAGACGGCATTTTTAAACGCACATTATGCCTAAGAAACAAATGAATTTTTACTTCTTTACAATGGGCAAACATGAATTTTATAATGTTTAGATAATGGTTTTAGAGAATATAAGATGCTTTTACCTGAATAAAGTAGCGATAAATGTGAAACAATTTGTCATGAAGGTAGCAAAATGTTAACAAAGTGCATGTTGTATTTTCACTAATTACTAATTCACTATAACTGTATTTATTGCCAAAAAGGGAACATTAAAAAGCTTTGAGAAATAAGAATAAAAGTATTACGGAACCCACAATACCTGTATATGACAGGCCTCTTGTGACGGGCTTTAACAGAGTCGTTTAATTCAACGTGACCGGCTTAGTAGTAAGTATGAAAAATAAAAACATTTCAAAAAATATTTTTATTAAAAGTTGGTGATATGTTAACGCAGGAAAAAAATCTAGTAAGCAAAACATAACAAATTAGTCAATATGTTATTTAGATATATAAACAATTTAATTACGTCTAATGACATATACATAGATTTCTGTCAAATTCGAAGGACTTCATGAACGCCGAAATATATAAATATAAATTCTTAATTCAGTATTAACGTAATGCTCTATAAGGATTTGGGATCCATTATCTTTTATTGTGACAAAAAAAGCAAAATTAAAATGTCAACAAAAATGTGATTTTTAATTAACAAAAAGGCACAGCTATATACAAAATTACAAATTGCTAATACAAAACTGGTCAATTTTAAGCAGCGGGTTTAAATTTTTTTGTTTACAATTAATAAAAAATAATTATAAAAAAAATCTGTATTACACACCACTGTAGTATTTCGGAATCTTACTAGAGCGGCGCACTTGTCCAGTAGTATCGTTATGCTCAATTTTCCATTGTCAAGTTGAGATGAATTTACTAAATATTTCAAAAGATTGACTGTTGACTGTGATTGACCTATATTTAATATTGGAGAATGTTGAGTATAAAATATACTGCCCCATTGTTTTTATAAATTGAAGGCAATAGTTATACATTGTTTATTATTTCCGACGATTGTTATAGAAATGTTGTTGGGTCATTAAGTTATTTATCGAAAATAAACTTGAAAGGAAAGAAAATATGGGAAAATGATTTTTTTTATTTTGACATTCACCTGTTCACTAACTAGCTGTTTAATTTTGGATGGGCATAATGTCACTGTAAATAATTTATAATTGTTTTATATTATATTGAGAAATATAAAGTTGGATTGCTATTGAAAAGAATGCATGTATATGTCACAGTCTTTTAGGTGAAATTTTAAAAACCGAGTTCTCGATTGTTTTTTCCTATGATGGGCCTAGAACAAAAGATTATAAACACGCGTCAGGAGCCGACCGAGGTGATAAGATGAATGTCTGCAGCAGCTACAAATATAGTAGATTATTCAGTTTGTTTTATATAAAAAATTAACAGATATAAAAATATAGTGATATAGTTGTTCAATATTACATAAATATAATACAGTATCCCGTCCGTGAAAATTGGTGTACATTTCTTCTTTACAGTTTCTTTTCTCAGCTTAATTGTTGAAACTCTATGTCTACGACTGACAGTGCACTGCTGGTCCCATGCAGGCTCCATTCGCCAACAAAGGTATTTTGAGCTCTTAGATTTACCTTTTGTACTTGCGGTTCACCAAGTTTTTCACGTATTTTGTTCATAATTTTACGGTCATGATTCCTGAAATTAACACAAGGTCCGACACGGAGAAACGCTTTCACTTGAGCATGATTAATGTTACTGGCGGAAACATAATCAAAATTAACAAGGACGATCTTTTTACATCTGTTATTTCTAAAATTATTCCATGCGTATTTCCATTCGCAGACAGTTGTTGGGCGTTCATCGTCATCCGTATGGAAGTAATTGTTTGTCAGTATAACCAAAACAGCACGTGAGCGTTCAATTGCGTGTATAGCTTGATCCTCACGTACACCTCCAAAACAAATATCTCTATAGGGAATAAAAACTTTATATCCCAGCTCGGTGAGATAGTTGTCAAGATATTTATTGACCCAAGATAAACTATCATTATTGTTCTCATCTAGCGTAATATACACGTCATACAAAAATTCAGGGTGTGTCATATAATTATCCTTTCTCTTCCTTCTAATTTGGAGGTAAACAATAAGAACCTCGTATCTTAATTTATATATAACAACAGCAGACGCTATACAGAGGGCAATTATTCCTCCTATAATGCTACTGATCATTGTAACCAGAATATTCGGCTCCGAGCAATCTAAATCATCTACGTTAAATGAACTGGCTGGGATAATTCCTTTTCCTGGTACATAACAATAAAACTGACCGCTTTTACAAGCTTTCGATTTCAGCCATTCGGCAATCCATTGAGAGTCACAGTCACAATCTATGGTGATGTCATCAATGATGATTAAGCAAGCGTTCCGGTATTGAAAAGTTTGCGGTAGTCTAAGAAGACGATCATTGAATCTTAAATCTATAACTGCCGCCTCAAGCTGCCTTGCTATATTGTCATTTATTTCACGGATATCGTTATTACTTAAATCTAAGTTTGACAATTTTGACAAATACGGCTCATCAGGTATGTATTTTATTGCATTACCAGACAAATTCAGAGATACCTGTGATGAATATGTGGAATTTGGAATGGTAGGGAAATGTCGAAGAGCTGGGATTGCATTTGAACAGTCTATGATTAGAGTATCTTTGTTCGGTTCATCAACGCATGTACATTGTGGTGATTGACATCCTGAATCTGCACCGAGTGGACAAACTAAATCTGACAGATTCAAATTTGGAATAGAGACATCCATAAGCAGTTCTGGGGCTGTACATACTACCTCAAAATAATCCTGCCAAATAGCTTCAATTACATCTTTTGCCAACGACAAAAACGGCTGTAAAGCACAGTCGCATACTATTGGTATCCCCCTTAAGTCAAATCCGAAATCCCAGACTTTACCTAATATGCTGATGTCGTCTATATTCAGAAGCGATTCCAAATCAGGAAATTTTTGAAGGGAATTATCTTGAAAGTTTAAAAATCCGGGTCCATAAATTTTACTAGTATCCAATTTAAACTCGGCATGGTTAACAAATTCATTTATTTCATTTGATGCGGCGTTAATTTCACAAAACGGAAATGGTGGCATAATGTTAGACACATCAATAGTTTTTAACTGATTTTTACTTATGTCTGCATACAGTATGTGTTGATTTGTAGAGGAGAAAGTATTTGGTTCCAGCACTGTCAATTTATTACCGTCTAATCTTAGAGTTCGCAAATGTGAAAGGTTTACAAAAGACGTATTTGACAAGTATGAAATACTGTTGTACCGTAAATTTAACTCATCGAGCTTATACAAACAACTGATGTCCGCTAGTACTTCTATGTCGTTGTATTCAAGGTTGATAAGCACTATTCTATCTCTGTAGACAGAAATATTTGAAAATGAAGTAAACAAAGCTCCTAAGTTTGTATAGTTAACGTCTTTGCATAAATTAACTGGGAACTCTTTCATTTCTGAATGACTTCTGTATATCTTGTAAACGTTGGATTCCGAGGATTGATTGTTTGATAGCACAATGTTTTTTCCAGTGATTGACAACTCTTCTATATATAAATCAATTTCTTCTCCCATCCACGAGGTACACGAGTTGCACGAGCAACAGTTCTCTTCCGCGCTTTCGTCAAAACATTTGTTATCACAATAAAGATCGTCTCTGTTGTTAGACCAAGATGGCGTCCATGGCTTTGCGTTACCATCATTACAACCAAAGGCATTTGTTGCCAATGGTGACGTAATAATGATTAGAAGTAAGAAAATAAATCTTACTATTTTAAGAGCACACGTTCTTGTAAATCTGAAAATATAGAAAAACAATGTCTGAAATGTTTTAAAAATAAGTCAGTCATTGCTAACTGTACGGAAGAGGGAGAACATAGTCAGATATTATGACATACTAAAATATCATATGTAAAAGAACATTCCAATATAAAGTCAGAGAAAGATCGTATTCGACAGTGTCGTTTTTGTTGTGTCGCATTGAACAAAAAGTGACATTTAGGGATTCCGTTTGTCGGCGGCGTCGTTGTCGGCGTCGGAGACGACGGCGTCCCCTTAGGCTTGTCTGGAGCATAACTCAAGGTCACTTTTAGTCGGATTGACTCCAAACTTGGTATGCATGCTTCTTTTAACAACCTGAAGTGCAATGCACAAGAATTTTTACTCTGCACTTCTTAATTTTAGAGTTATTGCCTTTTGTTAATTTTCTTACTTAATAGGCTTGTCAGAGCGTAACTTGGTCACTATAAGTTTGATTGACTCCAAATCTGGTATTTGGTTACTTGTTAAAGACTTTATGTAAACTAATTATTCTAGAACATTGATATGGTATTAATCTACTTATAACATAAATACATATATATGACGTTTGAATCTGATACTGTGTTGACTTATTGAAGAGAACAGAACAGAACAAACTCTTTATATAACATTCTCATAAGTACAGTATGAGGAAAATAAAAAACAAAACAGATTAAATTTTGACATACTATTGAGTAATGGGGTGTTTCAGTACAAGGGGCGATTTTTGCCGTGGCTGACCATAAATGAAATGAGCATGGTTTTATTCTAAAGTTTTTCATTTATTTACGCTATTTTGATCGACCTTTATGTACATAGATAGATGTATAAAACATCAATCCCTGGGGGGGGGGGGGCAACACTACAATAATAATTACTGCTAACATGAGATCAGGATGACAACCTGTGAATGAATCGCACAATAAATTAGACTCATCGTCGAACTTAAGCTAGACCACTGGATTGAGAGATAGACACTTAAACCAATAGGCCATCTTTATCCTTTATTTTAAATTGAAACAGGTACTGATAATAGAATTTATCTTTCTTGCTTCACTTTCTTACTGAACAGTATTATCAGATTTATTCTCATTGATATAATACACGGCCATTTGTTGCTACTCCCTCTCACTGGCGAGGAATAGCAGGTACATTAAATTTTAGAGTATCAAAACCTTGGTTCAAATCCTGGCTCCACCCAGTGCTGACACTCATATGGTAAAATCCTCTATAATTGACCATGCACAACAACTTGGCATTGCGTGAAAACTTGTGTTATTTCCCCTGTTCTCGCCGTACAATAGGTTTACAGGTGACAGGAGCATGACTTTATACTTGTGTTTTCCTAACTTGTTCATGAAATTTGAATTTTTAAATATATCAGCTAAATATACTAAATTGCTTCATTTGTATTGTTCATAGACAAGACAGCAATTATTTCATTACAAATGTACCGTCTTAACACTTAACGTTAATAATTTGCAATACTTTTGTTCATAGACAAGACAGCAATTATTTCATAACAAATGTACCGTCTTAACACTTAACGTTATTAATTTGCAATACTTTGACATACTGGCCGGGCTCTTTATACTGGTGGCAAAGGCCAACCATTACAGTTTCCAGTAGCTAAAGGTTAATGTTAATTTCCTTAAAATGGTTTATTTCAACTTTGTAACTATAAGCGATTTATTCCAATTTTCATGCATGTTACATATGTATCAAAAATGAAAATAAAAATCATCTTATCAAAATCTGTTTACTTCTTTCTGTATTTAGCATTGTGAATATATATAAATTAAACAACATCATTATATAAATATATATAGATAAAACAACATCATTATATCAATATATAAACAAAACTGTATTACGTACCTCATTTCTTTTCACTTAAAAATTACCAGTTTGAAATATTATGTACAAGTAAGGTTTTTTTCTTTAAGTCTGCGTTAAAAAGGGAATTCACCAGGTTTTTACTTTCTCTCGTTACAGTGGCTTAATTATGCATAATTATAAGAAAACCAAGATCCTTATCGGTAATTAGAAACATGGCTTTACAATTGTAATGAGATCACATGAAAGCGTGATAATTATCAATGATTATCTATGGTGTACAGTCATTGATAATTGTACACTATATTATATCTATATAATGAACTAAATCCCCGTAACTTTCTTTATTTTAAATCGATCTACCATACTTAAACCCAGTTTTCAGCAATCGCGTACTCGAGTACGACTTTCCTTATGCAACCACTTCATCTGAAACTTAACGACTACAAAAATAAATTCAACTTAAGATTGGCATAAACTTTCAAACAAACTAATATGATATGCATGTAAATAAAAGCAACAAGTATCAGCATTTCCAAAAATATTTCGAATCGTCGTTCAGGGCTGACCGTTACAGTTTATGCACACGTTGTATACAAACTTTCTAAATCAATTTATGCCTCGTCCGGTTCTTTATTTTACAGATACTAGTATTCAAAATACTTCAAAAAATCAACGAACTTATTCATCATATTAAAATACTTTTTATCATAAAATAAAAAAGGTGATGTAGTATCTTTACCATACTGTTATCTTAGAACAGACTATAGCTAATCTATACATGTAACCTGGCTGGAATAATCCGTCAGTCGTTGACCAGCTACACTTGTAGTAAGATCGCTTGATCATATCATTATATTACTAGTCTTGTAAATAAACTGTATATATATATATATATATATATGTGTGTGTATATCGGACTTTGTTATTATACTTGACTTTATTATATAGTTAAAACGATACAACTGGTGGTAAACTAGATGTTCCCTATAACCTCTAGATCTCAGCAAGCAATATCAACACAATATCACAGGTGAGCAATACAGGTGATCTCTTTTTGTTATAATGTTAAATAATTTAGATTTACTCAAGAATGTCCGAATGTACACAATAGGCAAACGCAGCAACTTCCTGTGCTCGCAAGAAATAATACAGGTGGAATCATTAATTCTACAGTGATCGGCCATATATCGTACAGTTTGTCTATAACTGATATCAATCTAGCCATGGTTATACAGCTAATTATATACTACTCAACTGTTACTAAGCACCATATGTTTGAGTGTGATTTTTTTTTGGATTTGTACGAAAGTTATTAAATGTTGATTTACTGTTTTATCAATTTAGCTGAAGACCAAAGTAACCATATAAATGAGTTTTACGCTGCTTTTGTGCTGGAGAAGAGGATGACCCCTGCGCCCCCCTCTTTGAATATTTCAGAACATGCAGCGTGTTTTTCAAATTTGTTAAATTGGATTTTTTGTTTACAGTTTTAGACTAAATACCGTGTGTGTGACCCTTGACTATCAATGAGAGCTTGGCAGCGCCTTTTCAAAACTCCCTCTTATAGGTTTTTGATCGTTCTAACGGATATGGCTCACCATTGTTGGACCAACATGGGTCAAGCTCCTGGATGGTTCTGGGTTGCAGCTGACGAGCTGAAATTCTAATCTGCAGCTCATTACACGTGTGTTCTATTGTATTTAAGTCAGGTGAGCAAGTTGGCGAGTTCATGCGCTCAATAGACTCCTCTAGGCAGTCCAGGACCACCCTGGCCGAATGGGGCGAGCATTATCGGCCATTAGAATGAATTGATCGCCGACTACTCAAGCATACAACCTATTTGGTTGTCTAAGATGTCGGACCTGTCAATGTGCCTCTATTAAGAACAACCAGCTCGATTCGTCCATCCCAGCTGATGCCTCCCCACACCATAACTGGCCAACATCTGTAGCGGTCATGCTAAGCAATATTTGCAGCCTGAAACCGTTCACCTCGTCTTCTCCAGACTCTAGAACGTTTAATCGTGAAGTCTCGGCAGAACGTGGGCTCATCAGTGAACAGAACGTGACTCCAATGTTGCATGGTCAACCATGTATGCTCCATGATCCATTCCAAACGGGCCTAACGATGACGACACGTCAAGGGGAAAAGTTTGCAGGTCTTCCCGACCGCAAATTACCTTCATGCAGCCTTCTACATTCCGTATGCGTGGAAACACGGACCGCCACAGCATTAGTAAGGTCATTTCGAAGAGCAGTTGCTGTCGAAAACCTTGTACGACGAGTCTGAATGACCAAAAACTGATCCTGAGCTTGTGTTAGCATTCGCCATATTGAAATGACAGATGTAAGAAATGTAAGCCACTGAATTAAAATAAGCCGGTAATGTCGCCGTATAACAAAAGACATGAAATTGTATACCCCATCATAAACATGAAAATATTGGGGTGCATGCTTTCCATGCTACCTGGACGAATTGTAAAGGATTAGTCAACGCGAATTCATGTCAAAATAGAAAAAAAAGAATCCCTAAAAAATTCCAACACGGAAGAATTGATAATGTTGCAGGCTCGGTTTGATTGAGCCTGTTCATGGACGGTACTGGTAAGTGCAAGTTACCGTCCACGCCCTCTAGCACCGGCTTAAGCAGAATTAAACATTTAAACGCGAAAATGGTGAAATTTTCAATTTAAAAACACCCGCAGATGTGTTCATACGGCGGTTATCATGGCACGTTGCTAAATCAGAATTATCGAAAATTGGGAAGAAATCTGTTTTATACTTGTGATAATATAAAAATTAACTTATGGTGCTTAGCTTAAGTTAAGTAGTATATCTCTTTATACAAAACATAAAACTACGTATAATATCTCATTGATTTGTACAGCTCATTCACTATAGAAAACTTGAAACTACATTTCACTAATTGTGATATTCAAAGTTGAAAATGCCCGGTTATTCCCCAATATTATATTTCACCCAATCGAAAGATTTTCTATTATGTGTTATGATTTTATAACCTTAAGATATTATAAAGCTACTTAAATATTCATAATTGTCCATAATTGATTTATAATAGATTTTTTGTATTATTATCAGGTATTTGTATTTAAAAATCTCTTAACATAGTGTTTAGTCTCTTCATTATAGGAATAGAGGGCGCCCTCTATCGGGTAAATATTTTTTTCCATTGTCTTTTTATATTTAGAACGTCGTAGTAAATTAAAGGGATTTTGATATAGTCTAATGAAGGTGTAAATAAATTACTTTTGCTCAATTTGTGTTTTTTTATATTTTAATTTTGTGCAAAATAAAAATCGTTTAAACGCTGTAATCACAGATCGGTCTAACAGTGGCGCTAAACATCATTTTTTTCAATTTAATCCTAAAAATTCTACTTCTTTTTTGTCTTTTTCATATATTTTTCCGTTTTAAGTGCTCTAGTTTAATCGATATATTTTTTTTTAATTTTATCTTTTAGGGCTTTTGGACTTCAACGGAGCTCCTTTAAGTTTTTGCAATTTGAAGGCGAAGTTTTAGATATAGCTTTAAAAACCTATAGACTACACATTCAAATTACACAAAATTACATGACACATGAAATGGTAGGGCGTGTCTGGTAACTTGATACATTACTGTATCTGCTTTGTACGCTGTCTACACTGTCTTTTCAGAATATAGAGCTACTGGAATACTACTGTAAACTTTATTTGAAGGATTGAATTATCATGTCTTGCCGCCTGAATTAAGCAGTGTTGTTTATAATCGTATTTTGATAGATTGAACATGTCTTGCCGTCTGAATTTAACAGTGTTGCTCATAATCGTACTTTGTGGAGATGCATGTTGCAGCACATGTTTCTTTGGAGTTTGTTCATGGGCGGAATGGAAAACAGTTTCAACTAATTGCGGATCGTCATACTGCAGTCAACAAAGAGCGAGACAAATATGTTGTTTAGATATTGGATGGACTCATGAGACGTGTAGTCGGTATTGTCCGGGATCACCAGATAGTTCTCAGTCAGGGACCGGAGATTCCAGTACATTGACATGTAATCACTGCAGTAATGGCGGGTCTCTTCAATATTACGGACGGGCATGTGACTGTGTGCCAGGATACTACGGAACTTGTTGCCAATATGGTACGTTATTTAACGTGTTAATATACATGACACTTCAATCTCTGGTTCTATCTAGAACTACGGGGTGACCGCTGGTATAAAGCAAGCTTCTAAATCTTTCTATTCACTATACATAGCATTTAGTGCGGTATTAAGAATGTATTTTTTAGAAACAAAGTTGTTTATGGGAGTCTGATACGGCTGGTATTTGTTGAAAGGTAAGAAACTTCATATTAGTGAAGTCACAAACGCAATGGTTATTGATATTTTTTGTGATACTTATTATTTTAAACAACAAGAATATGTGTTTAAAATTACTTTTGTCCGATAGGATTGTAGTATTTCAATTGAATCTGAACACATTGACTCTGGTAAATCTGTCCTGTTTTACAATAATTTCAAACACTAATTTGACATGTAATTGATTTTTATTTTTTAATGAACACTTACTTATTTAAATAAAGTCTGAAATTGGTATAAAAGAAATGCCTTGGTCCATCAATGTTCAGCTTATGTTGATTCAGCTCTATCTTAATTAATATAGATTTAACATTGTATTTAGTTATTTGCATTAAATCTGAAAGTTGCTAGCTTGTTTTAAATTCTATCTAAGAGGGTTTAATGTTGATTTCTTTATCATCTTTTACAATATATCAGGTTTTATATTTATATCAGGATTTAATATATTTATAGTCCAATCTTTATGTTATAAAAAAAACCCTGTTGTCACAATACAATATGAAACTTCAATAAAAGGTAACCAATGAGCGAACATCTGAATATGATATTTCTATCGCGCTATCCCTTTCTCTGTCGCCACAATAAGTAAACCCTACAAAAACACTTTTCAACACATTTTCAACATAAAGTTTCCCAAACAATAATACAATACCTTTAATGGATAATGCATTCTTTGTTTAATATGTCAGTCATTTATTACAATAGAGATATACGAGTGCAGCAGTTCACCGTGTAAGAATGGAGGCACATGTATAGATAAAGTCAATGGATTCTTGTGCGAGTGTCCACCTAGACTCTATGGAACATATTGTGAAACTGGTACGTGGTGACGAGTTTTAGAATCAGTTGGTAATATAAAAAATAGTTTAATTTAAGACTACATACAAACCATTTTGAAGATACTTGTATGTATGTTCTATTTTCAAAAAGTATACTTCCTGTTTTTATACATTTATATTCAAACCGATTTATGGTCATTTAAAAAAAAACTTTTAAAAATCACACATGGTTAAAGTAGTCACTTGTTAAACATTTCTTCCCCAAAGTGATCATACCTTTTGAAATTTAGATTCCAGTATTTTCAACATAATTAATTCATTTGTATATCATATTGTTCTTGTAACGTCAGTTTTTTCCACAATAAACAATATAATTACTTTTTTAAATACCTAAAGTAAATGTACAACATAAACTTTTTTAACTTAATCTTAATTAGTCTGATTCGTGATCACTTTAAAGCAATAGATAGTACAGGACTGCAAATCCATATAAGTTTATGCATATATTTTCAGATATATGCCAACCTTCTGTAGCTGATATAGTGTTTGTCCTCGACTCTTCTATAAGTCAGACTGAGGATCAGTTTAAACAACAGCTACAATTCGTTGAAAAGTTTATAGATCATATTATTATTGGAGAGAATAATCTACAGGTAGGTCTGGTAACTTATTCCACTGAGGCTCATATAGACATTAAACTGAATCAGTACCAAGATAATGCCGAGTTAAAAGAAGCCGTAAGAAAGGTACAATACAAACCAGGTGCAACTTTCACTGACAAAGGATTGCGAGCTGCATTGGAGGTGTTTTGGATGGTGTCTCATATCAGGCCGTATGACAAGGTGGCTAAACGTTTCGTTTTTCTGCTGACGGATGGCTTATCGACGAACAAAGCAGAGACAGAGAAAGCCGCTGTAGCTGTCAAGGCAGCGGTTGATAGAGTATTGGCCATTGGTATGTGTATATATATATATAATCAAAAACTCAACATACACAATGGCAATTGTCTAAAATACCAAAATATATACCGTCCTCAACTTATCTAATTTACGAAAAGCATGTGACCAATACATTGATAAGATACGTTGCAACGACCTAAATATAATAAACTAAAAGACAGTTTTTCCTCTGTCATGAAAAGTGTAAAGAAAGTATAGTCTACCATTACTACATTGGTTACATAATAGTGAAAGCAATTTCGCTTCATACGATGGTAAAACATTTCATATTTATTTTTAAAACATGACATATTTATTTTTAAAACATGACATTTCTATTGTTTAACACTAAAGGTATAGGCCAAGAAGTCAGTCACAGTGAATTACTGAAAATCGCTTCCACTGACAACACGAACAATGCAGGGAAATTCGTCCACTCTGTTCAAAATTTCAACGCACTATACACAATAGTACAACAGCTCGTGCAGCTCACGTGCGACGGTATTTACAGTTATATCTCATTAGTTTGTTGTACTTTATAAATCAAGCCTATCCTTAAACATTTGTTGTGAAAGCACAATAACCAACAAAACAAGACGTTTCTTTTAATAAGGTTGTAAATTTTTCCTAAGAAATATCAGAACATAATGAAAAAAAAACAACATTTTTTTATCTTGTTTTAAATTGATGACAATCACAGATCACATAGTAAAACAGCATATAGTCGACTGATTGTACAATGATAGGATCATAAAATGAGCATGCCTTATTTAAGTTTTGTTTGTTTGTGTTTTTTCCTTTGTAGAATGTTCGTGGAAGACCTCTTCTAATATTGTATTTCTCCTTGATACATCCTACTCTATGACAAACGAAGATTTTCAGCTTGGGTTGGATTCTATAAAATACATCACAGAACAAATTACTGTAACTGAGTCAGAGAACAATACCGTGGACGTGTCACTTGTACTTTACGGTAACAAACTAGAAGTAAAGAGAGCATTAAACGACCAAAGTCCAAAGACAGACTTTCTGTACCAACTTCAAACCCTTGAGTTAGCTGAGGGATCTTGTAACATTGGAGGTGATGGGTGTCCAGATGCAGATCTTAGCCTGGCTTTGAACTATACCGTACAAAACGTGTTTGATCCCGATACAGTTTCAACTAATGACAGACGTGACTTTATCATTGTTCTCACCAATGGTAGACAGAATATAAGTGAGACAATAAACAATGAAGTTGACTTTGTCAAGGGAACAGATAAGACCATTCTTGTTGTGTCGCTAGGCACTGCTGAACATATTAGGGACTTGCAAGTGCTAACTGACAACGTAGGTCTTGTGTTTACAGTCTTGGACAAAGAAATGTTGTCTGTGTTAGATGTTCTAGTTTCAGAAATATTTTACAATACATGTGAGCTCACAAACGATTTCCTCAATAACGATTAAAATGATTATGTATATTGGTATTTTATTCCTGTAAGCTTTTAATATCTTCCATTCGCTTTATTCGATTGTGGTTCCCTTTTTTAAAATGAATTTTGCAGATAACTCTGAGAAGAAATCATTGATATAATGTTATTGATAGATCCTTACTCTGACTTTGTATTCGAATATAAATAAAAGTAACCACACAAATTGACATGTATTCTTTTGTTAACAAACTGTTTTGTGGTAAAATACTTATTGTAATGTACGAATCTAATAATTTAAATAAGACTGGTTATGGTCATATAGGGATTCATTCATTGTAAAATGCATTGATTATATGGAATGGACCTTATCACATTGAATTATTCTGTTTTAGCGTAACTACCATATTTGTAGTCCCATTTGTTTAGCATTTTGCCACAGTTTTAGTTGTGTACTATCTTTTATTATGTTAATATAGACCCAAAGCACTGAAAGTAATGGACATTAGCGAATGCCATAATAATCAACTCGTCAGTGCGCACCTGTAAACAATTCAATTGCAACTTTTCTGCGGTATTTAGCACGTGAATAAATGCCGACATGTTCCGATATCAGTCAAATGTTAAAATATTTATACTGGGATGCATTGTATTCTCAAGATAATTGAACAAATGTCAATTACAGGCACAATTTATTGATAAATTTGAATTCCGTCCGAATTATTTCAATATCAATACACATAAGAGTAGTCTGTTTAAAACGGTAATGTAAGGGGTTCCGTTAGGACCAGCGCGTTTTCTCTTTGAAGTTTCACTTTTCCATAATAAGAGTTTATAGGTACACACATTAGTGTCAGGACTGTAACTTTGTCATGCATTGAAGGATTTTAGAATAACTTGGCATAAATACCAGCCACATTGGAGACGATATGTCGAGTTCAAAAACCCTGTCCCTTCCTTCAAGGTCAATGTCACATTTCTATTGAAGGTACTCATTCTCTCGAGAAGAGTTTGAAGATACACATTCATGTCCGAACTGTAACTTTGTCATGCATGGAAGTAATATAAAAATTTGTACCACATCAAGACAATGCGTCGTAGCTAAGGCTCAAGTCCGTCTGTCCGTCCGTGTGTCCTCACTTACACAACCATCATGTCCAGACTGTTACTTTGTCCTGCATTGAGGGATTTTGAAATAACTTGGCAGAAATATCTATCACATGACAACATTGTGTAGCGTCAAAGAACCACGTCCCTTTTTAAAGGTCGAGGTCACACTTATCTTTTGAAGGTTCACGCTATCACTATGAGAGATTATAGGTACACACATTCGTGTCAGGAATATAACTTTTCCATGCATCGAAGGATTTTAAAATAACTTGGCACGTGTTGTAAGACCTACCTCCAAGGTCAAGATCACTCTAATAGTTTGAAGGAACTTATGCTCATAAGAGGAGTTTGAAGGTACGCATTAGTTTCCAAACTGTAACATTGTCATGCATTGAAGGATTTAAAAAACTTGGCATAAATGTCTAGCATATCAAGATGATGTATTGCATCCAGGAGACCCTATTCCCAAAGTGTTAAGTGTGCTATAAACAGCACTTCATTTCACAGCAACAATATTAACCAATTAGTTACTTTCATTCTCTTTTCTTTTCATAAATGTGCACGCTTAAGAATTTTGTCGGGGGGCATTTGTCACTTGCAAGCTCTTGTTTTTTCTGTGAATCGCATATGTTGTTCTCAGTCGGACAGTGAACGCTCAGTATCAGTTGCAGAGCATTTCGAGTCTAATAAAGAACATAAAGATATATAAGGGTGTGATTTCTCCAGTAGGAAGATTAAAGGCTCATGTTAGCAAATGGCGATCTATCAATGGCGATTCTTTCATTGTAGACGTTAAAGAAAATGGTTACAAATTGCATTTTAGAAACTTTCCTAGAAAAGTTATGCTTAAAAATAATAAGTCCGCTAGAGACAATTCGTGTTATGTTTCGGCGATGTTTCTGCAGTAGATCACGTGCCGAAAGTCGTAACTCCGTTGACTGCTTATAATAAAGCCGGAAAAGCAAGGTTGGTTTTAGATTGTAGGCATGTAAATCAGCTTTTGCATCTTTTCAAAATCAAATTTGAAGATATTTGTATTGCTCAGTCTCTTTTTTGTGCTGGGTTTTTTGCTTTGACTTTTGATTTGAAAGAAGCTTATCATCACATTAATATTTTTAAACCTCATAGGAAATATTTAGGTTTTTCATGGAATTATAATGGTCAACAAACTTATTTTGTTTTTAATTCACTTCCTTTTGAGATTGCTAGCTAGCGCAGGGCATATTTTTCCTGTCCGGGCATTAGTTTTGTGCATACGGTCTCAACCCGGTACGGAATTAGACTCAGCCCGTTGTAGTCTAGAAAGTAGTTCTTTTAAATTTTGAAATGGCCTATTTCAAGTCATCTTAATTGATACTGGTTATATTTTAAGTATATCTTTAGTAATTGTGTACATAAAGTTTCATTTCTGAGTACTTTAAAGGTTGTTTTTGATGTATTTTTGCAGGATTTCATTTCTGGGTGGAAGGTTTCAGGAGGCACTATGCACAAGAATACACACCAGTTACTATTTGGAATAATCTATAGTGATTACAGAAATTAAAAGCTGCAGAAAAACTCCAAGGGCTAATGTATTATTTTTTGGTGCTAAATTTACTTGGACTGCATTGGTGTTTAAAGAAATGGTCATGAAGTTTCGGTACCGGATTTGCTTTGTCAAGAATTTAGCCTTAAATGTGATGGATTTACTATAGGATATATGGGTCGAAAATTCAGTGGGCCGTCTCCTAAATATAAAAAATGAAAAAATGGGAACTGGTTGATGGATATGGATGAAACTTTGCATCAGTGTTGTGTTTTTGAATAGAAGTCAGGAAAATAAAGGATAACTGACAGGTTTGAAAATTTTAAATTTTATTTTAAATTTTGACATTTTAAATTGGGTCATATGTTTGTTATTGTTATCTCCCCTTCAAATGTAGATGTCTGCTACTGTGTCAGTAAGCAGGGAGCAGGGTACAGAGCTTTTGCATGAAAGATTTACCACATTTTATTGAATTAAAACTGTAAAAAATGAATTTAAAATTAAAAAATGAAATTTAAATTTTTTAAAAAGCAGTTTACAAATTGATAAATGTTATTTTTGCACCCTGTGTTTAGCAATATACAATAAATCTAGCTTATTTTTAGAAGATTCATATAGAAAATGATAATATTTAGAGAAATGCATCTTAAATTATGGATAAACTATGCATTGCAAGGAATTGGGGAGTGTGTGGTTTCAGATTGGTTACATTGGTAAAAAAGTGATTGCCAAGCTCATTCCAGAGATCTTAGGGGCCCAAGAAGCACCGGCCATGGGATTCGAACAAGCACCATAGTAGCATATTGCTCATATGGACCACACATTATATGTTTTGAGTAATCAGTATGTAAATATTCACTATTGTCTTGTATTTCAATGAAGCAGAACTGACAATTGAACAGGACAAATGTGATTTATATTTTGGAAATATAGGCATTTTCAGTGTACATGTAGTGAAACTTGGTGTTTTGCTGTGTTGCAGAATGTATTTGCTATTAATATATACACATTTTCTAGTCATTAAACAGTGTACTTTATGGATAATTGGCTCATTTAGAATAACACAGTTGATATGATTGTTGTTGTTGTTGTAGCTGCTACAGCAGTTAAATTAGGTTAGGTTTACAATGTCTAAACTGCTATTTTCATGCAGGCATGCATTTTTCAGCACACAATATTTATATATGCTCTCCAGTGTGAATTAGCAAATCTAGCCATTGATTAATTAAGACATTATTTTCTTTTTTTTTCAGATATCAGAATTACAGCATAAATGCCTCTTATAATTTTCTTAGGCATGTACTAGTGTTGCATATTTTTCAGACTGTGCAGTTACCAAAGCCTAGGTTTGAGTACAGGACCTTACCTTATCCTGGTAAAGATCTATGAAAGGACTCCTTCAGCTCAGTTTGGCAGCAGCTTTGTCAGGACACATTGAGAAGGTAATAACTTATGTCTAGTTTGAAATTTCAGCTATTGACGGTAGCGACTCCCAATGCTCGGGCAATATTTGGTAGTTATTTTGATGTATATCAGGAGAAAATTTCTCTAATTCTGACTATATTAAGACTTTTCAATGATTTAAAGTGGGAGACGGTATGTGTCATCTTTTTTAAGCCTTATTTGTGTGAGAGTTGGCTAATCTTACTTTGTCAGAAGACATAGCCCATGGTGATATGGTAACCTCTTTGCTAACCTTAAGATTACCTCTGTTTGTCTTTATTGATATCTTAAGCAAACAATGTAGGGTGTGTATGTTGGTTCTTTACTTTATTTACCATGGTATATATGTGAAAGTCATAATCAGTAAGTTTTATAACAATGTTGAGAGAAATAAATATCAAAAAAGCACATTTAATTGTGATAACTTGTATTTTAACCCAAAATTTCAAGTTCTCTTTAACAGAAATGGAGTTTCTTATACAATTTTAAAGCAATAAGGTCTTATTATCTCATGCAATAACAACATAACATTAGCCGGTAGCATACACTTTATTTAAAGAAAATCCAATGGCAGCATCAAAAGATATAACAGAATTTGTAATATAAATTTTTGCGTAAAATTCTATTAGCCGAGCCTGATTTTTCGCATGAAGGTTCATATTTAAGAAATGGTACTGAATTAAGGTAATTGGTTAGAGACATGTCAAACCTATATGATTGTACTTGTATAACATTAAATTACTAGGAAATGAGTATAAAGTTTGGCTTAACTTAAATTTTGGATTCATTTAGGTCTCAACCCGGTACGGAATTAGACTCAGCCCGTTGTAGTCTAGAAAGTAGTTCTTTTAAATTTTGAAATGGCCTATTTCAAGTCATCTTAATTGATACTGGTTATATTTTAAGTATATCTTTAGTAATTGTGTACATAAAGTTTCATTTCTGAGTACTTTAAAGGTTGTTTTTGATGTATTTTTGCAGGATTTCATTTCTGGGTGGAAGGTTTCAGGAGGCACTATGCACAAGAATACACACCAGTTACTATTTGGAATAATCTATAGTGATTACAGAAATTAAAAGCTGCAGAAAAACTCCAAGGGCTAATGTATTATTTTTTGGTGCTAAATTTACTTGGACTGCATTGGTGTTTAAAGAAATGGTCATGAAGTTTCGGTACCGGATTTGCTTTGTCAAGAATTTAGCCTTAAATGTGATGGATTTACTATAGGATATATGGGTCGAAAATTCAGTGGGCCGTCTCCATACGGTCATTAGGTCATAAGCTGATAATGGCATCGGTGGTCATATTCCTGAAAGCATTAGAAGGTAGTATATTTGTTTAAAGTATATTGATTGAATTTGGTTTTTTGTTGGCGGAAAAAAGTGTCATTGGTTTCCATGTCAAACAGTAACGTGGTTAGGTTTTATATTAAATGTTTTTCAAAATAAGATATTTGTCACAGAAGAACGAATATCTGTCGCAGAAAAATCAATTGAATCTGTACAAAATCAGATATGTTGTGACAAGTTTAGTGTTATATCGGTCCGTGTGTTAGCGTCTTTGGTTGTACGTTTCATTTCTCTTCAATTTGTGTTTGGTAACATAGTGAGATTGAGAACGAGAGAGATGTATAAATGATTCATCTAAAGGGCTAGTTGGGACTCGCCAGTTTTAGTGAGCGAGTCAGCCATGCATGAAATTTTGTAATAGAGAGAATATTTAAGAAAATTGAATGGATTAGGTAAATCCATGTCTGATATGAAAGTGTACGATATTAACGTTTTTAGTGATGCCAGTGGATCTGGTAATGGTGGTTATCTATATTTTTACGAGCAAAGACGCTAATTTACACGCTAGTAATAATACCAGTGGATCATTGCTATCCCCGGAAGTGGATTGCATATCGAATGTTATGTTGAAAACACTGATTCCTCGTATGTGTCCCCGAAAGTGAAAACATATATACTAGATATAACAAAGAATGATACAATTTTTAAATACGAATACGAAAATCACCGGATAATGGCTTCTTGAAGAACAGACTAAAAGTTCTTCTTGGCGTGAGGTTTAGGCAATAAATAGGGTTGTTAGAAGTAAGGTACAATTTCTCAAAAACAAAAATGTGAAGGTGTTTTCAGATAATCAAAATGTAAAATCGATTCTTTTGAACGGTAGTGTTAACACAGAGCATAAAAACATTGCTGTTAGATGGAGTGCCGATATAGATATATTTTATGAGATATATAATGTATCCTATTTGACAATAATTTATGCAGTTTATAATATTTATCATTCTGATAATAGGTGTTGACTTAAAACCTACAATCTGGAGCATGATGGACAACTCTAAAACATGCAACAGTAATTGATCATATGACATGTTATAAAGTACAATCCCGGGCAGTTTCTACAGACAGAAATATATGAACAATTTTAAACATTTCGAAGAATATTGTGTTATTTTAAAATGGTTTATTTCCAAGCCCGCTTCATCCATGGTTCTGTCAATGTATTTAACGAACATGCTAGATCATAAAAAATCGTACGGTGTTATTTCTTCTACATTGTATTCTATTAAATGGATGCATTCTTTACATGATTACACGGATCCAACTACGAGGTCTAAGGTTAAACATTTATTACAAACAAGTATGACGGAATGTAATGAACCTGTTAGAAAGAAAGATACAGTAGATTCGGAAATGTTACAAACATTATGTTACATGTTTTCAGATACCAGCGACGTAGTAACCTTAGGAGATATGTCAATTATTCTTTTAAGTTTCGCTGGATATTTACGTTTCAACGAACTGAATTCTTTAATTTGTTCAAATCTAAAATTTAATGATGATCACTTAGTGTCAAACATTCTTAAGAGCAAAACTGATGTGTAAGGATAATATTATTATGTCCCGATTTGTAAGAGTACTACTAATGCATGTCCCTTTTATAAGCTTAAAAGGTATATGAAGGCCGCTTGTCTTGATATAACCTGTAATGAATTCTTATTTAGGCCGCGTAATAGGTCAAAAGGGGTATCGGTGCTTATAAAAAGTAATACAAAATTGTCTTACACACGAGTTAGAGAATGCATTTTGTAAAAATTAAATTTAGTAGCACCACATTTAAATTAAGGTAAACATTCTTAAAGAGCTGATGGAGTTTCGGTGGTCGCTAGCTCAGGTGTGTCTGAATGATGTTTAAAGAGACGTCGTGGCCGTTGAAAAACTGATATAGCTAAGGACGGTTATATTGTTGTTTCATTAAACAGTCGATTGTCAATTTTTGCATACTTTTGTATGCACATGAGAATAATTAATTGAATTTTAATCTTTTCGTCTCAAGATTTGTATTTTCTAATCTTGTGTCGCCTTGCAGTTGTTGTTGTTTTTGCTAGTGCCTGTTGAAGCATTTAGTTCTCCACATTACATCGTATAGACGGAGAATTGTTGTCTCAACAAGTGAGTTTACAAAACTGGCTATAACCAGTTAAAACAATCTGGAAACAAAGTGATCACTCGGAAGCATTAATCACAACAAAATTACAAGAGAATTGCAGACCCGGTTTGATTGAATCTGTACATGAGGGATAATGAAAATGTGCAACATCCCTCACGCCCCCTAGCATCGGCTTGAGCGGTACTCAACTCTCAACACTTAATAGTGCTGGCATCAATGATCCCGAAGGACCAGAAAAATATAACAACACTGAAGTGAAGTACGGGGCAACTTTTTACAGCTGCCCCACAGCACTTGACACCTGCTGTTGTGAAGTATAAAAATCTGAAAACAAAGTGATCCCTCACGTAAGTCACGTAATAAGAGTTATTGACCGTGCGTCCGTATGTTTAGTTATCAGTTCTACAGAGACTCTCTATTAGTACACGTCTGTAACTACATAAAAATCAATTTGTGTGTTATGATGTTTATAATTTTTATTTTATTTGTTATATGTAAGAAGCATGTCTGAACTGTTTCAGTTGTTCGGTATATCTAGGGAAAATAGGAGCATTTCAATGTTAACATATCGAGAAGACTACGGGAACACGTTTCGTCTTGTTTTTTGTTTTTGGTTTTTTTGCTCTTTTTTTTTTTTAATGAAAATAATAGATAGGGAGTTTATCGTGAGAGGCCCGTATTCTGACGAAGAAATATACGGTTACAATTTCGATTTTCGTCAAGGTTAGATACATTCTTGCTTTAATTTAGAGGTTTGATTAGATTATTAACATTAAGAAAATCGCATTTTCGATTTGTAGCATGCTTATATCTAAAAGAAAACACAATGTTGATGATGATAGCTTAATTTTTTTTATTAAAGCTATAGAATTATATTGTAATAGCAAAGTATGACTGCAATAACGAATATCTACTTCCCAGTTGTGTTCCAATAAATACGTGTCAATAAATAAGCCTTGCAGTTGTTGTTGATTTGGTTAGTGCCTGTTAAGCCTTGTCCATATGTGTGCATTTTGGCTCTTTGCAGGACAGATTTTGAATTTCCCGAAACATATTATAGGTATAGTTGTTGTGTGTACAACTGTATTTGAGAGACATGTTAAATAATACATAAAATGAAAAGTATTCAAAGCATATTTCAAGCAATTTTGGAAATTACGTCCAGACGGCATTTTTAAAGGCATATTATGCCTTAGAAACAAATGAATTTTTACTTCTTTAGAAAGGGCAAACATGAACTTTATAATGTTTTAATAATGGATTTAGTGAATGTAAGATGCTTGTTATCTGAAGAAAGTAGCGATAAATGTGAAATAATTTGTCATAAAAGTAGCAAAATGTAAACAAATAGTATTTCGACTTTCATACAAAATACTAATCTACTATAACTGTATTTATTGCCAAAATTCAACATTAAAAAAGCTTTTGAGAAAAAAGAATAAAAGTAATACTGAGGCATAATGGTCCTTCAAGATATTCCACAATACTTGAATATGATAGGCCTCTTGAGACAAGCATTACATTAAGACGTTTAATTTTATTTGACCGGCTAAGTAGGTGGTATGAAAAAAGAGAAGACAACATTTCAAACAAATATGTTTATTAAACGTTGGTGATATGTTAACGCAGAAAAAAATCAAATAAGCACAGCACAGTACATTTCCGTGTCTGTTATATATTGTATACAAATGTAAACAGCTTTAAATTTAGTATCAATTTAAGTCTAAATACATAGATTTCTGTGAATTTCAAAAAGGCACAGCTATTTACAAAATTACAAAATTACAAAATGTTAAAAACAAACTAGTCATATTTAAGCAACATGTTTAAATGCTGGTTTTTTTACAATTAATTAAAAAGATCGTATTACACACCACTGTGGTATTAAGGAATCTTATAAGAGGAGCGAGGTGGTGCAGTAGTGACGTTATGTACAATTGTTCATTGTCAAGTTGAGCTGAATTGACAAAATATTTCAAAAGACTGTGACTGTTGTAATGGTGAGTAATTGATAAAATATAGAATTGCCTTAATATAAAAAGACTGCCCTAATCTTTTTATAAAGAAGGTAAAAGGTAATTTCCGATGGATATCTATAGAAATTTCCTGGAGACATGTTAGTTTTTTATCGTTTATAAAATTAAAAGGAAATATGACAAAATGAAACAAAATTTGATTTTCACCTTGGATGTGCATAATGTCACTTTAATTCAAATTGGCTGATATTATCTTGAGAAATATTAAGTTGGATTGCCTGCTACTCTTTTGAAAGGTATACAGTCTCCCTGTTGAGATTTTAAAAGCAAAGGTCCGAGTAATATGAAACTGCGTTTTTCTTTGCTATCATGGGCTTTTGTAACTGTTTCATCATCCACTTCACCTACATAAACACACGTCAGGGGCGGACCGAGTTGACAAGATGAATGCCTGTAGCAGCTATAGATAAAGTAGATTGAGTTTTTTTTCATACAAAATACAAATACTGTTTATAAAATGGTGATATAGTTGTACAATGTAACATGCATAATTGATCTATAGTTTATACAGTATCCCGTCTAAAATTAAACATTTGTGAGAAATAGTGTATAATGTTTCTCTGCACTATCTTTTCTCCTCAGTTAAATTGTTGTTACTCTATTTCTACGACTGACAAGTCACTGCTGGTCTCTTTCCGTTTTAGCCTCATCTTTCCGCCAGCACAAGTATTTTGAGCTTTTAATTTTACTTGTGGTCCACCAAGTTTTTCATGGATTTGGTTCATAATATTACGATCATGATTCCTGAAATTAACACAAGATCCAA